TTGTGACCCAAGCACGGGGGAAGAGCGGTCCGTTGTTCCATTTCGGCGTCCGCGACGACATCCGCCTGGTCAACGACATCCGCGTCGAACGGGAAGAATCCCATCCCGGCAAAGTCACCCACCGCGCGTGGTACGACAAGAACCGCCACATCTTCCCTGCCAGTCGGTGGGAAACGGTACGTTCCGTTGGGATTTTTCCCCGTCACTCCTTCGTTTTTCGATCCCTCGTGTACTCAATAGTACGATCCCGCGGTGGCGCGCGACGCCCGATACACGACACGAGGCGAATAAACAAGTACAGGACTACCACTATAATGTTCTCAAACCTCTCTGGAGAATACATACATACCCACCCGGAATACGTTAGGCCAATAAACAAGTACAGGACTACCACGATAATGTTCTCGAACCTCTCTGGAGAATACATACATAACCACCCGGAATACGTTAGGCGAATAAACAAGTACAGGACTACCACGATAATGTTCTCGAACCTCTCTGGAGAATACATACATAACCACCCGGAATACGTTAGGCGAATAAACAAGTACAGGACTACCACGATAATGTTCTCAAACCTCTCTGGAGAATACATACATAACCACCCGGAATATGTTATTCGTCGTCCTGTATAGGTAGGTTATTACTTTGTACAGTACAGGAGCTAGCTATTACTCGGAGTAAGTTACAGCAGTACAGTACTATGGAGCATAGCTCAAACGATTCACTAAGGGTAGATACAGGACAACCCAGTGAATGTTAGCAATGTGAAGCGCTGTAGGTACAGGGCAAAGCAGTGTGTATGTAAAGAGCAAAAGGCAATTAAAAAGAACAACGGAAAGCAAGTCCTAATCCTCGTCGTCGGCTTGGATGAACTTGGAGTACGACGTGCGCTCGCACTCGCCGTTGGCGTCAAACACAGCCTTGTAAAACGACCCGTCGGCCCCCACCACTAAATAAAAAGATAAAGGTCACACGTCTCAAATGTCTATCGTTCGTACCGAGGATCGTGTTCTTGTCCATCCCAAACGCGCAAATGGTGCGGGTCTCGGGTACCTTGAACTGGGCAAAACTCCACTCGGAGCTAAAGTACTTGGGCAGAAGCCCACGCATGAATGAAAAGCTCGACTTGCTGTTTTCCGTGTTGTCGTCTTCCTTGGACAGCGGCGTCGACTGCGTCAGCACCCCCGACATGTACCGGCCGCTGTTGGTCCGCGACGCGCTCAGTGGCGGCGCGGGGAGGCCTTCGGCGCCCGCCACGTCCTGACTCAGCGCGAAGATGTGCACCGTGTACTTGTCGCTCGAGCAGGCCAGGTACTGCGAGTTCGGACTGAAGCAGACGCTGTAAATCTCCGCCTTGTCCGCGCCGCGTCTGGATTGCACAGGATGAGATTCCCAACATCAATCGGGGAGATGACGATACGCACCGAAGTTCCTGCAAGAGCTGACCGGATTGGGTGTCGAACACACGGATGAGCGTCCCCTTGTCGGACGACGTGGCCAAACGCGTGCCTTCGAGGTTGAGCGCCATCTTCGCAGGGCATCAGCATGAGAATGGATGGAGATTCGAGGGAAGAGGATGATGATGTTACCTGGGACAGCTCGGCTTCATGCGCCGTAATCAACGTAGTTTTGCGCTGGTCGTACAATTCTATTCGCACAGTACCGCGGGACACCCCAGGACACGCGAGCACGGTGTTCGTGGAGCTCGGACACAACGCACACAACCCCTTGGGGTTGGTAATCGTTTCGATGTGGTCCATGAGCTTGAGGTCGGCAAAGTTGTAAACGTAGATCTTGTTCTGGAGCACCACCACGACCCTAGCGATGAGACGAGGTCAGATAGGAGCATGACGGGGTCAGACGATGGGGTACCGATCGCGACGGAGCTTGACGGCCTTGACTTCGCTCCGGAAACTCAATTCGCCAATGTTGCGACTTTGATGGTCGTCCCAGATCATAACCTTGTTCGGGGGGTACCTCGGGTTGCGTCCACCTCCGACGATCGCGAGGATGTTGCATCGGAAGAGCATTTCCACGATGCCGATTCCCCCGCTCGAGAAATCTGCATGGCATGTTGAATGAGTCATCATCTCGCCTGCAGCAAGAGTCACGTACCGCGACGGAACGTTTCCTTGAACGGGTCGCAATTGTAGATCCGAAAGCCCGTGTCGGTCCCGCACGCAAAGCACCCTACACACCGATGTCCATGTCAAGAGACCGTCGCCTCCCTGACCAAGGCCCCATCGTCCACCCACCATAGTCTTGGTTGAATCCGACAAAGAGGAGCTCGTTCTGCTGTTCACGGCTTAGGTTCATCGTGGACAATCGCTGTTCTTTCGACAGTAAGGTCTGAAGAAGCACCTTGGCAGATTCTGTATATTTCATTGGCTAAAATAATCCCATAGAGCCAATCAGCGATCGAGATTTAGCTTGCTAAAAGGACTCAGACCGTCGGGAAATATTAATATAGTACCTGGTAGTAAAACAAGTTCTCAGAATCATACAAATACCTAGTGCATTTTAATGCTTGCCTTCAAATGAAGAAGTAATTCGTGGAAACTCATTAATATAATGAATATATTACTGCTCGAGATCCTTATTCGGATATTGAGATCTGGCCCCAAGATTGCAGCCAATCACGTGGCGTTATTTTAAAGACTGTTGGTCAATCGACAATTCGCCCATTCGAACTTCACCATTGTCTTGTAGCCGAGGCGATGGGAGTGGCAGCCGTAGACAACGTTGAGACTTCGCTGGCTGAAGGATCTTGAGGGCGAGTTGGATGCGCTGAATGCGCGGATCAACCTTCTTCGCCGGTCGACGACTCGCGGTCGTTGGCTCCAACGAGTCCAACGCTTCCTGTAGCCGCATGGCATAGCGTGTTCCCCTGTATCCCCGTCGTTATCATGCCTATTTTCATATGCATCGACTTACAATGGACTGATGACGAACTCTCCATCTTCAAAGAGAGTTATGTTGTCTTGACGTCGCTTGTCCGTTGGCATACGCCGCACTGTATCACCCGCCGAATGCACATTCCTCCGCAGCGGCCTCGTCTGCTTCTTCTTCACTTCTGCTGGATCACGAACCACAACCGGCGAACGATTAACTGGAGTTGTTGTAGCTGGTTTCTACAAGTATGATGTCGCAACTAGTGAGACTGAACACTTCAAGGAGCAACCCATACGCCTTCGCAAGCGGTGAGAAATCGCATGGCTTCGGCGTGCACGTCCACTTTGCCCTGTCCAATGTAGTCATTATGACGTGTCCAGGATAACGTCATCGTACGTTGGTCGCGGCATGTCGAAAGGTGAGTCCCCATGCCACGTTATCGTCGAAATTCGGATTCTACCAAAAGATGACACGTGGCAAACTCCAAGCGATCGTACGTCTTGAGGACCACGAATCAACGTGCCCACCAGTCGCTCTTCGAGCAAAGCCCACACTCGCACAAAACCATCCCAGCCACACGTTACAAGATGCGACGCCACGTGATTCACGCCATTGCACGCCTAAAAATGATATATATCATTTACGTGATGAATGACATATATCACTGGCAAGCTGTGCTGTACATGGAGGGTGCAGAGGGCGTCGACGTGTGCGGGCCATGTCGCGCCCACCGATACCTGGCCTTCCAACATGTAGTCGAACTGGTGGGTGCACCGGCGCCGGCCCCGCCGCCGCGACACTTTGGTCTGCATGAGCTCGTGCGCCGTCCGTCGGGAGTCGCTGATGTGCGCCGGCTCAGCGTCCTCTGTGGTAGGGGCAAACAAGCCATCAATGCGCCAGCTTGTGACATGTCCTACTGAAGGGTCAGCTGTGACACCGTATCCGACGACGGAGCATGGATTGATGTTCTGGTGAAACTTGCCCTCGTCGTCGCCCGTGACGAGCGTGCGTGGCAGACACCACGCGAGGCTGTGCACGGTGGCCGCGCACGTGGTGTGGACGAGGCGCTCGAAGCGCAGCGGGTGCGGCGGGATGGCAAAGAGCTCGAGCCCGCCTTGGTCGTCGGTCACGGCGAAGATCGGATGCGGCTCTAGAAACACGACGGCCGTGATGCCCGCACTGGCGCCGTCAGGCGACGACGCCAACGGCTGGCACTTGGAGCCGTGCCACACGCAAAAGTGGCCGTCGATCGACGCGGTTACGATGACGTTATACTGATGCGACACGGCCACACATCCGACGTCACTCGTGACATACCCAGTCCTACCGTATGACGTTATCGTGGCACCCAAATCAGGTCGTCTACCCGTGCCATGTGTCGTGCACGAGCTACGACCACAATGTTGGTTATTACCTTGCTTATCATGGCAAAAATGATATATCATTCAGTACCATCAAAAAATCCACAAACGTCACTGTCGGCGGCCGTTTGCTCACTATTTTCGTCAAATACGCTGGATTTCGCTGGCCGGATCGGCGGTTCAGTGACACGACGGCGTCGAAGAGCGCGGTCAAGTGACTTGCCGCTATTTCGCCCGTCTTGTGGGGGTCGAACGGCGCGAAGATGCGCTTGAGGCAGTCGATGGCGTAGTCCGAGTACGCGGCTTTGGTCGGCTGCGGCACAAAGTAGTCGTGGGGCACCCCCGCGCTAACGTTATCCTGAACCAACCAAAGAACTTTCAGCCAACTTCAGGCTATGGCATGTACACACTGACCGTGGGTGCGACCCGCGTGAGGGGGTGGCCGTTGATGCCGTGCCAGTGGTTCATGGAATGCACCAGCGCCAGCGTCTCCGAGTCGGACACGACGCACGTCCCGTCTAACGACGTCGACACGACGCGCCGGGCCAGCGTCCGGTCCCGACTCTCGATCATTTCCACCGCCGACACCTAAAACAAGCCTCATTCGTAGTGCCAACCTCGCAATCATATTACGAGATGCCACCTCTTTCGTGTGCACGCCACGACTGCGCACCAGTGTGCCCGACACGACATTGAGACACTAGATGACAATGCACACGTTGTACACGTATAGTTGATGATATATTTATGTTGGAGTACGTAAAGCATGCCAGCTTGGGTGCCCAGGAACGCCACTGGTCCAGACCCGTAGCACCCCGCCGAGATGGTTGTAGGAACGAGCGCACGCAGGTTGTACGTGAGTTGGCCGGTTTGCGCGTCCCACACCCGGACGTGGCTACATGACAACTTGACATCTCCCTCAGTCAATACTGTAGTCGCACCGTCCAGAGGTTGTGAGGATCGTCAGCGACGACGGCATGAACAGCGCCATACTCGGGGTCTCCTTTTCCTACCACAAATGTAAAGATAAGCCACTTGCAGGCAATACAGTAGTATGGTTCGTACAAGCGCATTTTCATCCGAGGCATTCCACAGCACGGCGTCGTGAAAGTCCACCCGCGAGGAGGCGAGCGCGATCCGGTTCAGCCGGGGGAGGTACACCATGGCGCTAGGCAAATGTCAGGACCACCAGACCAGTTCCATTTGGGTGGTACCTCGTGGGTTTGAGGGCGGCGTCCGCGGATCGAGTCGCGCTCGTCGCGGTGAGGGTACACAGCGTCTGGATGCATCTGTACGTGCGCAGGTCCCAGATCTTGAGAAACCCCGCGTCGTCCACAGAGTGCACTTCAGGCGAGTCGTCTACCCATGTGAGACCGACCACTTGGTGGCGGTGGCCTACCCATCGCCATGTTCATGTCATCTGGCCACGTAGTTGTTGTCGCAATGGTACTACTAGTGTACCTAGCAGTGTGGCAATACTCGTTTCGACGTACGGATTCCACAGCTACGGCATGATCTTTGTTGTGAGCAAAGGGCAAACTCGGTCGTACTACGTACGCGCAGGTCGTGGTCCAGGCCTGCGCTGATAATGTACCGGTATGCGACAGAGTACTTGATGCATGTGACGCCGAGGCGGTGACCGACGAGCAGGTTGAGCAGTTTGTTGGTGCTGATGTCCAAGATGGAAATCGTCGGCGCCAAGGATGCCACGACGGCGTTCGCGCGGGGACTGAGGAACGTCATGTCGGTTACGCTGTGTTTGGACTTGAGGTTCACCGACCCCATGCACTCTAGCGTCTCGCAGTTCCACGCCCGGACCTAATCCAAGAGATCGTCTGTCCAGTACACATCACTCCGAAATAGCATAGGAACTTTTACCTGCCCCGTGGTGCTCGCAGAGTACAAGAGCTTGTGCTGGTCGTTCCACCGCACCACCGTTTGCACTTCGGTCGTCGGGAGTTGCTACACTCGCCATGTTGAATGGGCGAGGAGTGTGACCGAGGGTACCTGCCGCAGCGCGTACTCGCGGCCGTCCCAAAAGTTGATTGTCGTGCTTGTGGTGGTCCCGACGATATAATCCCATGGCGGCACGGTCGTCACATCCACCAAATGTCCCCTACGCCCCCCCTCTCCTTAGACCTTCTAGCCATGGGGAGGACATGGGTATGTATATACCCTGTGCAAGGCGCGGACGTGGCCACGACGGCGCCGTTTCGACTTGCGTCAAACACTTGAAACACCTTGCTGTGTTGCTCAAACCCGATAAAGCTATGACCATCGTGCGCTTCGACCTACTTCAACCTTTGAATCGTATCCGAGTCTGTCGGACGTACGAGCTTTTCCATGCCCCGGTTCACGACGATCGGCGTTGGCACGGCCGTCTTGTTGTACTAGTCGTCAGCCCAGAAGTATGACGTAGGTCCATCAGATGCATGCCACAAGAAAGGGGGGTGTCCAGTGACAATGAACACGACATGGTGTGGCTACCTCGTGGAGCCCGTCGACGAGCAGCTGCTCCGAGTACCCGCGCATGGTTTCGAGCACGAACGACGTGAACTCGGTCCAGGTGATCACCCCGTCTTCGTCGTGGTCGATCTTGTGAAACAGCTGGCACAGCTGGGTCACGGTCGAGTCGGCATGTCCTTTCACTTGGGTGCTGCAGTCCACGACAACGGTGAGAAAATCGTCCAGCGTCATGCGTCGGTCCTCCACGTCGTGCAGCGCTGCCACGTTGTCCAAATCTAATCCCATATTGTTCAATCCCGTCTTCACCCCTTCCTTCAGTCCGAACGCCACCCCCAACGTGGAGGAGGTACATACTCAGTCGAAGCAGCAGCTCCGTCATCTCCTCGGCATCGCTAACCACGTCGCGCAATTTCAACTGCACTTGGGAGCTGCATCGGCGCACCACGCTCCTGACGGCTGGGGCGTCGCCGGCGATGCGGGCTTTTTCTCGCAATGATCGGGACTTGACGGATTCAGGGATCTGGTTGAAACGAGTCAAACGATGCAGTTTAACACATGCACCATTCACAATATATTGTATGGTACTTTGGGCACATAGGTCGGTCGCGATGGCAACACCGTGTCCAGCGGTGCGTGGTTGGTGTGGTCGAGGATACGCTGCTGTCTGAACTTGGCTTCGACCCCCGTCGGCACTTCATGCCGCGTGTCTGGCGAGAACACGCGGCGTCGGTCGCGAAGGACTTCGACGCCGTCGGCGGTGCGGGTCGTCATGGTATGAAGTGACCGTTTCAAACTCGAAACGACAGTTACACTTTGGACAATTCGATTTCATTGGTTAATGGCCGAATGACGGCGCAACCTCCGCTCGACGTCGCGTTGGTACTGCAATAAGGCGGCGTCCACTTCGTCGGGGGTCGCGACAGCCGCGTCCTCAATCGAGTCCCCTGGAAGCCCTTTGGGGGGCGACGACAAGAGCACCATGTGAGCCGCCACGTGGTTGCGGGCGTGGGCGGCCTGGGCATACACCGACCGCCTCAGCACCCGGACGTCTTTGCAGGCCTGCGCCAGGTACGGTTTAGCATGCGGCGTCAAATTCACGCCCTTCCGAAATGCAGATGAAAAGCATGTGCTTGTATCGAGGTGTGCCGATAACAAAAAGGAGGTGGACGACGGGGGCTTGGATTGAACGGGGGGGCGCCATTCCGGGTCGGGGGTTGGTGGGGGCCGACATCGGGGGGACTCGGGGGAGACGACTGTCCGGGGTATCATAGGTCTAGATGTTATTCCACGAGTAAATTTTAGTTACAACGATGTGAATGTACGGGGCTTGGAAGAATTGGTCAATAGGGTACCTTGGGGAGAGGATGCTGGCGTTGCATCGCGCTTGCTTGATGCGCTCCAGAACTAAGATAAGGTGGCGTTGGCGCTCGTTTTCCAGCCACTGCAGCATGTCCTCTTCGAGCTTGTAGTCGTGGGCTGGAATCAGGGGATTCGGTGGAATAATGGACTTTGCAGCGGATCTTGCAGCGTTGGGCGGTGGCTTGAGCTGATGGTGCACCTGTGTCCAAACACAGCCAAGTTGGAGTTGATGCAGTTGCGTGCGCAGCTCGTCCACATGACTCTTCCTACCCAGTTGTCAGCTGCATAGGTACAGTACATGAGATAGCCGTACGAGCCGCATTTGACGACATCCGTCACGTAGCACTCGAGCGCCGGTCGTAAAAAGTCTCGCGTGAGGATGCTCTGCAGCGACGGCCGGCGCCACGCGTCCACGGCCAGCAGTTCGTCCTGAAGGCGGCGCAGGTCCGGACTGAACTTTCGGTCGAGGGGTGCGTAGTCCCCTGCGCAGATCTTGGCGACGAGGGCGGGAGTCGTCTTGGCCTCAAACGGAAAGTGCAAAGTGCACATTTCGTAGAGGACACACCCCAGCGCCCACACGTCCGACGCGTACGAGTACGTGCCGTCCAAGAGCTCGGGCGACATAAAGTTCGGCGTGCCCACGGTGGTGTGGGCCAGGTCGTCCCGGTCCAGCTCCTACCACCACCACCACCCCCATCCATATTATATCTCGACATTTCAAACGAATGTCACGAGGAGCGAACTAACTTGCGAATAAATAATCAAGCCACCATTATACTGTGACGAACAAACACGATCGATAATGTCGACATATGTACATACTCTGGAGATGCCAAGGTCTCCAAGCACCAAATGGCCGTCGTGCGAGATGAAAATGTTGCGGCTCTTGATGTCCCTACTCGGCCGTCGTCGGTTCGTCACAACAATCATTCCCAAATGAAGTCATTTTGGCTGGTACCGACCGATGCATGATGCGGCGGTGGTGCATGCAGTGCAGACCGAGACACAGCTGCACGAGCCACAGACACACGTTCGTCTCCGACTCGAGGCAGTGCTTGGCTTGCTTGCGTTGGAGTTTCGCGTGCAAGTCGCCTACAAGTCAGGCCCATGTGACACTGCTCCTCCTCCACACATGACCGTGTTCCACTTACCCCCAGAGCAGTACTCCATCACGATAAACAAATGGCGATGGTTCGTCGACTCGAACGAATCGCGGTATGCGATGAGGTTAGGATGGCGCAGCTTTTGCATGAGATGGGCTTCGTTCAAGCCGTCGGATGACGAATGGCCGCCCCGACGTGTCTTCTTGCTGGACGAAACATGGAGCACGGGGATGTCCTTGACACACACGAGGCCGCCGCCGTCCTCTGCTTTTTCGCGCATGAGGAAGACTCTCCCAAACGATCCTTCCCCCAACAAGCGAATGCGCGTGTACTTCTCCATCACTAAGTGCTCACTAACCACCCACGCCCTGGAGGCATGACAAGAACACAAAATCACACCATCCAAGTGCTCAGCCAGTGCTTGTTCTAAATTTAGCCCCTCCAGTGTATCTGTCTGGACGAATCACTTCAATTTGTCAATGCATCGCACGCCTTGCTCGTCGTACTCTCTCTTGGAGATCCAAAACTCGTCCACGTCCTTCATAAAGTTGGCGAGGACAGACCCCCCAAGGAAGACCAAGTGCTTGCGGCGGGGGGGGTCGTTGATGCGCAGGCGGAACTTGCTCAGGCGGGCCTTGTCGCCCTTGAGCACCTCGGCGCAGTACCGGTCCTTGATGTCCTTCTCCAGCCGACTCGGAAGTCCGGGGTACATGGACGAGCCGCCGCTTAGCACGATGTTCTTGTAGAACTCGGTGCGCAGATCAATGTCGGCTTTCTGGCACATCTCAAACAGCATGTCGCTCAACCCGGGCCCTTCGACGCCGATCAAGTGCGGCTGGAACAGCGCTTCCGCCGCCTACAGAATCGACATGAGCATGGACATATGACGTGGGGGGTGACGATAATGATGATGGTGGCTACCTCAAAGCGCTCGCGGCCGAGCTTGATCACGCGGCCGTCGGGGAGTTCGTACGTTTCCTCGAGCACGGTCGTCTCTAAAGCCAAGCGCCGCTCCACCACCGGGTCCAGCGCCGTGTAGCAATGGCGCTCCTTGATCTGACGGACAGTTTCGAAGTCGGCGGTCCGGTTGAACGCGTACCCGCGCAGCAGGAGCAGCTTGATCAGGTACTGCGTGATGTGGCGACCCGCGACGTCCAGACGGCGGATGAGATGCTGGGGCACGAAACCTTCGTACACGGGCACGACGTGGGACACGCCGTCGCCGCTGTCGATCACGACGCCCGTGCGCAGTCCTTGCGCGTACAGCGTGAGCATGGCCTGGATCGAGATGTGCGTGCCTTCAAAGCCGTACTTTTCAAACATCATCTCGACCAACTTTTCGCGATTCGCCTTCGGGTTGAGCGGGGGTTCCGTGAGCAGGATGCGCATTTCCTTGGGATTCACTTGCAACCGCTCGTGGAACGTGTAGTCCCACAGCTTTTCCATGTCGTCCCAGTTCTTGACGATCCCATTCTCCACGGGGTAGCTGATCTGCAAGTTGCTTCGCACGTACGCAGCTTCGTCCCCACACATGACGTCCTTCAAGATGACGTCGCGGTTGATCGCTTCCTCAGCGCGCAAGATCGGTCGCCCCACCAACGACGGAAACACGTGTCGGGGGAAGTTCTCGGCGGCAAAGCCACACTTGACAAACTACAACACAGTTCCATGCTCAGGATGCTATGCATCACGCATAGATGCACATATGTGCATCACTACATACCCCAGTTCCATTGTCGCACACGACGATCTTGTTTGCGGCTACCATCCTTCGACCGCCGACTTGGACACTTGCACCGAGATTAGATATGCACACATCAAAACTGGGGTTGGGCGACTGGATCCACTAAGTGCGACCAAGACAGTGAAATCGCACCTAACAATTCTACGATATCTTAAATGAATTATCTATTCCTACAAATAAACGAATCCTTTATTGTGCTTTCGAGTGAAATTTCATTGTGTTGTGGTGTGGTTTCTCGTTGGAATTTAAATCGATTTGATTGGCTACTTCAGACGAGCTCAACATTATTAGCCAATCAAAACCTTCTCAATGAAATTTAACCAATCAGATCGATAAAACCAAAACCAATGAATGAACAATGCACGTCTCTAATTGCTTGATATCTCGCGGAGGTCCTTTTGTGTGATGCGATACAAGTGGATCTTGCCTTCTTGAAGCACCAGTTCATGTGTCAAGTAGTCGCGGCTGCATGCGTGGAAGTCCGCCAGCGCCGCGTTGTCGCCTCGCTCTTCGTAGCTCAGATAGCACACCTACCACGAACTGATCAAACATGTTGTTCGACATCAAGGGACCCAACGGACGGTGGTGGAGCTGCCTAGGTCTCGAATGCTGCGCGCCAAATTCCGCCACGAGTCCACGCCGTATATGGGATTAATGCCTACAGTGTACATACATCCCTTCAGCTGGACTCGATGCTCACTGTACGTACAATCAGACACTAAAATGTAGTCGAAGGGAGTGTTGTCGATCCACAAACTTCGGAAGGTCGGGGATCCCCATGTAAACTCGGCTGCATGGACATTTCCTGTCCCTGAGGATGCAGTGGTGTTTTGAGCGACGTTTGCACTGAGGAGGTCGACGATTTCGGCTTGGTCGGTCACCACCACATGGGCTGCACCGACGTCTCGTGCCACCAGCCCAATGAGCCCGCTGTTTGACAAGATTCAATCACATAAAGATATGGGTGTATGCGCGTACCATCCACTGCCGAGTTCAATCACGCTCTGTAGGGCAGTCGTGATGAACTGACGTTCGTCGTGCAGACGCAGGAGATGCTTCGAGAGGAAGATGCTTGCATTCCACACCCGTGATCCAGTCCACGCGTCCGAGAAGAGAGCGTCCAAGCGGTCGCTTGCCAGGACTTCGGACAGTTCATAGCGCTTGTCACCAACCGCGACGATCGGCATTTCTTGATCGAGTGTTTCCGAAGCTGCGATTTCATTGGTCCAACGCAGTGTCCAACACTAGCTTATTCAGAATTATAGTTTAAACCACATTCGTAAGACACGTTTTACTCGACCCGTGGAATGTTGGTCTCCATGGTTTGGTGTGGACTCCAGCTTCCGTACTCTGCGGCAGCACACAACAATCAAACTCGTATGCGTCATGTAGATGGGATCTATGTCTATCAAATTGTCAAGGGTATTTATCAACTCAAGACGACTTGCAATCATGAGCCAGTGTGTTCCATACAAAATAGGCGCGTCGCATTAAAACCATAAAACGCATAGCGTTAAAACCAAGAGCAGGTACAGTACATGTGATAATGTCGGACACAGAACATTCCCAAGGGTGGACACATCAGAGCGGACACAGTCCAGGATCGATCGGGCATTGACAAACCAATGACATGTGGGACGTTGGCCGATCTACTCGCCAAGATACGTGCTGGCGCAGTTGACATGAAGCCGCGGACTTCGCTACCTAGTTCTACATCTGCCGCGCACTTCAGTCGACCGCCACAACCGCAACTCCTCGTGGTGCAAGAACTTGATGAAGACGATTGGGAAGACGACCAAGACTGCTCAGACGTCGTCGTGTCCATTGCTCCAAAACAGCTTGCTTCTCCTCAAGTGGTTGCCATGGCCAGCACCGATAAGTCATCAGAAAGCAAGACGTGCATCGACCAGGCGATTGCTCTGAAGCGAAAGGCTCTCGACATGGAAAAATCCCGGGCATTTCAAGAGGCTATGGAGTTGTATGCTGATGCAGGGCACATCTTCCTTCGCGTGGGTCGGTCGTGCCCAAGTGGTTCGATGCAGAATGCGTTGAAAATGGAGGCCTTCTCGTTGCTGACACAAGCGGAGCGCTTAGCACGATGGATCGAGAACTCCAAGTTTGCTTCATGCCGTGAAAGCGTCGTGGAATATGACTCTCAGATGAGCATGTTGGCCGCCCCACACATGCGGCACGTGCCAAGGTGCTCATATTCACAGCAGACACCAATGCCAGGATCATCAGCTCCAAGACCATAGGACTCGTATAACTCCATCCATATTCATCACCTTAACGTTAATCTACTGTAAGTCTTTCCATCTCGCTCGCTCGTGTTGCCAGTGTCCGCGGGTTGCCTTCCCTGCCTGCTGTAAATGGAAATGGTCCAACCACAAGGCTCAATTTACATACTGCAATTTGATTGGTTGAATTTCAGTATTTCTGAATTCCAAACCACAATTCTGGCTGTCGGTGTGCGTCGGCAATCAATCCTCCATGCCGTCGACGTTAGAGGAGCAGTTGGCCAAGTTACGGGCTGGTAACGCACCATCCCCTCCATCACGAGTGCAGTTCTCCCCGGCATCCTTCTTGGCCATCCCACACCACGATGAGATCTGCGAAGATGACTGGGACGACGATGAAGATGTCATCAATCCAACTCCAAACACACAAGAGTCAACGATCCCCGTGGCACCGCCGCCATGCGTGATCAATCCGCCACCGACAATTCATCCAACCTCCCAGTCGAACGTTCCCCGAGCTCAGCGCAACGACATTGTGTATCAACAGCAACTGTACCAACGAGCCATTGACATTACGAAGTCCGCCATGGCCAAGGAACGTGGCCGGGACTACGCCGCCGCCGTGGACGCGTACGTGGATGCTGGGGACATTTTCACGGAGATCGGCCGCAATGAACTCGACCCTGCCACCCAGCGGACATTGAAGAAGAAGGCGTTTTCGTTGCTGCAGCGGGCCGAGGCGTTGGCCGACTGGCTCGACTCCCATGCCGCTCCTTCTATCGCCGAAGCCGCAAATGTTGCGGCAATGGCGTCTGCTGAAGCCGAAACGGAAGTCCAAGCGACGGAAAAGCACATCGAAGACATGAAACAGGAACTGAAACAACTCAAGTACACTTCGCAGATCATGAAGGCGGACGACGCGAGCGACTTGGGCGAGGCCACCAAGGCGTCCGTGCTACCTGAAGAGTCCGCGCTGGACTCGATGAAGCGCGCCGTGGTGAACGAGATCCACGGCCTGCTAAAGCTGCCGGAAATCAGCACATTCCGCCAATTCGAACCGCTGGGATCTTCTGCCGACAAGGAGCAGTACGCGCAAGACTTGAAAGCGCAAGTCGACCACTTGCACAAAGAACTGCAGTTTGAAAAAGCGTCCCACCTCCTCGCGACGGCCATGCGTAAGCACAAGTACTCCAAGTTGGCGTCGGACGTGGCCGAGCAGCAGCGGCTTCAAGCCGAGGTGGCGCAACTACGGCAAGAACTGCAAGTCCATCAAGCAACTCTAGAAGTAACGAGGCATAGCATCGTGCAAATCACCCAAGAAAAGCTTCGCGTGGAGGCTGCGTCGGCCCAGCAAGTGCAATCCCTCCAGAGTGAGCTCCAGTCGTTGGCTAAAGACACGACATCCAGTAGAAGTAGTAGTCGTGTGGACCGCACCAAAGAATCGCGGATGCAGTGGTTCCAAGGGCCGCGAGGCCTCGGCAAGAAGGACGATGATTCGGAGGACCGGTCCCGGCGCCAGTCGGAACCGTCTGTGGGCTCGCCACGTCATCAACTGTCCGACACGGAAGGCGACTCGTCGTCCATTTGGCTGTAACGCCCTCTTTATTTAATATAAACTCCACACTACTTGTTTTGATCAAACGTGGGCGGCCACCAAGTTCTGGACGTGGCCAGTGTACATGCCAAACGCGATGCCGTACAATCCGTCCCCGTGAGTTTGAGTCCGCCCGAGTACCCACGTGGGCGTGACGTTGCCACACCCTGATTCGACGCGCCCGAGTTCCACGACGAGGCCGGACGCAATCGCGTCGTCCCATGCGCGGGTCGGCCCGTCGGTCCAAAACGATTTGGACACGCCGGCGACGTCGTCCATGGCGACAATCGTCCCGGCCCGAGCCAGGCGATTGCAGTTGCGCAGATCCGCCGACGCCACTTCGTAGCTGTGGCCGCCATCAATAAAGACAAAGTCAAATGGAGCGTCCTCGCCATGCACGTGGGGAAAGATGGGGATGGTGGTCGTTGAGTCCCCCGGAACAAGGCGATGACGGCCTGGGAACACGACGTCAAAGAACGCTGCGGCTTCAAACACGTACGGGTGTTCCGCCAGGTCAAAGCTGGTGATGTGTACATTCGGGTTGGCGCGGAGCATGGTCATGGTCGAGTGACCGGCGTTGAAGCCAACCTGCAAAGCCCGGCGTACGGACGCAGGCTCGGCCACGAGCGAGCTCAGGATTTGAACGGACACGGGGAAGAGCGACGTGTGACCTTCAAACGAGTGAAAACCACGGCAATTTAGGTACGACGCCAGTGCGTGGACGTCGGAGAGCTTGTCTTGCGCTTGTTTCGCAACAAGAGATGCACAATCCGACTGGTAAACTCGCAAGGTGCCACAAAACGCGGTTGCTTCAGCGATTGGCCTTTGCCACATCGGAGCGAATACGTGTCGTTGTCCGTCAACTTCAATCTCTACGGTAGCCTCGAGTCCTTGAAGACATGTTCCGTGGTCTAGACCTCCCAGTCCGTCGAATCGGGAGGTACCACTTACGGCTTGAATAAGCAAGGCTGTCGACAGCATGATGCCGAGCCTGTGAAACGTCATACTAGTAGAGTCACTCACAGTCTGTAAATAAAGTCAAGTTTTGCGATCTTGAGAAATGTATCCGGATTATACGTGTATCCGGAAATACGTGTCACTCGACAGTCGAATACAGTTTTCAAATGTCTATCAACTGTAGTCGACCAAAAACCCCTGCGTCTGCTGTAACAAACTATCCACGAGGATCTTTGCAGTTCCAGTGTAGAAACCGAAGGCCAGACCATCCACGCCGCTGGTGATGGGGGCATCCTTGGAATCCACAGAAGTCCTGGAGGTTTGTATCCAGGAAGGCGTCGGACTGCCTCGTGACGATTCGATTCGCCCGAGTTCCACCACAACGCCAGAACGCATGGCTTCATTCCAAGCTTGTGTGGGACCCTTCGTCCACCAAGACGTGGAAGTACCAACCACATCATCCATCACCACCAAAGTACCGGCGCGTGAAAGTCGCATGCAGTTGCGCAGGTCCGCCGCAGCCACGTCGTAAGTGTGGCCGCCATCGATAAACATAAAGTCGTATGGGCCAGCATCGGCATCTTCAAGGGCTTCGGGCACTGTCTTTGTGGAGTCCCCCGGAATGAGCTTGTGACGACCGGGAAAGACAGCGTCAAGGAAGGCGGCGGCTTTAGGGGTGTATGGATGCTCAACCAAGTCAAAGCTAATGAGGTGGAGTGTGGGGTTGGCAGTCAAGATGGTCATCGCTGAGTGACCGGCGTTGAAGCCAATTTGAAGTGCGCGGCGGATTGTGGTGGCATCAGACGCCAATGAGCTTAAGACGTGTCTCGACACTGGAAACATCGAGGTATGTCCTTCAACACTGCTGTGTCCGCGGCACATCAGGTACGTGGATATAGCATCATTTGAAAGGAGCTTGGTGTGCACTTCTTGGGCGAGCAAGGTATCACAGCCACCACCGCGAACGTTCAACGCGTCACAGAATTCCTTGGCTTGGGCGGACAGCGACACTTCCCATGACGGCGTGAACGTGTGCATTTGACCATCCACATCGATGTCGAGGGTAACTTGCTGTCTCTTCATGCATGCTTCATGGCCTGGGTCGTCGACTGCGTCGTGCAGTCCGCCATGGCAAAGCGCACTGCAGCCCACCAACACCGCAACAATTGATAGCATTTTCATTTCACCTGTCAGTGACGATCTTTCGGATACGTTTCATAAATCCGGATAAGTTTTAATCTATCCGAATGGATTAAAGAAAGGCCTAAGCCAATCAAATCTCGTTCTGGCACATTTCTGCCAATCCAAACGTTTGACCCCTCCTAACATCTGGGCAAAACCATATATATACTAACATTTGTAATGTATAGTTTGTACAAGCTTAAATTAGAACAATATATGAAATGCACAATATTATGTACGGTATCATATTTACCATGTCAGTATTGAGGGAACATAAGCGCTTAAGACATTCGATTCTGCTGAGGGCTCCTGTTTCGAATCGATTTGACAATATCGACCCAGACTTACATACTATACTAGTGTGTACGCTGGGTCACAATAACTATTACTTCGAAGTATTAATAATACATGTATTACAGTAGTATCTTGGTAGCCAAATGCGGCAGAAATATCATATACGTACAAAAATTTGGTTGACTTGACATTTGTATGTACAATTAAGCTATTATCGTATTGATTTTACTCTCACAGATTTGTAAAAAATCTGATTCTTTCGTGAGCAAACCAAGGAAGAAAAATCGCAGGGTAGTTATACAGTAAATGAGCACAGCCAAAAGCTTACAGTTAATGCTCGACTGCCTTTGCCAAAAACTCCTCTGCCAAGATCGGAGGCGACATGCGGTCCTTGCTATACCTATAATATGCATGATGCGTTCGTATGCCAGGGATTTATCCAGCCAGTCTGTCGAACGGCATCCGTCAAGCAAGGTCGTCCGGTTAATTTCGGATAATGTTTCCATTATCCTTCACTGTATGCTCATCATTCCGACCTCACGACGGACACGTCAATGAATCCTGACCTCAGTGGGATCGCAGATCAGGGTTGTGTACACGCGCATTAACGACTGCGGCTACACCTTAGGAGGAGGCGATACAGTACGACAGGCGTGCAGTGATTGCGGAATTGTGCCTCATCAATCTGGAAGCCTTCATCTCACTGACACCAAGCAATCGCATACCTCCGCCATGTTGGCCCATGGACATGATGGTGCAATCTGATCTGAATTGAGGCACAATGGATGCACGTGGTGTACTGTCACAGCCGCTTCGTGCCATCGTTGTCCCGATCATCGCGATGTTAGACCAGTTGTTTAACATAACGTATCTCGATATTTCGAAAAGGTGCACACATTAGAGTCCGTTATGGTACATTTATGATACTTCGTGAGTACTGTATTCCCAAGTGGCCAGAAAATGAAGCAAGCGTTGCAATGTTATGACAAGTCGCCGAACGCTATGACAGTGCCATTCGCCACCACGAACACCCATCATTCTGCGATCATTATCCATGACATCGGCCATGATGCCGCTGCTCTCGAACGAGACCTTGCCAAACCCGCTTCCTCGCCTCCACCGTCACCACCATCGTCGTCGTAGCAACGTGTATCACCACAGTAGGTGCCTGCCATCGTCTCCCATTCCACCCACGACATCCACCATACCCGTTGGAGGCTTGGCATATGGGGTCGACGTTGTCTGTGGTGGCACCAGCGCGTTCGTGGCATGCCTCACTCACGTGAGTTGGATCCATCTCCAGGACAAGCGCAGTCTCGGCCGCGTTCACGTGTCCGGCACCGCAAGATCCGTTGCCGCTACTTCGAACGGCAAGTCTGTGTATGTCGCGTGTCACAACGGCGGGCTAAACATCCTCCACACCGCTCCTGCATTTCATGTGGCCGGGCAGTTCGCCGTCCCCGCGGTCGGGGTAGCGCTGACTGCAACGGTGGCCGTCGTGGCATGCAACCTCATGGGCCTGTGCTTCTTCGACACCCGTACCCACACATGGACCTCCACACTTCCCCTCATCGTTGGCGGCACGTCCTTCCGCGCCAAGGCTGTGCAGATCCTCCACGACCGATATGCGTACGTCGCGTGTGATTCGGGCATGCTTGTGGTCGTCGACTTCACCGACCCGCGCCGCCCCACGATTCTCACGGCCAAGCGCCTCTTCCACGGCGACGCGCATGCCATTGCCCTCTCCAGCACGGCGGCGTACGTCGCGTGTGGCTCGAAAGGGGTCGCCGTGATCGACCTCGACAGGTTCAAAGCGGTCGGCGTCGCCAGAGCCGCGTACGGATCCGTCTTTGACGTGCATGTTGCGCCCCATCGGCTCTTGTGCGCGTGCCAAGTCGGGGGGCTTGCTGTGTACGACATTCACGACGACCAGATATCCCTGACGTTGGCGGGTCAAACCAACGCCTTCGACGGCATTTCTCACGGAGTCGCGAGTGGCGTGGCCGATAAGAGGAGGGACGTCGCGGTGGTAACTTGCCAGTCGGGAGGGGTTCAAGTGGTCGCGCTGGATTCAGTGGACACGTGGTCTGAACCCAAACGAGCCAAGCTAGCTGACGCGTGCTGTATCATGTAGCTGCTACTCTCCACTTGACAGACATGTATATATATCTTATTGTATGCTTTTTGCGCACGTGGTGTGCTCATGTTGAAGGATTACAGTGGCAAAGTTTGGTTTGGCAGTGTATCTTACAGTGGCAATTTGCAGTTTGAACCTAACGTTACAGTGCACAATACTGTACTAGTTGGCTTGTCAAGGCTTTAGTGGTGCAGAAGCCACCCCATGAAGCAATTGATAGAGCAAGATGGCCGACGCCGCACTCACGTTGAGCGAGTCCACCTTTGACGCTTCGTCTTGGATGCTGCCTGAACAGCCACATTGCATATTCAGTCCGACATGTTCAAGGAACCAACGATTGACAACACCTGAACAAATCACCAAGCGTGCTTTCGTATGGACGTTTTGTACCTGGAATGGTCAAAACGTTGTCGCAGATTCGGCGAATCGCCGATTTCAACCCGCGATGTTCATTGCCCTAGAAGATCGTTCCATACTCTGAATATGCATGCGTGAAGGTGGGAGTGTAGATGTCGTACTGTACCACGACAAGGATGGTCGGACTCGTGATCTCATAGGCTGCAGACGAGACAGCTTTGGTGCCACTGCAAGCCCCGACAAGTGTCCACCCCAATTGCTGGCATGACGCCAGTGCTTGGTGCATGTTGGATGTCTCAAACAACCGCCGCTGCAAAATACCACATAATAGTGTCGGTACAAACAAATCAAGAAATAGTGTTACGTACTTCATACGCGAGCACTTCGGACGAGCCCACGGATGCGCGAAGGACCTACCCGGATGGACGATGAGTGAGGGGGCTATGCAGGAAGGAAATCATGAGCAAAGGCACGTACAGCGGCGGAAAGCGGCGCGTTGTTGCGGGCACTGGTCAGCACCGCGTGCGCGCCGAGAAAGTAGGCCGACCGCAGCACCGCGCCAAAGTTCTACCGGTGGCAGCATATCATTTGTTTATGGTATGTCACGATGAGTCATCCTGTCCAGGGATCACGCATATTATTCACAGGTGAACAGGCCAACGAACCTGAGCATCGTGCAGTTCGTCCAGGGCCAAAATGACTGGCGGACGGCCGTCCATCGTGGCTAACGCAATCCATCGGTTATACAGAGAGGTATTGGCGATTGGCGGAGATACGTACGTGGAGGAACGAGCGGGTCAAATGTGGGCAACTCGACGGCATCTGCAAACAGCACTACGCCCTATTGAACGTTATGACGTTATCGCTTCAAGTGCAATGTCATTCGAATGATATGATGATTACGGACCTGATGGGGTTTGTCATGGGTGACGTGATTCAACGTCCATTTGCTATTAATACATCATACATGACGTTATCCAACTTGGCGAGGCTTGTGTACCTTTCATAGGTCACGGGGATGCCATATTCGAGCGCTAGGCTCTTGATTTCCTTCAAGTGGCGGTCTATTTCGGGCGTCGCCTTCTTCGACGCGGCGGCAGCGGACGTCGTTTGGCCATTCGTGTCGCGCAACATGAGTTTGTGAAACACGCGCATGTTACATCGAAGGGCTTGGCGAACTCCGTGAATTCCATGCAGAGCTTCTCCGGGAATGACTTCCTCTGGAACTACATTTGCCCCACTGCCATCCGCAGACGATGCACCGAACGACTTGCGGCCTCCACCACCACCTCGTCGGAAGCCATCACCTCCACCGCCCCCTCGTCGGAAGCCGTCTCCTGAAGGCGTGCGCGCAGAAGCATCCCGTCCCTTCCAGCTCCGTGCCGAGTCGGGCTTGCTGTTTCTCCAGCTTTGGCTGGATTCAGACCTGCCGCCACTCCAGCTACCCGTCGCAAACGTACGTTGAAGTCCACGTCGGAGCATCGTGATCTATGTCTACCACAGTATGGAATTGACGAAAGTTTGACTCTGATTGGCTGTTGAACAACTCAATCCCAAATTGACAAGCAGTTTTCAGAAATAGCATGAGCCAATCATAATCGATTTACTTCCTTTTTTTCACGATTTAGAAGAAGACGTCAAGGACCTCTGAGGGGAAGACAGTGAGAATTGGTCACAATCAACCAGGAAAGCATGCATTGGCTCATTGATGGGAATGACTTCAAAGTACACAATACAGAATTCGTAAGGTGAAACAGTAGGTTTTAGACGACTTGCAAGGTGAGCTACCTTGCGATTTCCATAAATCGATCTGACAGTGAAATACTACAAGCTACTACTGGTATTAATACGTAGGATTAAATTTAAAGTTTGGCCTACTACTACTACGTTGTAGTTCAAATTTTATCGAAAGAAGCTTCATGTTTGTATGAGATGTTTTTAAATTCGTATAGGCCGAGTCTGGATGCCACAGAAAATGTTATGCCAAATAATATTCTGTCAGCATTCCCCTTTTAAATGGGAGGCGAGGAAATATTTGGAAAATATTTTGATGTGGCCTCTGGATGCCATGATGGAATGAGCACTGCAGTATTGCTGGAATATCGTATAGGTAAAAAATGGACAGTTGCAGTTGAAAACAGTACAAATTCGACGTATTTTATCAATATATACATGTCAGATTTGGTAACCAAACACACGAAAGCTGTCGTTTGAAAAATTGTCAAAATGTTTATGAAAAGTTGCAAAACGAGGTGTTTTCTGATATTTTGTGGTAGCCAGAGTGGCCCTTAAAAACATCTTTTTGATGAATTCGTAAGGCAGGCTGACTTACCAAATTTTTCAATTATATGATAGAAAAGAGAAAAAATCTGGCGAATAGGATCGTTCAATTCTCATTGCTACATTCCTATAGGCTGCGGCTAGCGCATCATAGCAGCATGACTAAATTAGTGTAGTGGAGACACCCACACCAGTTTGCATGTTGGCATAAACCAAGTAATCACATGGGCCAAGCTTGTCAACTAATATCTACTGGTAACAATATATTTAAGGGTTCGTCTGGTAACCGGAAATATTGCAATATTCTGGCCCAAAACGCCATTTTGGGGCCGAATTCAACAAATCTGATCAAAATTGAAACATGTCTTGCTGGAAGAGGTTTAACCCAAATACAATAATTCCACGTGGGATTTACTCGTTGAAGAGGTCCAAAACCCCATATTACAAAATGGACCTTTTACCTCCATTTTGAAAATGGCATTTTGGGTTAATACCATTTTCCGAGAAAATGGAAAAATATTTTTGAAATGTTACCAGACGTACCCAAAGTCTTTCAATCAATTTAAGATAAAATGTACATGAGCCAATGAAAAGACGCAAAATTTCCTTGGGCCAATGAAACGACGCGAAATAACCTAACCACACAATTTGTACACTTTAAAAATAACAATTAAATCTTTTTCTATGCAATGAGGAATACGTTATTCAAGATAAAAATATGCGTCTAAAATTGATTGTTGAAATTAGATCATACTTGCATTACTTGCTTGGGTTTTGTTGATTTAGTCATTGAAAATTCACCGAAACCCAATTTAATTGATATGAGGTTGTTTCCCATTAATTCAGCTCCAAGTTTCAGTGGTCGAAAATGTTGTATGAGCGGGGATTTTCCACAGCCGCCTTCCTCAGATGCGTCTTAAATTGATTGTTTACGTCCTATAGATACGTCGTTTACAGCACCTTATTGGTTGGGCTTCTAAAGAGACTTTCATACATGTATTAGGAAAGTCTCTTTAGAAGCCCAACCAATAAGGTGCCAGTAGACCGCGACAAGAACTTTGTTTTTCGTGTTTACGCTGTTAGTTGGAACGCATCTTCGAACGACAAGTCCGGATCACGCGCATTGCGCAACTTGTCGTGGTGCCGCTGACACCACGGCAACGTGAATTGCAGTACAAATGTCCAGTCGACATAAGTCGTTCGTCCCCGGCAAGAGCGTGCGGCGCCACGACACCCCCGAGTGCAAGCCAAGCAGCGCCTCCCCCCTCTCGAACGTGTGGATCGCAAGTACTAACCTCAACTCCTTCGTTCGTTGCTGTCAATCCATTTGCCGTCGCGGGGGACGCAGCATGTCATCGAAATCTGTACCTTGACGCGTTCCCTTGTAAGCGCAGTATAGTAAACTTGCATTCAACGTTACATCGCAACAATGAACTTGGCATACTATGTGTGCATTCCATATGTCTAATAGTACAGTGTCGGTAGCTGCTGCTAGCACTAATACACACCATGAATTCTAGTGTACATCATTTTAAATATTATTCAGAAAATATTTCAGTAAATAGTGTGCGTGCGGTTTATAAATGACCCGTTTCACCGATATAAATACCTACAGGGAACGAACGAACGGACGACGAGTTCAAGTGTTGTTGTGTGGCATACGACGGCATCTAAAGTCTCTTTCCATATTAAAGTGCCGTTTGTATGTATTTCCACTAGACGGGCTTTTCAAACACTGCATGGATCCACACCCGGAACCGGACGACGCCCTGGGACCGGTTGGCATATTGGCGACGAATGTACTCGTTTTCCCGTTCGATTAAGCCCGCGGCCGCAAACAGGTCACGCACTTCGTCTACTCACGCTGTCGATTCAGCAACCGATCTTCAACACATGCCACGTACCCGTGGTAAAGTAGTACGCTCGCGTGTTGTCTTGGCGGACGTAAAAATTGTCGGACAGCTTGTGGCCGGGCTTGAAGCGCAGCTGCGCCTGGTCGTATCGTCCGTAGTCCCGAAAGAAGATCTGTTCATGACGATATGGTATGAAAAGGTGTCCATGTCATGCTGAGTTTCGTATACTTTGCCGCCAGGTTTCACGGCGTCGGCGATCTTCTGGACAGCTGCCTGCATCTTGTCGGGGTGGAGTGCGGACAAGCAGAACATAAAGAGCGCAAAGTTGACGCCATGTTCGGCATCGATGATGGCAGGCAGGGGGTCCTTGGTGATGTCGCATACGGACACGTGGCAGCGCGACGGGTCAAATAGGGGTTGGCACTACGATGGGGGAATAGATCATTCATCTAACTACATCTTTTTAGATGATGGATGTGTGACTGTACACGAAACAACTCGACGGCTTTGTCGGCAAAGTCAATCGCGACCACGTGCAGGCGCGGATTGACTTCCAAAAGCGGCAGCGCCGCATTCCCCACGCCGCAGCCGACTTCGAGCAGCCACGTTTTCTGCGATATGGTGATGAGGAAGCATGACGAGATGTGTGAGTGTGTACCTCGTCGGCGGAGTCCGAGTCCTTGGGAGCCAGGTCAGGAAATACCACGTGGAGGTAGTGTCTGCATCCGTGGTGTTGTCAGATCCTCACGAACGAAGGGATGGATGGCCGCACCTGTCTTTGTAAAAGTTGGTCGAGTTGCGTTTGTAAAACAAATCCCAGCTCTTTGCGGCTTCCTTCTCGTACTTGCCTACTCAAATGCGTCCAAATGGGTCTCGTGATGGAGTTGCCTGCAGCATCACTCGACTCGCAACGTACTCTGCCAAAACGGAGCGACGAGTTTCTTGTCCTGGTCGAGCAACGACTTGGCCAGCTCCTCGCGCTCCTCGGTCCATTCGTCGTCGGCCACGAGCAATCCTTCGTCGTCGATGATCGCCACGCCGGCTGCCTTGACGACAATCTCCTCGATCTTCTTGTTCATGTCCGCCATGATGATGTCGCGCTTTCCAATCACTTTCACGTGTCCCGAATCCGCGTCGTTGATTGGCTCTCTGCCACTACGGGGTTTCGGGGTTCTGGTGTTTCGGGGTTCAAAAATGTTCATTTGAGAAGCAAGTCTCCAAGTCGTTCTTTTCCTATTACTGTACCAAAGCACTAACTGTAAATCCATGTATAGATGGTACGTTGATTATATCATTTCGCAACTTCTTCCAACACTCCGTGAACAAATCCACTTGGGTTGTGTACGTGGACACACTTAAGGCCAACATTCCCATACGGTACCCTGTGGCCTTAAGAACGAATACTAGTAGTCTGGTAATGACGCAGCTCAACAATTCTTGATATAACTAACAGTTGAGAATTTGCCAAGGGACACTACTGTGTTCCACGACTAACTTTACGATAGAATACATACGCCACGTTAATAACAAAGTCGCGCGACCACTGTCCAAGGCTATATGGACTTCGTTGTGTGGCGGTTGGGACTGTCACTTGATGCGGAACGCAGTGGACGCTTTGACTAAGAGTGACGTGTCCTGTTTGAGCTGCACCCATCGGTCTCGTGGGTGCATCTTGATTCTACTCAGGTACGTGATAACGTCACAAACGACAACACTTGTCACGTACGGCCGCGTTTCGCCCGTTCGCATCGATGGATGGTCTCGCAAGAAAAGAGCACTATCATGCCATGTCAGTATGACATTCCACTTTGCAATATTTCCAAACCAACGAAAACGTACTAGTTTTGTTGGGCATGGAGGTTCTCCCTGTCCAGCGCCATGGCTTTGAGGTACAATTCTTTCGCCGCCGACAACTTGTGTCGCTTCACGAGCAGGTTGGCGTAATTGCCTACCACGAACGTGGCCACGTTGTCACAGCTCATTGGACGTAGTGACATTTACCACAAATAGTGACGTTATCCTTGTCCATGTGCATGGCCTTTTGGTACATGGCGTCAGCATGCTCGAGTTTGCCCATTTCACTCAGCAACGACGCGTATTGCGCTGTCACATATAACCATACACAATACAACTTGACGTTTGCATTCAAAGTCAACGTACATAGGTTGTTGACGTGGGTAGGGTCCACTTTCAGAGCTTTGACAAACGTAGCTTCGGCCTGCTCTTTACCAATGACCCAATGCCTGCATAACTCCATCGATTATCTTACGTTGGCTAGGTCGTCCTTTGCATATCGCTGAAAGTTTGCATAGTTGCCAAGGTTGCTTGCTACCATAGTCCCATGTGCTGTCACATTTCACATTGAGATACATATTCATGCGGATTACCGTGAAGGGGAAAGTCCGCCATGCATCGGACGTAGTACGCTTCCGCCCGATTGGTATCGCCTCGCACGCGTTGGAGAAAACTAGAAAAGTGTTCGAGATACCACACAGTAGTGTTTTTATGGATGGATAGATTACTTGGCATAATGCGACAGATGCAGCGCGTTGTCGGCCGTGGCGTCGATGGCGCGGAGGTAAAACTCTTCGGCGTCGTCGACTCGATGGACGACGTGGTCCAGGAACAGAGCAAAGTGCCCCAAGTTCACTACCCACGCAACAACATCCGAATGTGCAGTCCTCGTCACATAGTTAAAGCCGGTCACATGTTACCCCCGTGAGTTGGGTTGGCGTCGATGGCCTGCGTGTACGCAGCTTCGGCTTGGACGAAATCGCCTTTGATTTTCTATATCGTTTGTATACACCTCGTCAATCCGAAGGGAATCAGCACCCCCCAGTCATTTCTATGGAAACTGATGATCGTTACGTGGAGGAAAAACGCTTTGCGACCGAGTTTATCGGCGCGGGTTTGCGATTCTGGCGCGGTTGGAACAACGGACGCGCCGTGAAAGGTGGCTACACGATCCCTGTACTCCAGCGGATCAAAGGTCCGTTGCGTCGCGGGTAGTACCGCCGGCGGCAGCGTCTGCCGTCGCAAGTCGTCCAAGGTCGTCATCGTGGCCCCCAGCAGCGGGTTCACTCGGGTGTGAGCTGCTTTGGCCGACTTCCCGGGGGACGGAGGGGGTTTTGAAAGATGCTGTGGCGTCGGTTGGTCGTCTTGACTTGCGATGCGAACAAGATCTTTGAACCCCTGCAGCCCCTGGCGAGCGATGTCGTCTTGTAGACCTCGCAACATTTGCATTTTCTCGTGCTCGACGTGGACGCCGTGGTCAGGATGCAAGCGTTCCAACTCGCGAACGCGCAGCTCCTGTGAACCCAGATATCAGTCCTAACGCTACGAACAACAGCAGCTTCAAGTTTGTCTACCTTGTCATTGGCTGCGTTCAGTTTCTCGTGCATTTCAGTCTCGAGCGCCAACAGCTCGTCCATCGCAGCCCTTGTGATCGTATCACCTCCCTGCGTACACATTCATGTCATCTGTCCAATGTTGATGTTGCGTTGTTCGTGTCTTCGCACCTCTGTCTTGTGGTGGTCAATATCCAGCAGCTTTTGCGTGTAAAAGGCCACCGTGTCTTGGCCCAACGCTGCGGCAATGGCGGACGACCTGGCCTTTTGAATCGACTGAATCTCAGCCTTAATTCGACTGGCTTGGGACTTTTGCTGCTGGCTCCGCTTCATCGGTGATGTGGAAACGCCGACTTGGTCTTCGTCGTCGCCCGTGCTATCTGCTAGTTTCCCCGAGCGGGGGGCCACTCGTGGTTGCGATCGGTCGTTCGTCGTGGGTGATACTTGGTTGTCTTCGTTTTCAGCTGGCTTTGAACATTGCCAAGCATCGGATGCCTTTCCACGCGGCACGCTACCAGCGAGGCTAGTTCCACCTGTGCGATGCTGTTGCAGCCGCAGAATCAATTCCGCTCGACGCTCGTCTCCACGTAACCCCGGGGTGTTCGTGCTGATTCCGACTTGCTCCAGTTCCCTGTGTTGACACGCACTTACACCCCATCGATAGGTCCGACTGAACGACTTACCGCCGCAAGTCGGCCATGTTCATCGCGTCCGCGCCCGCAACACTTTGATTTGTTGAAGGGGCTTTACCCATCACTTGCGATGTTGTGGTGCCCGTTGCTTCCTCATACCGCGCTACAGGACTCCATTATATATATACAAGCGAGCGAGACTCCTTGACAATTGCATGGCAACAACCAATGCTAACTAGTTACCTAAGAGAATCGCCCGTCTGTCGTCGCCTCGGACACCGGGGGTGGCGGCCGAAATGCCGAGGGTGGTTAACGCGTCTCGGAGGTTGGTGGTATTCATCGTATGAATCGCAGCAGCAGCAAGTTTGATGTCCTGGCAGTTACGTGTTTGTGCTAGACACGGTTACATGCCGGTTACAAGTAACCGGTTGATGTAGAGAAGGGCTGGGCTGGATGCCACAAGTGATAGTATTCTGACAGTCTTTTGCTTTTTTCTAAGTTCCCAAATATAAATACGTGTGTCTGGATGCCCCAGAGAATCCCAAAAATATCACAAATTATGTAGAGTCAAGACCAGTTTGACCCCAACCAGTACCAAGCCGGTGATTCTGGATTCGCCTTGGGCGCCAACATGCTCACACCCTACCGGCTGCCGGCAGCACACCAAGACGGCAACGACACCTTCAACACCGGTCACGCCAGCCTGCGAGTAGTATGCGAGCACGGCAATGGCCTCCTCAAGGGGAGATGGTCGAGCCTGGCGCTCTTGCCTGTCGACATCCGACGTGCACAAGATGTCAAGTTTGTCTGTGATTGGATTTTGGCCTGCTGCGTGCTGCACAACATCGTGAACCGCCTCCGAAATGGTGATGACGACGTGCAAATGTATTACGAAAAACCACGTCCCAAAAAATTTACGAATTGTCTGACCGAAGATAGTTACGTAGAATGGCGTGAAAACATCAAGGCTGAGCTTTTAGTCTTTCTCGGCTTAACATCGCAATAAATTCACTTGCAGTGTCACATGTTGTTGTTTGTTTATTCGTTAATTACCAAGATTGCATTTGGAATATTCCAATTTTCTTTTATTCTGCAGGGAATGCAATAGCAACTAGCTCGCGAATATTTTCTACATCCACGATTCCTGATCCTACAAGCTTTTCGATCATTGACGCCTTCGCACACTGTAACTGCTGAGAGGCAGCAGCAGCATGAATGACGCGGTCACACTCCTTCTGGGCTCGCGTGGTCATGCCTCGCTTTGCCTTGTCCATGGCGCCTTGGTTGTGGGCGCATTCTATGCCAGTTGTTTAGAGGAATATGATTGGCTGATGTACTGTCCACTCCAAGTTCAAGTTGCGTTTGATTTTCAAAACCAAAAGCTCCTCGCGAGGAGCTTTTGGTGACGAAAAGCACTTTTCAAAACGAAAATCAAAGTTTTTTCTAAACTGACTCTCCCTAGTGCAAAGGCGCCAAATCGGCGTGTTTTATTCCTGCCATAATTGGGGCAAATCTCCTGATTTTTCGTGATTTCTGAGGCATCCAGGCTCACATTTTTTGAAAATTTCAACTTTTTCCTGGCACAATGTCCGTGTTCTGACAGAATATCGTGGCATCCTCTACACTACGTTAATTCCAATACAAGATCGAGATTGTCTACGATATATATCAACGTGCATCATCGCTTAATCTGCTGCGCCGGGTGGCGTCTGCTGGTTGTCGGGAGCCGCGTCCTTCTCCTCATCCTCGACAGCCTCCGTGTTGGCCTTCTTGGTCGGCGGAGGCGCGTCGGCCGCTCCAGCCGCCGGGCGTTTGTTGGACTTTTCCGCGGCGGCGGCAGCGGCGGCGTTGAATCGCAACGCGCGCTCCTGGCGCTTCAATTCTTCGGCTTCGCGGTCCACCACAAGGGCCGGTTGGCTGGCGTCGGAGAGCGTGGGCACGGGCAGCGTGATGTTGGGCTTGCCAAACACCAGCGCCGGTGTGCTTCCAGATGCCGACGGAGGTGCCAAGTTCAAGAACGGGTTCGACGGCTACGGCACAACTCATCAGTGATCAGTCATCAAACAAGACATTTGTACTTTGGCGGCCGACGCAGCGGCAGCAACAGGAGCAGTGGCGGAGGTGGCCTCGGCCGACTTGGGCTTGAACGCGCCAAAGGAAGCCAGGCCCTTGGACGCGGCGAACGCACCGAACCCCGACGTGAACACGGGTGCGGAGGGGTCCAAAGCCGACGTGGTGGCAATGGACGTCGTGCTGCTGCTGCTGCTGAACGCCGACACGACTGCGGTAGACACGTCCACCGAGAGGGCTTCCGTGGTGGGCGCCACGTCTGTCGTCGCTACTACTTCGGCGGGCGAAGGGGCAGCGGGGGGTGCGACTAAGGGCACCGGAGGGGGGGTCGGTTCCTTGGCTAGTTTCTTCGACTTCATCAGCAGAGTCCGCAACGCCAGTTCGCGGATCTTTTCTGGGTCGTCGGCAGCGGGTGGTGCCTTGGGCTCTTCAGGGGGGACAGGGGGGGTCGGAGAAGGAAGCTGCGCCGCCGCCGCCGCGACGGGGACGACGACAGGAGATTCAGCTGGGGGCAAGGGAGGGTTGACAGCAGCAGCGGGTGCCTCCACCACGGGTTCCGTCACCAAAGGCAGCGGTCGGGTGACCACCGGGGCAGCCACCGGCGGCGGTTGCTCCGCCTCGACCGCCGCATCCTCCTTGGTAGTCGGCAGTTCCGCCGCTACTGACGTTGGCTCTGGGGCCTCGAGTACGCGGGTGGCTGTCTTGAGCTCGGCAATCTCCTAGGTAGAAGAAATATGTCTAGCATTGCTCTACAGCAGAATAGTTTTGTCGTACCTGTCGGAACGCGTTGCATCGCTGGAGCAGTTTCGTGTTCATGTCCTTGAGCGCGTTGTTCTTCTTGGTCTCCGACTCGAGCTTGGCTTTGAGTTCCGCTTCGGCCAACTTGAGTCTTTCGTCGCTGAGCTTGGCCTTTTGGTCCAGAGCCTTGACTTGGTCGTCCAGAGCCTTGACCTTGTCTTCCAGAGCGGCCTTCTCGTTCGATTCGGTCTCCGACTTCGTGGCTTCCAGCTCGGCCACGCGCTCTTTGGCCGCCTTGGCCTGCTGCTGCCAGTCCTTGACAAACAGGCGCATTCTAGCCAGTCGCTCTTCCGCGTGCTTCTTCTCCGTCACCAGCTCCTCGATGCGCTTCTTGTCTTCGGTCGACACGGCCTGTGTCGCCGCCACCAACTCGTCCACCCGGGCTTTCAATTGCGTTCGCTCCAAGCACACTTGTTCGTGCTCGGCCGGGTCAATCTACCGTCAATCAATCACCATATATTGTCGATTCGAAATTCGAGCAGACGACAGACAATCGATATACGACCAATCAAAACCCACATCAAAATCAAGACCAGCCAATCAAATCATCCGGTCTTCGACCAAGTCAACATTATTGAATTCGTGTGTGCCTGAAATTAGTGTGACACTGCACACCTTTTCACATACAAAAGTCAAAGAATCGATGGATAGAGTTGGCACACAAAAGTTCAAAGGTTGGGGTACAAGAATGACAATATCATTCGATACTTGGTGCCAACTAGTAGAGACGTGTACCTGCTGGTACTTTTCAATCAACTGGTTCACCCGGTCCTTCCACCGCTTGTTGGCTTGGGTCACGCTTTCGACGTCTTCCTTGAGCGCTTGCAGTTGCGCCTTGAGCATGTTCTCGGACGTTTGCAGCGGCTGGATCTTGGCTTCCAAACTGGCAATCACCGCGTCTTTTTCCCTGACTTTGGCCAGGTTCTTGTCGTTCTCGTCGCGGAGCATCGCGTTGCTTTCCCGCAACAAGCTGAGCGTGTCCAGCTGCGCCGATCGCTTCGTTTGCTCCGACGCCGTCAAGATCTTGGCCTACCCATCCCAAGTGTGGAACATAGAATTAGACCTCATCATGCATCTAATGCATATAATCATAACCAGTTCACGTAGATAGATATTGTGGAGTTTAAACTGGAGAAGCGATATGGAGAATGAACCAACACAACCAAATGTACACAAGACCATTGGCAGATATGATGGATTTATTAGCCAATTGGATTGCAGAAACCATCATCAACAACATCGAATTCGTGTGAGACCTAAATTAGTGTGAATACAATCACCACAGGACAATTTTGGACATACTATTGTCTAGTCGATTCGAACTTCAAGTGGGGTAGGTGTTCCATCGAAAGAGCAGACTAACCAAATCGGAAGACAATCGATTGACCAATCAAAACCCAGATCACGAACCAAGTAGCCAATCAAATTATCCACTCTTCGACCGATTCAACATTGAATTAGTGTGTGGCTTCAATTAGTGTGATACTCGAAGACGATCTTACATACAAAAGTCAGGGCAATCAATCGATCGATAGATTTGGCAAAGAATCAGCACAAAAGTCAGCCAAATATTGGGTAAAAGGACAATATATATATATACATACCTGTTCTTGCGATACCACTTGGTACTCGGCCTTGAGGCGGTCCAGCGCCTTCTCGAGCGACTTGACTTGAGTTTGGTGGCGCAGCACTTCCTGCTTGGCCACGTCGCTCTTGGAGTGCGCGATCTCCACGTCCCGACGCAAGCTCGAGATGATGCCGCGGAGTTCGCGCACTTGCTTGTCGTGTTCGGTCTCGGGAGTGACATCTCTGTCATGGAACGCTTTCAACGTTGCGGCCTCGTGCAGCCGGTTGAAATCTTGCGTCAGCACGTCCAGTTGCGAGTGCAGCAGCGCATTTTGCTCGGTCAGCGACTCGACGGCGGCCTGCGATTCGGCGAGCGCGCCCTTGAGCGTGTCGGCCACGCGGGTGTGCTGGGCGTCGACGCCGTCCAGCGCGTGCTGCAGTTCGTCCCGCTGGGCTTCCGCGGCCTTGGTGGCCTTGGCGGCTGCGTCCACTTGCTTGCGGAGGTCGTTCAGAGTCTGTTCGGCGGTGGCGTGGGCCTGTAGCTCGCGACTATAGTTGTCCTGCGCCGTGGTCAAATCGGCTTGGAGCGCCGCCAAGCTGTCCTTGACCGTCGCCAGCTCCTGCTTGCACGATGCCAGCTGGCTCTCGGCCACCACGACGCGGTCATGCGACTGCCGCAGCTCCTCGCGCTTGGTCTGGTCCCACGAGTCCATTTCGTCGCGCAGCTTGTTTTCCTCGGCGATGTTGTTGAGCATCTTCGTCTGCAACTCGGCCAAGTCGTGCTTGGCGGTCGCGAGTTCGTCCGCGATCGACTTGGTCGCGGCGTCGTGCTCGGCCTGGAGCTTTTCACTCGACGCCGACAGCACCGCAAATGACTTTTCGTTGGCTTCTGAAATCACCTTGTACTGGTCCGCATGCAGCTCCGCCGTCTGCTTGGCCGCCAATGCCGCGTGCAATTCCTACCATGAGAGGTATGGTTAATGTGCTTATTCTAAACTGGAGAATGAATGAATCGACACAAGAATCGACAGAAGTAGGGTTTAGCCACTCAGATTGCCGGAAACCCTCATCAACGTCGAATTAGTGTGTGACTTTAATTAGTGTGATACCAACTAAGAGGACATGTTTTTACATACAAAATTCAAATACAAAGAATCGATCGATAGATTTTTGGCGATTCTCCTCAAATGTCAACCAAATTTTGGGTAAAAGGACAAAATCTTTTTTTAAATCGTTGGTGAGAAATAGTCGACTGTATTGTGCTTTCGAGTGACATTTCGTGGTTTCTCGTTGGAATTTAAATCGATTTGATTGGCTACCTCAGATGAGCTCAAAGTTATTAGCCAATCAAAACGTTCTCAATGCAATTCAACAACCAATCAGATCGATTGTGGATCGGTTTGCGCGATTGATTCGATTGCACCCCCTCCCCCAAAATTGTATATCAAATCGACAATAAAACACGAGTATTCAAGGTGAGCAACGTCGATGGCAATTTCACATAGTGAGGACGCAAGCATGTCCATATACTAGCTAGTACTTACTTGCTTGGCGTCGTGCAGCTGGGTTTCCAGGGACGACACCCGCTCGGCGGCGGCGACCCCCGCGCCCTTTTTCAGCTGGACCTTGAGACCCGCCACTTCCTGGCTCAGCGATGCAATCTGCCCATTCAATGCTTTGACCTGTTCGTCCAAACCTGCCTTCACTTCGCGGACAGCAGCGTGCGCCGACTTCTCTGCATCGAGCACCTTGCGCACTTGCTTGGCTTCGAGGGTCAGCTCTGCGATCTTGGCGCTGGCGAGGCTCTGCGCGTCGTCCAGCGCGCGCTGCTTGTCGGCTAGCTTGACCTGCAGGCCGGTCGCGAGCGCCGAGAGCCGATCAAGCTCGTGCGCCTGGCGGTCCGTCTGGTGCGCCTCGATGCGGTGCACCGCCTCCATGAGCTTGAGCTGCGACGTCTGCTCGGCGCGCACGGTCGCCAGCTCCACGCGGTGGCGTTCGTCTTGAGATGTTAGGAACGCGAGCTCCGACTTGGTCTTTTGAAGGTCCCCGTGGAGGGCCTTGACCTCTGCCACACTCGCGTCCAGCTTGGCGTTCAGGTCCGCCGCCTGCTGCTGGGTCTGGATGAGCAACGCGTTGCTTTGGTCGTATTTCGACCGGAACCGCGCGAGTTCCTTGTCCGCGTCGGCCTTGCGAGCCTCGACGATCGCCACCTTGTCAGTCAGCGTCTTGACGTGGACGTTGGCCTCGAGGCCGCCCATTTTGGCCTTGGAGCACTCGACGCGGAGGCCATCCACAGTGTCGCGCAGCTCCGTGACCACCGCCTGCTTTTCCTTCTTGTAATCGTCGTACTCCAAGCGCAGCTCCCGCAACATGCGCGCCTCGTGCGACTCGGTGGGCGAGAGCAGCGACGACGGACGGGGGGGCGACGACGACGGTGTCGCATGGTGGTCCACGACCCGCGAGTCGGCCTGCGACAGGAGCACGCGGTACATGTCTCGCTGCTTGACGACGGCCGCCACCATCTCCTGCTCGCGCTCGCGCTCGGCGCGCAGTGTCGTGAGCTCATCCTGGACCTTTTCCCACTGCGCCGACGTGCACATGCCGCCATCATCCGGCTCGATCGTGACGACCACGGACCCGCCCGTCGAGTTGCCGCCCTTGGCCTCGGATAGTTCGCGCACGATGCGCAGAAGCTGCTGGTTGCGTGTCTGCAGCTCGTCCACGTTGCGGAACACGACGAGGCTCTCGGACGAGTCCACCACGACACTAGTGGTGTTGGATGACTGGGTTTGCAGCGACTGAAACAGCAGCTGCTGGATCTGCTTGGACAGGTCGGCCACCGACTGCTGCAGCGCGTCGCGTTCAGATTCGACCGCCTTCTTGTCGGCTTGCGCGCCGCGGAGGTGCTCCCGTGCACGCGAGAGGTCGTGCATGCACACGTCGAGCCGCTCGCTGAGCTGGTCGTGCGCCGCCAACGCCCGCGCGTTCTCCTTCTTGAGCCGATCCAAGTACGGCGCCTTGGATGTGACTTCGTTCAGGATGCGCTCGAGGTACTTTTCCAGCGTTTCTTTGGTCGCGCGCTCGTCTAGAACTTGCTTATCCAGCTCCACGATCCGGTTGTACATGTCTGTGGGACTGAGCCCATGCGTGGCCAAGTGCAAGTCCCCTGCGGTCGGCGACAGATCCGCAATTGTCGCCACCTGTGTCGCCGCCGCCGACTGCGCGGCCTCGAGCTCGGCCACCCGCGCCAGTGCCTTGCGCAGCGCCACGTCCAGCTCGTCGATCTTCTTCTCCGACACCTGCGTCTGCTCCGTGAACAGATGCATCGTGTGCGCCTGCGTTTCTTCGCGCACTTTCTGGCTTTCCTCGGCCAAGGCGTCTTCCGCCTCCTGGAGCGCCGTCTGCAGCGTCTCGCACTTGGCATGCAACGATTCCACTTGGAGGTTCGAGTCGCTCGCCGCGTCCTTGTACAGGTCCGTGAGGCGATGTTGCGCAGACAGCTCCTTCTCGAGATGGCCCAGCGCGCGGGAATGCTCGGCATGCAACTCCATCGCGTTTTCGCGCGCAATGCGCAACTCGTCCTTGAGCGCGGCGTTGTCTGCCGTCACGCGCTGCAGTGACTTCTTCAGCTCGTCCACGTCTTCGGTCAAGCTCGCGTTTTGGTGCTCCACTTCCGAGAGCTTTTTGTTGTGCTTCAAGCGGAACTCGGTCAACGCTTTGCTCTTCTCGACCAACCGATTCTGGAGTTCTTCGACTTGCACCTTGTCGTGTTCACGGTCCTTGTGCAGACGCGCGACTTCCAACTGCAGAGGGGAAAGCTTCGCTTCAAGATGGGCTTGGGCCTGGAGGGCGCGGGTCTCGCTTGTTTGCAGCTCGACTAGTTTCTTGGCTTGATCCGCGGCGTGTTCTCGTTCGGCACGGACTTCTTCGAGACGTTGGTCCGACAACGTCAAGGCACTGTGCAACTGCACATCCAGCTGCGCCTTTTCCCGCGTGATCTGTGCGAGTTCAATCGACAATTCATGCTCGGCAGATTTGGCGCCTTGGAGATGCTTCAAATGCACCTCCGCGTCGGCCTTCAAGCTATGCACCTCCGCCTCCAGCGCATCGGCGCGGGCCTTGGACGCTAGAAGCGCTTCCGAGGTTGCCATGTGCTTGCGTTCGAGCTCATGCACCAGTTGCTCCTGGTTCAGTTCCATCTTGCTGCGAGCAGAGTTCTCACCACCTTCCTTCTCTGTTCGTTGCGACCGCAAAATGGAGTCTTGTTTTAATTATGCTCGTTTTTCTATGAGAATAAAATATCGGAATAATAATTCCATATCCGCGCCCATCCATTGGTTGGTTTGAATGCTGTGGCAGCGCCGCCTCCATTCACGGGCGGGCCGTGAAGCGGCCGTGAACAAGCTTGTTAAGCAAGGAGGGTGTCTAATGGTATGCATATGCGTCTCCTTCCGTCCAGTGATCACATCTCCATGTTCTACCTGGAGCCCAATCTCATCATGCGAACGAACAGTGCTTTCTGTCGTCTTCTGTAGAAATGTGTGTGCATGATGGAGCAACACTTGATCTGCTAAAACACAAGCTGGAATATTTATCGTTATCATGCAATAACACTTGTCCCCTGGGACACCAGTGCTTAGACGGCAACGCCGGCGGAAGTAGGCACATATGCGGCATCCGCAACGCGTTGTTCCACGGCAGGGTTGGCGGCGTCGGGGGACGCCGTGGTCGTGGAAGGTCCGCGCATCACACTGTGGTATTGCGGGTGCTACATGGAAGGATTTATGATTAGCATTGCCGACTCGATGAACGAAAGAGGCGTTCACGTACGTTCCACATGATGAAGAAGTTGAACGCAGACAAGAAGAAAAATGCAATGCCCATGATGATGCCAAACGTGCCTTGGGTAAACGACAACAAGGCGATCCTAAATCCGCATCACATGAGCACGACGATGTCTACATGGAGGAGCGATGGAATACGTACAGCAAGATGTACACGGAGCGGCCAAACCCAGTGAACATGAACCCAAAGTTCTCCTTTGTCTTGGATTCAAGCTTGGGGAACTTTTCCCGGAACTCAAAGAGGACGAGGAGGCCTGAGAGCACAATCACGTACAATTGCACCAAGAAGCTTTCGTAGCCGCTCACAGAGAAGATGCCCACGAGCCCCATGAGGCCGAAGATGAAACCCACGCCAATGTTGGCGAAGCGAAGGTACCCGTTGATCCGCACGATGTCAGTCTTGTTGATCGAGTCGAGGTACTTGCCGACAACTTCGGCTCCCTTATTCTTCGCAGCGGTCGCTTTGGACGTCGAGGTCGCGGCAGGGACATCAGCCTTGGGAAGGGGCATGGAAGCGGAAGGGTTCGAAGCGTCCATGATGAAAGAACACGTGCAGTCAGTAAATGGAATCGTCTTGGTTGCGTCAGGCCGACTTATCCGGATACCTAACTCCCGTCGGTATAGAAATATATACAATTTACAAGTTTACATTGTTCGGCTTAAAAAATGCAATCCTGCCTCCGGATAAATCCTTTCGTTGGGGGATTGTTTCAGCGCTTTGGCTAACAAATGTGACCAATCACAGCGAAGAAAAACCTCACTGTATTCTTATCCGTCCTATAAACCTGTGCAAATGAATAGTTTTCATTTCCCGGATTTAGAAGGCACGACATGCTGCTTAATCGACGTAAAATAACCTTTTAGAATACATACCTTTTGATAATTAAAGCAATGTGATTTGGGTAATGGCGAGGCGATAAGACCGTTCTCTTGAAAACCACAGTCTTCTACATGAAAACAATTCTAGCCAATCAGATCGATTGCCAGACAATTGACAACTACACTGTAGAACTAGTATATGACAGACAGCCTTGCCTCGACGAAATGTCGTCGCAACTGCCGCCGTTGCGGCTGGTGAGGCCAGATCTGAAGGACGTTAATCTTGAAAGGAGCCACGCAGTGGCGTCCAACGAATGCAGTTCTGTGGGTAGCGAAGTCAATTTAATCGATGACCGCACCCCGTCGAAGGCCGACATCACGCACACGCCTACGACCAACGTGACCATGGTGGCAACGGGCTCGAGCGAGTCTCCACTCCTGACATACAAGACGCGAACCAACGTCGTGTTTGCATGTTTGCAACCTATGGTTATTGTTGGGTACTTCATACTCTTCCACGGGATCGCCGCCATCCACCCAAAGAAAAATCACCTGACCATCCTTGATACCAAGCACGTGGTCATTGGCGCGGTTGCATACAGCAGCTGCGAGTGTTCCAAGTGGATGTTCGAGTGGCTTGCGCAAACGGTCCGCGGCGGCACCCTCAAGGACGGGGCCATGTACCCATGGGGCACCGTTGGGGCCGTCGTGTGCACGTGTTTGGACGACGTTGTGCGCATGTTGTTTGTGTGGGTGGGCTGCTCGTCGTTCACGTTTGGCAGTGCGTTTTCCTTCGGATTGGGCTGGGGATGTGTGGAATTGACTTGCCACGTCGTGTCCTTCGTCAGCGTGTATCTCCATCGCAGTTGGTCGTTCCATGACGCCACGCGGCTCCAGCGCATGCTCACAAGGGAGGGCATCCGTCACTACTCGGTCGTGGTGCTGGTCCACCACTTCTTCTCCGTCGCGTGCGGGGTGGGCGCGGCGCTGGTGGCGTTCCAAAGCCATCTCCATTCAAACGTGATTGTCTTGATCGTGGTGTTGTTGCGGGTGATTGGGTTTGTCGCCCAGAGCGAAAGTCTGCGGCGGCGGGGCTCAGTGTGGACCAGTTCGCTCGTGCTGTTCTTTCTTCAAGCGGCCGTTTTGGTGCTGGGGATGTCGCTGTGGCAGTGGGGGCGGCGCCACCACATGAACCACTCGTCGACGATGTCTCGTCATGGCCACCACAAAGGCCATCACCCCTCGACCCCATCGTTCGTGTAATTTACTGCCAGGCGTCGCGGTGCTGGTTAATGCAATCAATCGATTTGACAATACAGGAATAATCCCACTGTGACGAATGTACAGCAGCAACGAGGTTTCCAGTCGGTTCAAAGTCGAACACACCACCAGAGAATGCACTGATGTGGAGGATTGGGAGTCTGTTGAATAGAGTCGACAGAGCAACCAGACCCAACTAGGTAGACCCAATGACGTGGCAGTCTGAAATAGTACGATGTTGCTTGTGTGTTAACGTCAGTTACGCCCTGTCTACGCCGAGAGGTTCATCACACGTCGAAGGGTTCGACTTGAGGGATGCTGCCGTGCACCATGCGCAAGACCATGCGTCGTCGGTAAAACTTCATGTCACGCTGGGAAAACGTCAACGGCTACAACAGTTCCAATAATTAATATATATATATCTCAACGATCGCGTATATATATATATATATCGTACGCGGTCGAGGCTGAGGTAGTCGGCAAACATGCACGTGAAGACTCCACAGTCGAACGAATTGTCTTGCTGGGGGGTGTCGTCTGTGGTGCCGACCAGCTCCCACCCCGTCGCATCGAACGGCGTGTTCTTCTTGTGCTGGGACTCGTCGTGGAGGTACTTGAGCAGCACGTCGAGGCACTGCGACCCCGTGCCCGCCATCGAGTCAAAGTACTGAATGCGCTTCTCTTGCATGAAGATCACCGCGAGGCACCAGTGTACCTGATGAATCCATCACCCCAAACGATGTCACAGACGATATAAATTTGGGGTGCTTACGTTGCGAATGTTGACGGGCACAAAGATCTTGTCCATGGCAAAGATGTCAATCTAAAATGCAGTACGCAATCAGGAATAGTAAAGGGGGGGGTGTTGGGGGACGTACCTTGCGCGTCCATCGCCGCACGTTGACGTAGTTGTACCCGCCTTCGCTGACTTTGGCAAAGAAGAACGAGTTGAAATAGTGCGATTTGAGATGTCGATCGTGTGCACTTGCATCGCGTTCCGTGAGCATTTGAAACCAAAAGTTCACAATCTGACAACGCATGAGCGGATAACGTCATATGATCAAAGGGCACTGTCGAACCTCGTCGTTGAGCCACGTGGCCGGCAAGAGGCACTGTAGGAGCGTTCGGGACACGTCCACATTGAACTTTTGACACAGCACTTCGTGCATGGGACCTCCGTGCAGCGCGTCCTCGACCACTTGGTCGTCGTCGTGGGGCAGTTCCTTTCCCGCGTCCGACTCTTCCAGCAGCTCGTCGATGATGTCCCCGAGCTCTTCTCGCACCACATCCTCTACCAACAACTACACGAGCCATCATCGCTCGGATGAGCATTCCACAACCAATGGCATGTACCTCCCACTGCCGATTCGCGACCCAAGCGTCGTGCTGGCGCTCGATGTCGCCGCTCTCTCGCGTCACGCGGTATGTTTGCAGCTGCGTTTCAATGGCGTGGATTTGGCTGGCCTTTTCGTGCCATTTCGAGTGGTACGACTCGAGGTCGGGGTCGATGTGCCGATAGTGCGCGCGACCTCCGACGGACTTGTCACCTTGCTTGACACTACCCGCCTTTCCGCTCGCATTGCTGCGTTTCGTCCACGGCGCCTTCTTGCGCTGCGACAGGTGGTTCATGGTCTGCGCCAACTGCGTCGCCAAATCGGCATTGCAGCTCTTCACCGTTTGGACACCAAACGGATCGTTCGGCGTTTCTGCGTGCTTGTTGGTCCTTATCCGTGAGCGTTCAGACTTGTACTCGGACGGCAACGCGCTGTGCAGTTGATTCCAAAACTCGCGACGGGACATGACGGGCGGCTGCGTCGCCACCCACAAGGGTTTGTCCGACACGAGCCGAAGACGCTTCATTGCTACTTCGCTGCTCGCCACGGCTTGCTGGATGCGTCGATCCAATCGCCACTGATCCACTTCCTGCTGCGAGATCTACGGAAGCAACCGTCAACGCCATCGCTCGTCGCTCCATCCGTCCTCACCTGCATCGCCGTGCGTCCTTCAAATTGCTGGTTTCCGGATGAGAATTATCCGGATGTTTTATATTACCATATATTAATACAAACGCATCCGGATAATTCTATAGATTGCGACTCCTGTAATAACTGATAATTTTCTTGTAATAACTGATATTTTCTTGTGAACATGTTGAATATACTTCAAATTTGTATGAAGCAATGGGTTAACAAAACGAGTGTCGGCTGGTTGTGAAATATCACCTGTGGCAATACATATACACTATACGGTACGGAAGCCTCCAACCATCGGCATCGCGCCCATGGCAGCAAGGCCATGACTATGTACCGGTAATACATGTATACCCTCATTGAGGCTACAAGCATGGCCACAAGGGATGGAGGATCATGCTGGATTTCAACGGATTTCAAGTGCGTTTAGGCTGTCTCCAGGTTGACGATCTGCTAATAAGCAATCCCGAGATCTTGCCCGTGTGGCAGTATGTGGGGAAAGGTCGGTTCTAACTGGACGTCGGCGAAGGTGTTCGTCCATTGTGTAATTGGTCCAGAGGCATTGTACGCCTATACGTGGTGCGTGTTGGTGTGGGCGAAGCCAGTGCATCGACACCAGAGCGCATCCACCTACCACCTTCTTACAGTACACAGACCACACCATACAAACGTCAAGTGAACGCCCTTTGGCCGTTCGGGTATCCGGATTGTTCCGGTTGCGCGAAACGCCTAGGGGGGTTCACAGTTCAAATTCACCACAGTCAGCATGACGACAGTTCCCGACGACATTGCGCATGGCAGCAAGGCTGTCACGGAAGGGCTCAAGAAGATGTACATCTCCAAGATCAAACCCCTGGAGAAGAAGTTTGCATTTGAAGAGTTCCACTCGCCGCTGCTGAGCGAAGCGGACTTTGACGCCAAGCCCACGATCCTCATGATCGGCCAGTACAGTGTCGGGAAGACGTCGTTCATTGAGTACTTGCTGGGTGAAAAGTTCCCTGGGTCCCGTGTGGGTCCGGAACCGACCACGGACCGTTTCTGCGCCGTCATGTACGGCGACGAAGAGCGCATCGTGCCTGGGAATGCGCTGGCCGTGTCGCCGGACCTTCCCTACGGCGGGTTGAGCATGTTTGGCACGTCGTTCCTCAACAAGTTCGAAGCGTCGCAATTGCCATGCAAGCAACTGGAGCACATGACGGTCATCGACACGCCGGGTATCTTGTCCGGCGAGAAGCAGCGCATCAGCCGCGGGTACGACTTTGTCCAAGTGGCCAAGTGGTTTGCCGAGCGCGCCGACATGGTGCTGTTGCTGTTTGACGCCCACAAACTGGACATTTCCGACGAATTCCAGCGCGTGATTGAAGTGCTCAAGGGCCACGACGATAAGATCCGATGCGTGCTCAACAAGTCGGACCAGATCGACCAGCAAAAGCTCATGCGAGTGTACGTGTGTACATGTATATATATATATGCATATCACGAGGCCGGGAAGCCTATGTGAGGACGACAAGGGCTATATCCATGCGCAGGGGTTTTGAATTCTCCCAGAGAATCCTGAAACAAACCATCGCTTCCTCGGCGGTGACCGACACGGCGGCGTTCACTGGGTCAGGTACCGCGACCGTGTCGTACTTGGCACAGTCGTGTACCCCTACGTCCCCTGAAACGGCCGGCTGTTGGGCGTCGCTCCGAACATACTTCCCATATATATCTGCATGATAACTTGCATATTCTAGAAGAGATACAACAATGTTCAATATGTATAAATATATGTTTTATAAATATATGTTTCCTGTGCTTGAATATAGTTTTCCTATGTATAAATATATTTTTTAGATACGGCGCTCTGATGTGGTCCATGGGGAAGGTCATGAAAACGCCCGAAGTCATGCGCGTGTTCATTGGGTCGTTTTGGGACCAGGTACGATGTTGTTATAACTCGTTGGACGTGTTATAACTCGTGGGGTGTTATTATAACTCGATGTAGCCGTTGATGTACACCGAGAACGCGGCGCTGTTTGAGAAGGAACGCAACGACCTCATGAGCGAACTGCGCAACTTGCCGTCCAACTCTGCCGTCCGCAAGGTATGAACATGCCAACATGACTGACGTGAAGGATGACGATTGTGTGTGCAGGTGAACGAGCTGGTCAAGCGGACCCGTCTGGCCAAAGTCCACGCGTACTTGATCGGGTATCTCAAGGAGCAGATGCCCATGATGCTGGGCAAGGAGAAGAAGCAGGCGGAGCTCATCGCGGCGCTGCCGTCCGTGTTTCGTGAAGTGCAAAAGAAGTACAACCTCCCGCCGGGCGACTTTCCCAACTTGGTATTGTCCTTTTACCCAAAATTTGGTCTTTTGTGCTCTATCGATCGATTGTTTGTACTGAAATTTGTATGTAAACATCGTGCAGTGTCTTTCACACTAAATAAAGTCACACACTAATTCGATGTTGCATTGGTCGAATGTGAGTGGATAATTTGATTGGCTACTTGATTCGTGATCTGGGTTTTGATTGGTCGTAAATCGATTGTCTGTCGATTTGGTTCGTCTGCTCATTCGATTGAGCAACCCCACTGCAATTTCGAATATCTTGACAATATACAGATATTGACCGAGAGTTGATCGATTTGATATATAATACACTTACTTTATTGATTGATACAGGAGGAATTCCAAAAGAAGCTCGAAGATCGCAAGTTTGACCTGTTCAACAAGCTCAGCCTCAAGATGATCCAGGACGTGGACGAGTTGATGGCGCGTGACATTCCGAAATTGGTAAGTCCAATCATCCAATCGTGACGACAACTAATATGCGATGACGTTTTATGCGATAACGTTTGATGACGGAATCGGGTGTTGTAGATGATGTCGCTGCCCAAGAAGAACGGGTCCCGCGTCGACTCGAAGGAAGCGATTAACCCGTTTTTGTCCAAGACGATGGTACCGAGATTGAACCAACATTCACTCACCATACATACATTCATCTTGTTGTGACCAGGACTGGGCGGTGCACCCGTTCAAAGAAGAGTACGACACCATTTTCCGGACGCTGACCGTCAACTCGATGGGCGAAGCGAGCGGCATGGCGTGCATGACGCCGCTGCTGGCCACGGGATGCAACCAGGACCAGCTCAAGGTGATCTGGGACCTCGCGGACGTGGACAAGGACGGGTTCCTGGACTCGGAGGAGTTTGCCGTCGCCATGTACCTGTGCCACCAAGTGCGCGACGGCCACGACCTGCCCGCCACTCTCGAAGAGCACTTGATTCCCCCCAGCTTCAAACGTTAGCGTCACCACCACATCATCACGAGCTAGCTTTCGCTCTTCATCGTCCATATACGATTTTGTATTGGAAATATAAAGTCAAGTCCGTTGAACGATATGAAACCCAGTTGCGTATTTGTGTACACTTGACTTTGTTGGAGCATGAACTACAGCATCATGAGGTTGGCGGGGAGGGTGTAGACATCATCACCACATGCGCCGTCGCTCCGTGGTTGGTCTTGTGTCCGGTCGCCGTCGCAAATGCCGCCTGCGCCGACTCTTTCAGTTCGTCGTATGTGAGTGCGCGCTCGTCCTCGTCGCTCCCCCCGCCACCACGCACGACGACGTTGTGGGGGCGGTGGGTTGTGGGGGTGCCCGCTCGCGCGGACGTCCGACCTACCGCGCCATATGTCCTTGACGTAGCCAGGGCCATCGACGACCCTGTCAAGTCGTGGCACGACGGGGGCTCCAGCGCCTGCTTAAACTTTTTGGCGTTGGCGTACGGCGACGTTTCGGCAAGGACGTGGGGGCCGTGGGTCGCGCCGCCGCTGCCGTCGTTGTTGTGGAGCAGCAACGAGATGATGCACGTTTCGACGACCTGGAGGTACTCGAGCATGTTGGCGTCCGTGATGTCGTTGAGCGACACGCCGTGAACCGCCGCGCCGCCCTGGCCCTTCTCGGAGGACTTTTGATTGAGCATGGTGAAGAGCGAGTGGACCGTCGCCTTGACACGCGCGAGGCGGACGCCGGTCTCGTCGAATTCGGCATCGAGGCGCTTGTTGGCGTCTTCCACCGCCGCGAGCTTGGCCGAGAGCGCGCGGAACGTGGCTTTGTCCAGCACGTTCGTGCCGATGCCTTCCTGGAGCTTGTACGCTTCCAGCTCCGCCGTCGTCTTTTCAATCTCCACGCGCAAGTCGTCGGTTTCTTTGTGCAGGCCCTCGACGTGTTTGAATTTCTTAAAGTTGTCTTCGTCTTTGCGTTGGATCTACACTCGACAACCAAGTGGGGGGTTGGAAGGGGGGTTAGAGGCTAGCGGGGGGGGGGTAGGGGGTACCTCTTGCGCGAGTTTGTCGGCGTCGGGGATGCCCGTCTCGGCGTAGATAGTATCAAACATTTGCTGGTATCGCAGCGCTTCAGCGTTGCTGGCCGTGCTCAGCGCTTTGTCGTACGCGATCTTCCAAGACGACAGCGCCGACGAGCGATGGATGGTACTTTCCTGGTCCGACGACAACTGCCCGCTCACGACTTCTGTTTCTGGCGCCAACTCGATGGCCCGAGCCTGGTCGGTGGCTTCCCGCTTGGACGTGGCAATCAGCATCTACATCACCATGCTCTTGTTGGCTTCAATGTATCTCCAGATGCAACGTACGTACCCGCAGTTCCTTAAAGTCGCGCTCGTACGTGACCTGCTCCGACTCGACGAGAAGCTGCAAGTCTTGGACTTCCTTGTCCATGTGCTCTTTGGCCGCAATGCCCTTGGCCAGCTCCGCCGTCGCCACTTCCTACCGTTCATTCATGCCCCAATCATGCCAACTGACTGACTACTCTATGGGCATGGGCCTACCAAACGATGTCGATATTCGTAAGTTTCCCGCTCGAGCTTTTTGTAAATCCCATCAAACACGATACGATCCCGACGGACTTTGTCGATTTGCTGGCGCAGGTGCTTGTTGATCGACTCGACTTCGTTCTTCTTGACCAGCGAAATCTCGAGTCGATTCTACATATAGAGAGAGTTTTATAACCTGTTCAAACATCGTGATGCTGGGATATGATGGAACGCACTTCCAATGCGCGAACGCGGCGGGTGGCGGCGGCCGCGCTCTCCAACTTGTCGTTGCGGACATTTTCTTCGCGAAGGTGCTGCAGTTCGCGATGGCGCGCGGCCACGCTCTCCTCGAGCTTCTTGATCGCGCGCTTCTCCTGCTCGATCTTGTGCGAGTACGACGTCGACTGTTTCTGGAGGCGCTTGAGCTTGGCTTGCTTTTCCGCCCCAAGCATCGCCTTGGCCTCGCGCCATTCGATGCTCAGTTCCTGCTTGAGGATCTGGTTGCTCTCGTGGATCTTGCGGATCACGTCGCGCTGCTCCTGCACCGTGTACCGCTTCTTCTCGGTCTCACCGTCCTCCACGTCCGAGTCGGACCCGCGGGCGACGTCCGCGTGGAGCCGCAGCGGCAGGCCGCCGTCTTCGAGCACGTCGTTGTCCACCAGGTCGTTGTCCACCTCGTCGTCTTCCACCCCCACGCTGTTGGCCAGCAACGACAGCACTTCGACCGACGCCGTCAAAGGAATCATTCGATCCATGATGTCCCGAAGCTACGAACTCGTTCGAGTTGGCGCCGTTTTGGCGGTGCAATGTGAAACCGTCAGAGTCCGTCGTCGTTCGTTGATTGGTGGATTTGATTCCATTGGTCGTCGGTTCGTTCTGCATACAAACTCCGGCATACTTCAGCAACGTTGGACGACAACAACGGCCCTTCCCACGTTTATAGCACTACAGTACCAGTACAGTGGACTAGTACATCACACGAGAACGTGCCACGTCATATATTGAATTAAAGTATGGCAGTATAGGTCAACTAAGTTAACAAGACATGGCTTGCAGCGCCGCGACGAGGTCTGGGGCCGTGAGGCGCGTGGACGGGTCCTTGTCCAGGAGTTGCGCGACGATGGCCGTGAGTTGTGGCGGCCAATTCGAGGGCAGATCGACGGCGGCGTGGACGACGTTGTGCAGCACCATCTCCTCCGAGAGGGATCCGCGCGGGTCGAACGGATGGCGGCCGGTGAGCATGATGTAGAGCAGACATCCGACGGACCACATGTCCATGCTTGGCCTCACGTGGTCGACTTTCGGACCTTGAAGCATCTCGGGCGACCAGTACGTCTTGGTGCCCGAGAGCGGCGCCGACGACAGCGTCAACGCGCGCTTGAGGGGCATGCGGCTGCTTTCTCTTGGATGGGGGATCGTCGCCGACCCAAAGTCGATGATCTTGACGGCGATACTACTACTAATCGTGGATTGGTCTCGGGTGACCATGATGTTGTCGGGTTTGAGGTCGCAATGAACCATGCCGTATGCGTGCAAAAACGCAAGCGCGGAGGCCACCTGAGTCAACACGTCCACGGCCTCCTAATGCAGCAGACGGATAAGCTCGTGGAAGCAAGGATATATAATGCACGCACCCGCGACGTCAACTGTTTGTGCTCGGCGACGAAGTCAAACAACGTAACGCCGCGGACGCACTCGAGCACCATGTAATGGAACCCGTCGTGGGTAAAGTAGTTCGTGAGTTGGATGATGTTGGGATGGCCCCCTGCATGTTCCACGCACATGAGCGCGTTCTTCTCTCGCTCCGCTTCGTCGTACCCGTCTGCGACAACCTTGACGGCCGCCGTTGAGTGGTCCGACTTGTTGACGCATTGCATCACCATGCCAAACGCTCCTTGGCCGAGTGACCGTGCGTTCACGAGATCGTATTCGTCGTCGAAGTACTTCGGTTTCGACAGAAGGGCGTCGCTGTGAGACACAAATGTATCTGACAAAGAAGCCGCTATCGCCACGACAGACACAAAGCCGCCCGCGACGAGGAGTGAAGCACCTGCATCTGTCCTTGCACTTCGTTCTTGTCCTGCATGTTTGATGGTCTCTAGAAGCGGCCGTGACGTCGACCGCTTCCGCACAAGTCCTGTGACGGCCTTGAGAGGCAAGCGCGCCGTCAACGACATGGATCGGGCGAAATGGGAAATGGAGGCATGTGACAAGCACAATACTAATTCAGCCAAATGCTGGGCTAAAATTAAATCTTCAACCGTGTGACTTCGGAAATGTATAGGGGTGGCGCAAGCGAATAATATTATTTGGTCCGTCGTAGAAGCCGGGGCTAGGCGACATCTCAACCTGGCGACGTCTGATTGGCCATTGAGATTACCGCACTGCACTGAAATAAGGCAATTCCTCCAGCCGCAATCTTCAGCTGCGCCACTTCAAGCACGACCACGATGGCCTTCCTGCGTCCTTTCTACTAGAAGCAGGAACCCACGGTGGGTGCATCGGATGAGTTTGTGGCAAAGCGTGCGCGTGTTATTGTCAAGTCGATTCGAAATTGCTAAATCAGCAGAATCACCAAATCGACAGACAATCGATTGACCAATCAAAACCCACAACCCTCATCAAGTAGCCAATCAAAACCACCCTTCGATCAAATCAATTTCGAATTAGTGTGTGAATGAAATTAGTGTGACACTGGACCATTATTTAATACAAAAGTCAGTATAAAGAATCGATCGATAGATTTGGCGAACCAGCACAAAAGTCAACCAAATTTTGGGTAAAAGGACAATAGTACTAACAGTAACTTGCTAACAGCGTATCGATCGATGTGTAGCTAGCTGTGCTACGACGACTGGATGAGTTTTCGATCCAGTTCGGTGGTAGGCGCCAAGTGGTGGGGGTTTGTTGTCCTGTTGAGTACAGTAGCACCTCCAACATTCCTGCATTCACGAATGAATGAATGTAGCGATGGGCAGCCTCGACGATGTGCCCTGTGGCTCTGTGAACACGAGGACTATATGTATATATACATTTGCAGTACTCAGAGAGATATCTTCATCGCAAAAGATGGCGTCCTGGTACCAGGAGCGCGTCTCTGCATACTTAACACGAACTCACAGCGAATAATAATCAATACAAATACCAAGGTTCGTAGAACTGGCCTGGATATTCGTTGACTTTTCGGACATTGCACTTCTCCCATCAGCTGGGGTTACTATTCCGATTAATTTCATAATATCCAATCAGCGTCGAATATATAAATCGTACTTTTAGAAGAACGTTCCAGTGTACTTCAAGGACTCAAGAACTACTCGCAATGAATCATGTACAATACTCCGAGTAGTCGAACATGCCAGCCATCCACTACAGTTCTGCTCATGGAAGCCGAGAACTCCCATCTGACGTATATCAAGCGGGATCACGCCAGTCGTCGTCGTTCCCGTTGTTCAACATGTGTCGTAACTGTACTACTTTGAAGTATTCGTTTACAAAAAGAAATCGTCTTCGCCGCCTGCGCCTGCGACAGCGTCGTCCATGTCTGCGACGACGTTGACACGTTCTGTGTTTGACTTCCGTCGCTTTTCCTTTCGCTTGGGTTTGCCATCTTTGCCCACCTTTCGCTTCTTCTCGACTTTCTTGGTGTCCTACGTGGGCATATGAGGATGCTTGCATCTACACCGATAGGTACGTACGTCCACGGGTGCGTCGTCGTCGTTGAAGCAATATTGGTCAAATGCAGTGTGGTCCGCGTCCTTCTTGAACGCCTTGAGCGCCGCCTTCTTCAACGTCGTCTGTCTACTCGTCCACGTCAGGCATCATCCATTGCGCTATTCGGCTACGTACCTTGCCAAATCTTCATTCGAGTGGGGTTTCTTGGCTTCGGGAAACAAGTTGATGTACCGCTCGCCCTTGGGGTAGTAGTACACATACTACAAGCATGGTCGTTAGAAAGTACGCGTGCATGGACGATGGAATCTCCATACCATCATGTCTTCCTTCGCTTGCTGGAATTCCTTCTCGATCTCGGAAGTGTTGTCGGCTTCGTTCGAGGCGACCGCATCCAGTTGGCGCTTGAGCTTCTTGAGCGATCGCATCAAACGTCGTCGGTCAAAGAAGCGCACTTTCTTGTACTTGAGTGTGATTTCGCGGCTCTTGTCCTCTTCCTGCTTGCCTTCAGTCTGACGCTGCAATTCCTTGAGCTCTTCTTCCTTCGCGAGACGCATGTCTTCTGGCAACGTCTAGCACATCCCATCAGCTTCGAATGAAAATTCGATGGAACTTACATCCTTTTTGAGGAAGCGCTCGAGGTTGCGGATCTTGTTCTTGAGCGACGGTGTCTTCTTCTTTGGCTTCACGTCAGTCTTCTTCATGCGAAGGATTGTTCCTGCCGTAGGTCGTCCCATGATGCGTCGAGGTTTCGGAACTGCTTCTTGCGCCGCTTTCCACGATAGTTGGTTGGTGGAAACTTGAGCCGGATAATTTTCAATCTTTATCCGAATGATATTAAAGGGCACAAGTTGTAGGGACGAAGACCATGAAAGGTACGCAGACAACCAAAGCAACGTCATGGCCGCTCGTAGCGCAAACCTACTTTGCGCCCCAGCCCGACCGTGTCCTTCGCGGCACATGAAAATGCATAGTGTCCTCCGCGGAAGTGCGATAATGACATCTTGTCCCCGCGGACATGCTCTTCTTCTTGCTCGTACAAAACTCAACCGGTGCGCTTGGGTTGATACCGTAGCTCGAAAGGTCGCAACCACAGGATGCACTCGAATAGTACGGGAAGCTCGGCAACGTAATGCACGTCTTGATATACAGTATCGGAAAGCGTTTTTAGCTAGATGCAACTTGAAAGCTGTATCGAAGGCAACGGCCATCCAAGGAGTGTAGTGTACGTGATGCAGCTGCGAAACCATCACTGACATCGAGTGCACTCGGTCCATGCGGAGGACTTCTTTCAATCCATCGATCACATCATGCTTGCAAACTAATTCAGAGTTATACAAGGCTATACCTATCGCTTTTTGAACCCATACTTCTTCCTTTCATAGAAGAGATCTGTTTTGGAGCTTCCGACGTTCACAATCTTGGGGCAGCCATCGCGATCTTTCTCCAGTTGTGTACATTCTCGACAATAGTATGCGTCTGAAATCCCAGGACCGCCGCAGATCACACACCGGCCTTGGAACGTGCCGTAGTTGCATTCGTCGCACACGCGGACCAACGTCTGTGGCTTCACGTACGAGTCGCAGATCACGCATTTCCCATCATCCTTCTCACATAGACGTCCGATGGCAATGCCTGGTTGCTTGCGGCACATGATCAAATCGGGGTGATGCTTCGCCATGGTTCGAGTTCGTTCTTTCTGTGGATGGAAGGTTGGTCACACTAAATCAGGCCACCGTCGATATTTTGGGATGGAATTAGTGTATTCAAGGTATTTCCATTGAAAATTCCGCCAATCGAAGCCCTCATTCAACCCCCGTCGAACCAATGAGCACACGCAAGTTTAAATTTTGAAAGCTTGGTCTGAATGGCGTCGTCGGATTGGCTCGTGGAAGATTCGGCGGGCATTTGAACCAATCAGATGCGACTACGAACCAAGGCAACCCTCCAAAACTGCCGCCGCCCCACCCAGAATAAACGACTGGTACTATACCATACTTTCGCGCAGTTGAAATTTTACTTTACCCGAGTCTATACTATAGATAATCCAAGGGTAAGTCCTGCCCTATATGTGGATGTTGAGGACACTTGAACGCGCGGAAATGTGCTCCAACGTCATGCATGTATCGGATTGTGACCTTGTCGTCTAGATGGACTCTCCTGCATCTGGAAGCGAAAACGTGTGGGGCGACATCCGCGCCGAAATCCCGACCGTGACCAAGAAGAAGCGCCGCCTGCAGAAGAAGGCTCCTGGTGCGCCCAAGCGCGGCAAGTCGCCGTACATTCTGTTCTCCATGGACAAACGCGAAGAAATCAAGTCCACGATGGCCCCCAATGCCAAAGTGACCGACGTCATGCGCGCCATTGCTGATGCCTGGAGCAAGATGTCTGAGGACGAGAAAGCGCCGTGGAAAACGGCGGCCGAGTCGGACAAGCAGCGCTACGAAGAAGAGATGGCCACATACGACGGCCCGCTGCGAGTCCCGAACAAGCGTGCGAAGAAGCACCCGAACGCCCCCAAGCGCGCGTCGTCGGCGTTTCTGTTTTACAGCCAAGTCATGCGTCCCCGAATCAAGTCCGAACACCAGGAGATGAAGAACACGGAGATCTCGAAGCAGTTGGGTGAAGCATGGGGCAAGGCCACGAAGGCCCAAAAGGCGCCTTTTGTGGAGAAGGAATTGGTCGATCGCGCGCGTTACAAGCGCGAAATGGAGGAATGGAACAATGCCAAGCCCGAGCGAGACTACCAAGAAGCCCACCAGCAACAGTACAACGCCCAATACGGCTTTGACCAACTCGGCACGTACGACGAAGCGTACGCCACCACCGACGTGTAAACGCACCCCAAGCGAACTTCGTGCGCGTCCTAGTAGTGTCTATATAGTAGCTAGCTTTCACTTGTAATTCATAGTGTGATTTTGCTTATACATGGTCGTCGTGCTGTGGTTAACGCTTGATCATAAAGCGAGGTACACGCACACAGGTGTAGAGATCATTCTCCCGTTAGGTATACATAGCTGAGGGACTAGACTTGAACCTCATCACCTTCGCGTCCGAGCTAACCATGCGGTTCATGTATGGGGAGCAAAGTAGGGCTGACCATTATGAAGCATCGTCGCTGCCGCTTTGTCCTACGATGCATGAAGCCATCGCATGATTGACCGGTACAGCCTTTCCACAACAGTCGAATCGAGTTTGATTCGTAATGCATTATCCGGATGAAAGTTTCGGATCTATTTTGGTTATTTCATCGTCAACGACGACGACGCTGGCTATCCGATTTGATCAAGGGGACAACATGGAAGCACTCGTGGGCCAAGTTCACCTTCCTGCGGTACGTATGCTGTCGAAGAACGTCGCGAAAGGTGTGACGTGCTTGTGTAGGAGATCCAAAGCATGACGGAGAGAGACTTTCTTGCCAAAACCAATGTCGAACTCGCGTTTGTAAGGCCCGCGTCCCCAACTGCGATGCACTCTCGGTCTAACATCTTCACCAGGGACTGACGCGCGACGAAGCCATTGCACGACGACTGCTGCATGGCGTCAACAGAGTGACTCCTCCCGTCAATTGCCCGTCATGGGTGTGCTGCCTGCTTCCGTGCATCATGCGCACGGAAGGCATGCGACTGTACACAAACCACTCGCCCAAAGAAGTCAACGTCATGCGAAGTGGGAAGAAGCTATGCATGGACGCTGCGAGCTTAGTCTTTGGCGACGTCGTCATCTTCAAAGGTACTCCCTCGTCCGTACGACGTGATTGACACATGGTCTAGCGGGGGACACGGTGGCCGCGGACTGCCGCCTCCTGGAATGCTCGGAAGATTTTACGGTGGATTTAAGCGCACTGGCGAACGAAAAGCTCCCCCGGGTGTGCTCCGTGGAGTGCACGGACAAGGAGAACGGCGTGCTCAGTCGGAACATGGTGTTCATGGCGTCGGCGGTGGTCAAGGGCGACGCGATTGGGGTCGTGGTGGCTACGGGGGACAACACCGTGTGGGGCCAGCTCATCTCCAACCATAAGTGGCCCCACGTCACAGACGTCTCGAACGCAGAAAGCGAACGTTTCATTGGCAATAAAGCGTAGGCACCACGCGCTTAATAAACGTCCAAAACACACATACACGCCAGTCCAATATCACTTTTTGTTCGTTAGATTGAGATCGTTGAACTCGGGACAGCATCATGTGGCCTTATCGGCGTCCACCGGCGACGGGGGTAGCGGCCCCGGCGGCGGCAGGGGCGGCGTCCCCCCCGCTGCTAACCAGAAACACGAGCACAGGCACGATGATGTACCACTACAAACAACCCATTTTGGCATGAGAGATTTCAACATACTAGTACGTTTCCGTACATATTTGCGGAAGAAACTCTGGGATTCCTCGGCAGGAGGCGCGTTTTCGTCGCGGACGGGTTGCACACCGGGGGGAATCGCGACTTTAGCGGCGGTAGAAGCGGCAATGATTCGCGGAACTCTAATGGACAACGCATGAGGAATGTTCCGAGTGTGGGCAGATGAAGGGGGTCGGGATGAACGTACTCGGGGCCGTCGATCGGCACGGCGACCGAGCCGGTGCTGGAGAAGCTCGCGTCTTTGATCACGCGCTAGGAACGTGCTAAGTTGTCGATGACATGATGAAGATGCGATTACCTTGCCAACACTGGCGCACTCGGCGGGGGAAATGGACGGCGTGCGGAATTCGATGCTGATGAGGTGGCCGACGTCGTTCACATGGAAAGAGAAGTCTTCACGGAATCGGTTTTTCACCAAAAAGCACTGCAACATGACGTGAATACTACGACGTCTTCGTGATGGAGGGGCACGTACCACAGGCACACTGGCCATGACGTACGCGGACTTGGGGTTCCCAGGCTGGGATCGAGCTCGGACCGTGTAGAAACCATTCTGTGACGACAATTTCTATACAGCACCATGAGTGGACGAGTCGACGACGGTATATTGTACTTGGAAAGCGGCGCGCTGGGCATCGTTCAGAACGACCTTGTTGGGGAAGGTGACCGTGGGCCTGGCGCGCTCAAAGTCGATGGCCACTTCACCACGGGAAGAGAAGCCACCCACAGCGCCATCGATGGAAATGGAGTGTTCCAAGTCCAAAGAGTACCCGCGCTTGGTGTGGACAAGGGACTGCGTGTTCAGGTCGCCGTCATCAAAGCCAATGCTATTCCCAAGCGTCAGTGTCAACTCGACCATGTAGATGGATCAACCTGGTCTCGCTCTCGCGGGGATCAGATTGCGCGAGTTGAGCCACAAGTGCCATGCAGACACACAGTACGAGCTTGAGCATATGCGTCGTCATGCTGCTGCCGTCGTCGCCGCCGATAGTAAAGCAACCACCCCTGGTTCAAAATAACCCGATTAAGTACGCTCCATATGTAAAGTGCGGTTGAGGTAAGTTCGCTTTCTGTATTCGCACTTATCAGACCTAATATTGACACCATGTATGGTTTTTGTGCACAAGGTTTGCTCCATTGAACGAACACTCCCGAAATCCCAAGTGGCCATGCCAGACATCACCGCTACCGCCGCCGCGCCGATCCTTGGCAAGTCGGGGAAGCGAATCTGCTGCTCCTGCCCAGATACTAAGTCCGTGCGTGACTTGTGCGTCCTGAACAACGGCGAAGAGAACTGCGCCGACGTTATTGAAGCCCACAAACAATGCTTGCGCGCCGAAGGCTTCAAGGTCAAATAAGCCATCGATAATCTCCGTCGTGGTGCATATGACTAACCTTACAACGTATATTATCTGAACCACGTGCCTACGCGAGTCTTGTCCACAGTTCGTCGAAATTCCTCGTTCATCCACTTCCAACCGACATGCGTTGCCCTACAAGCGGGCGCTAGGTCCAAACGTAAACTCGCCGCCATCGAGGACAACCACATCTCGTTCCACCACGCGCGTCTGAAAGTGCACCATCGGCGCACCCTCCACTCGCCACACGCTTGTTTCAAGCGTTTCCCCGGGAATGCACGGTTTGGTCATGCGTACACTCATCTTGCGAAACGCAGTTGGATCGTTGTCGCAACAGAGATGCAAGAGGGCGCGCGCGGCGACGCCCATGCTGCACAAGCCATGCAGGATGGGTTCCTGGAACCCGAGGGCCTGTGCCATGTCGGGGTCGCAGTGCAGCGGGTTGTAATCTCTACGCGAAGGCACATCAAAATACCCGGCAATCTTTGACGAGCGAAAGCAGAACTTACCCCGAAAGACGGTAGAAAAACGCTTGGGAAGGCCACGTGGGTAGAGCTAAGGACGCGTCAGGCTTGCGATGGGGCATGGAAGGTTTCTTGGAAGCTTTCGGGCCGACGCCGGTGAAGCGCGACTCGAGACCTCGGAGAAACGAGCTCATGACGATCGTACAAAGGGGAACGCGAGTGCTCTCGTCGACGAGCTTGTACTCGGTTTCGAGCAGCGCCGAAGTCGCGCCCTTTGGATGGAAAGAGACCACGCGGCGGTGGCACGTCACGGCCGCGCCCGTGGACGGTAGCGGCCGGTGGATTTCGATGCTTTGTTCAGCATGCAGAGTGCCGGCAGGGTTGAACGACGGAATGCCATCAGGAAACCACGACAGGTTTGGTGGTGGGTACGCCACCGTGTCCTGCGACGTGCCTTTGAAGAGAAGCACCACCGGGTAGAGCGGGAAGGCGGCGAACTGGTCGCGCAGTTCCGTCGTGAACTTGGCGTCGACGTATTTGTCCCGCTCTCCATGTGGGTAGTGACCACATCCGATCCCAAGCGCATATATCAACAGGTCGCGCTGCGTGTAGGACGCACCGAACTCGCCGCTGGTCGTCAGCACGTGCGATAGGTCAGCAGCCATGCTTGTGAACCGCAAGGTGTTGTTGTAATCAACTCATCCGGAAAAAAAGTACCAATTCCGGATAACGCATGTCACTTTTTCCAACGCCAACAACTTTTCGACGCGCCAACACCAGCTTTGAACGATGGACGACGATATACTAAGCCGCCATGAAGCCCAGCTGAACCACTATGCTGTGCCGGTTCATCTTCGGGAGGAGGCGATGCGTAAGGTTATAGAGAAGGAATTCTCTGCGCCGTGGACTATGCAGGATAATGCTGTGGTGGTGGCGACGGAGGCGCTTGTCCCCGAAGCCGACGTGTGGGTCCTTGACCACGTGTGGCTCTTTCAAACGGCGAAGGACGCCGCCGAGCAGCTCAAAGCGAATGACTCGTTGCGCGAGGACATGGCGGCCATCGCAGGTCACTTCGCCCAACAACCTTCCTCGGCCGCGGACGACGTGGACGCGTTGGTTGGTTGGATCGTGGTGCATCTGGTCCATTGTGCGTACAGCATCAAGTTCGGGCACACTGCATCGGATCTGTACCATTACGTGCTGGCAAATCTAGGCTCCATGTACGTCTTTGTTTCCTCCTCCAATCAATGATGAGTGGTAGGCTGACATGCGCCAAGGCTACTGCCGACATCAACATCCACGTTGTCCCTCTCTTCTGTACGTTTGTTGGTGGTCCTGCAGTAGTTTTCCTAACCCGACCTCCTTGACGCAGACATGGACGAAGGCCGACTGGTGTCGCTCATGTGGGCCGTCCAGCCGATCGCGGAAGGCGCGGCGTTGGTACGGGCGCACGCAACCAAGATCTCCCTCATTCAACTCGGCAAACAAACGTACTGGGAAAGCCGGTACGAAGACGAAGACGAGTTCGACTGGTACTGCGGCTACGACCACGTCAAGGACGTCCTGAGGCGCCACGTGAGGCCGTCGCAGGCGGTGCTGCTGGCGGGCACGGGCGCCAGCACCTTGCCCATCGACATGGCCCAAGACGGGTACAGTAGTCTCCCTTCACAAAGCCATGCAGTTTCGTTCTGAACATGTGGGATGAATAGGTTCACGAATGTGGTGGCAATGGACTACGCGGCCAACGTCGTCGACAAGCTCCGCACCAAATATGCGTCAACGCACGTGCAGTTTGTGCAGGCCGACATGACCGCCATGACTGGCTTTGAAGACGGTTCGTTCGACTGCATTCTGGACAAGGGATGTCTGGACACGATGCTTCTCGCCCCGGAAACCCAGGTACACCAGGCCAACGTGTGGAAGACTCTGACGAGCGACAACGCGGACGAGTTCCCCGACGCCGCCGCGGCCATGCGCGAGTTCATGCGGCTGTTGTCAAGCGGTGGCATCCTGCTGCTCATCACGTACGGCAGCCCTAGCAACCGTATGGGGCTGCTGGACTGGCACACGAACGACACACCAGGGTTCCTGTGGGAGATCCTTGAATGCCTCGAGCTCAGCCCCGACCAAACAAGCAGGGGCCTCGCCCAGCCCTTCTTTGTGTACGTGCTGCAAAAGCAAGCTCAAACCCCGTTAGAGCGTCAAGATTGAAAAACATGAGGTCGCCCGTCTGGTAATAACCTAAAATATGCCAATATTCTGGCCCAAAACGATATATTTTTCAATAAATCTGATAATCAGTTTGTCAAGAGGTTTAACCCAAATCAAAAGTAGTACTTCCAAGTGGGATTTACTCCTAACGAGGTCCACAACGCCATGTTACAACATGGACCTTTTTCGTACCACCGTTTTGACAATGGAATTTTTGGTTTATCCCATTTGGCCAGAATGTGGTAATATTCTTACATTATTCTTGAAATGTTATTACCAGACGCCTATTAAAGCATGTGATAAATGACTTACGACACGTGCACTGTAAAGTCGACGTTGGGCGGGATGCGCGCAAATTGGTCGTACTCGTGTCCGAGCTGCTTGAGCAGATGCCGCCACAGGTTGGGCGTGGGGGGGTGAATCGCAAACGAGAGGGGCGCCGTGACCATGATCCACGATCCCATGTCCAGTTCCTTCTCGAGCATGTGCGGAGTCCACCCGGCATATCCGTTGAAGAACACCACCTACGCACGACTCAATGGTCAAGGCGATATTCCATAGCTCTACGAACGTACTTCTTTCGAGTGCGGCAGCTTGGCAAAGTCCAAGAGGTTGCCGCCGACGAAAAGCGGACTCGAATCATCTGGGCACGCCGCGTCGACGGCGATGCCGCCAATGTTGGGCTGGGAATGCAAAAACTACATAGAAGGCGAGACCTAGGACAGTTCCGTGAAGTGGGTATGCACACCTGCACGGACCCGCCGCCGACGGGCCCTCCGTAGAGTACGGGATGTGACCCGAACAGCGGCTGGACTTGCGCGTCCAGTCGGTAGTTGGGCCACAGCGTGTGCTTCTTGTCTGAATGTATGTTCACCACAAAGCCCGTGGTGCCGGTTTCACCGTGGCTCGTGATCAGCACCACCGATTGCTCGAATGGCCGAAACAGCATGGGATGGGCGATCAAGAACACCCCGCTGCGAATCTGCCTACGTTGAGAGGTATAGGCATGTGGGCACGGGAGTGTGTCGTACGTGGTGATTGCGACGGAGGAAGACGACGGGGATGTAGCACGTGGGGATGTGCTCAAGAGGTCGTAAGTTCGTGTGGGAGGGAAAGGGGGCTCGTTGAGAAGACCGTATTGCCGGGAAACATGCAACTTCTCGCTTGTGAATCGCATGGCCATGAACGCAGCCCCGAGGTCTCCTGCCGACGACGGCGACCGAAAGGCATTGCGAACTACGTCTGCAGCCGATGCATATGGCAAGTAGTACTACCATGCGTGTTAGCATTCATGCGACTGGCAAGTCTGGGAGTCCTACCATCTTCTGACGCAGCAACGCCGATACTGCATCTTGACACCGAGCGTTGGACGACACTTCCGTTGGAGAAATCAGCGCTTTGACGGCAGCGTGCTTGTCCATAAGCTTCGCATGTCGAAGCAGCTCCCGGTACACCGTTCGAGCGACCCGCGGCGACGACATCAAATCCGCCGCTCACACTTTTGTCTGTGGCACATCTATATCCGGAAATCCGTATAATAATCTGATTTGACTAAAATCAAGTTAAAAATCAGCCAATCATGTTACTGGAAACTCGATCTTGCCACGAACGGTCAGAGTTATGACGCCACTTTCGACGGCTGATGGCCGCGGCGCCAGTGTCGTAGACCCAGGCATTGCTCGCTTCCAAGCTGTCATTCGAGGCAATCGATCCCGGAAGATCCACGTCGAGCGTGTCAAGCAGAACTTGGGTGCGTTGTTCCTTATCTGCCTGATCGTACGTAGCCTCAACCATCATAATAGCATGGGCCCCGTTTGTACCTTGCAGCCACGACGCCGTGGACGCGATGCTTCGACTGGCGAATGTGACAGCCGAGGACGTGGTGCTCGACATCGGGTGCGGCGACGGACGCATCGTCTTTGCCGCCGTCGACGCGCCGTTCTCGGCAAGGCATGCCATCGGCGTCGACATCGACCCAGCGCTCATCGCGCAATGCCAACACATGCAGCATCGGCGGCGTCCAGAGATACCTGCCAACAACGTCACGTTCATCTTGGACGACTGGGTGCACGTGGACATGTCGCTCGTGACCGTCGTCACCCTCTTCTTCCTTCCGCATCCGAGCATCGCGACGGATCTGCGCGCCAAGTGCCAGCCCGGGACGCGCATCGTAACGTACGTGTTTGAAATCGGCGAATGGACGCCCGTGGCCACGGGCGTGACGGTGCCCTTTTTAAAAGAACATGGCGAGTCACCGTTGTTCTTGTATCAAATATAAACGAACACACAAGTCGATTCGTGTTGTTTGCAATACAGTACACAACTAGACGAGATGGCCGGGGGGGTGCTGGCTGCGGCGCTTGGCTTTGGCGCGGATACGCTCCTCCATCGTACCTCGGATACAGCATCGAAATATCTTGAGCTTGAAACTCGAAAACAAGAACAAGATCGAGCCCACGAGTCGAACCAAGTTGAACACGGCGACCGTGTAAAAGAGAAACTTGAGGTAGGCCAGGCCCTGCTGGCCCGTCGCCTCATTCACGTCCAGCACGATTATCGTGTACGCAAATCCGAGATTGCACAAGAGCCAAAAGATGAGCAAAGTCGACCGAAACCGCTGGAACGCGCCCTCCATCTCGTCCTTGATCTTGGCCTCCTTGGCCTTGCGCGCTTCCTCCGCCTTCTTCTTCTCCACGGCGTCCTTAAAGTTGCCCTTGCCGCCCCCGGCCTTGGGTCCGTGGCCGTCGGAGCTCTCCAATCCCTTGGTGCCCCAACTCAAGTCGTGCAAGTTGCAGAACGAGTACGTGTTGAGGATGTTGACGAACGTCGGCAGCAACGCCATGTACTGGACAAACGAGAGAACGATGTGGTGCAACTCGCAATGCAGCGCCGACGCGAGGAAGAACACGCCCGCCGACGCCACGAACGCCGCCGCGTCCACGAGATTAAAGTTGTCCATGATGCCTTGGATGTCGGCGACTTTCAATCTAATCATCGACCCACGTCAACAGAAATAATAAGTAAACAACGAATAAATAAGAAATAAACTATAAACAATACATACATAAATAATAATACTAATAAATAAACAATAATACTAATAAATAAATAACAATAATAATATTAATAATATTAATAATAATACATAATACTAAAGAATAAGAATAAGAATAATACTAATAAACTGTAAACAATACATAAAGAAAGAAAATCATTTATCATTTCAAACAACGAATAAAAAATACATAAATAAACTATAAACAATACATACATAAATAAATAAATAAATCATAATACTAATAAATAAATCATAATACATACATAATAATAATAAATCATAATAATCATAATAAATAATCATAATCATAATAAGAATAATGATAATAAGAATAATACTAATAAACTGTAAACAATACATAAAGAAAGAAAATCATTTCACATGTCAAACATTTCAAACAAACGTACCCGGCTTTGAATTTGTCAATGATGGGCTTGAGGATAAACCCAACGGCGATGACCGTGGTCAACGTCATCACGAGCGCGTAAAACACGGCTGTGATCCGGTACAAGTTCCTGTTGCCACCACCACGTTGTCACACATTCTATATATATATATGCGACGATGTTGTAAGGCACGTACTTGATGTGTTTGGGTTTGTTGCCAAGTCCTGCCACGAGCTGGACGAGAAACGAAGACCCGTACAGCAGCGAAAACACCTGGACCGCGATCTGCTTAGCGTACGGCGAGATCTTGTCCGTGGGGATGTACCCCCAGTTGTCCTTGAGGAACCCGATGATCACAAGGTAGTACGTGACGAGAAAGAAGTTGGCGGGAAGGATCCACGACAGCCCGACGTTGGCCGTCATGTACGCATATTGGATGCACAAGAAGAACTTGCGGATGTACGAGTGATTCGACTCGGTGTATACGCGGCCCCAGTTGAGGATCGTGTACACGAGCGCAAAGAAGGACCCGTTGAGCCACCGCCGCCGCTGCCCGATGAGCGCCGTGAGGTCCGTGGGCACGTCCGTTCTAGCAATCGCGTCCTTGACGTACTGCATCGTCCACCGCTGGCCCTTTCGCGCGAGCAGCTCAAAGCACAAGATGCGGTCTTCGGCCAGGTACATGTTGCCCTGGAACGCGCCGAGCTCGTGCATGGGGGTCGTGAGCGACTTGAAGTACGCTTGCAGGGGCGGCCCTCGGATCGCTTTGTACCGGTACGCTGAGAACGCCCCCGGGAGCACCGAGATGAACCCAAAGACGCTTTCGAGGCTCTTGTCCATGATGTTGGAGATCTTGTACTCAAAGTGCTGCGCCGCGATGACCCAGTTGCACAGGTGCGGGATCGGGCGATCCACGGCAATCTCGCCGCATGTGCCGCCCACCTGCGGGTCCAACTCCATGGCCGCGAGGAGGAGGTAGAACGCCCGCGCCGTGGGCATCGTGCCCACATCTAGCAGCACCGTGTACTCTGGCTGGATCTGCTCAGCGAACGCGTTAAAGTACCACTCGTGCGAGTTAAGTTTGCCAGCGTTGTGCTCCTTGAGTGCAAACACGACCTGCGTCGGCGGGTACAAGTGCTTGGATGCGATACTGTCGGCGATGTCCTTGCCCTTCTTGAGCTGGACGCAGAACTCAAACACGTGGCACTGGACGTCCACGCCGACCATCATGATGTTCATCGCGTCCTCGTCAAACACGCCGACGTCCCGCAGGAACGCGAGCGTGCCCTTGTTGGCTTTGGTGCGCCCGTCGCTCACGACGCACACGAGGATGTTCTTCCACGAGTCGTCGCCTTCGTACCCCGGCAGCTTCTTGCTCTTGATGTGCTCGATGTTGTTGGCCACCTTTTTGAGCGTCGAGTACATCTCGACCTCGTCCTCGTTGTACATGGTGATCACGACCAAGAGCTGCGGCGACCGCCCTTCTTCGATGCAGTGCAACCGGTACCCTTCGTTCGTAAAGTTCGACACGACTTTGTTTGCGCACGGCGTGTAGTACATTGTGCGCAGCTCCGCGGGGCTGTGCGAGCTCACGGGCCCCGCGCACGTCCCGAGGCGGTTCACCATGTCCACGCCGACCTTGAACGAGTCGCGCTTGGGCGCGGCACCCACGCGGCCGCTTTCAATCTACACATGCGTGACGTTTGCGCTATGGGAAAAGAATTGATGGGGGGTGATTATGTAAGAATGGTACTGTCTGTACCCATCGATTGAGCGTCTCGGCCCACGCAATCACTTGGGTCGCTTTCTGGTTGAGCAACGATCGCACGTGCATGTCCGTTTCCTGCTCGTGCACAGTGCAAAGCATTTCCCCGCCATCGAGGAAACTCCGCACCGCCGACTCGTATCGTTTTTCGCCCTCGGCGGTCACGCCCACGGCGATCAACCGAAACGCTTCTTCCGTCGTCGCTGGCACGGCGTTCACGGCGATGGCATTGCTTTGACGTTGACGATGGACATCTTCCAGGACCCTATTGGGATTCGCCACATTTTTCACCATTTGAGGTGCTTGGTATGGCTGCTGCTCGAGCTGCTGTTGCGCGTAGTGGTGGCGCGTCGACGGGTTCGATTGCGAGTATTGATGGCGTGGAGGTTGCCGACTGTTGTCCGGTGCCGAACGATGGGGCGTTCCTGCTTCCAAGTACGATCCATTTTGAATGTCCGTGTTCGAGTCTTGCCACACGGGAACTCCGAGCAGCGCATTGTTTTGCTGATTGAAGTCATCATCGCTGTCGCGGGAGTTGCTCGTGTTCTGTCGCATCGGTGGCTGACCACGTGGAGGTCCACCGCCAGACCGAGGGTTGTTGCTGGATGGACCACCCGAGTTTCCGCTGCCCTTGGCCGCGTAGTTCCGTCGGGACATGGTGTCTTCCTGCGATTTCGAAGAATACTCGGCCACGGCGAAACCTTCCTACAAAATTCAGGCCACGGGTCATTACATGCACTTTCTCAGTCTCGACAAATCATTATCCGGATTTTTCACCATTTTCTTACTCAATCCCACTATGGGATTTGAAATGTCACGGACAATGACCGAGGAAATATTATCCGGATCATATACGTCACAACTGTAGACGACGCGCAGGTCAGGCGATTGAAATCTTACCGCAAACAAATAGTACGTGGTGGTAGGTATATCGTATAGCTTTTTGTATAGAGATAGTCTAGTTATGAACGTTCGAGCAGTTGGAAACCTGTGGTGAATATGGAAAATGGACCTTGCCCCTCGTCCGTCGCAACCGAATTTCGTAAAAACGGGCGAAGGATTGGTCTATTTATGACCAATAGAAACATTGAATGGCTTTAGACCAATATGATTGGCTACGGGTGAAACGGATGTCCTCGATGCAACTCACCAGTTTGGTGAGATTTTGGGACATTTGAATGATTGAAAAAATGTACACCAGCTGCGGCATTGTTTCTTGGAATAACGGTAGTGTTAAGCTTAGTGTCTCATACTTGACTGTGAAGTACTAACTTACTACAAGTAGTACTAGTTGTGGAACCTCATGGTATCAGTGTTTTGACATTTGTGAGCTCATTGCATGTTTCCAGTCGCTGTAGTAGTCTTTAGAATGCCACCATGGTGAGGAATCTGAAAGAGCTAGAATAGTTTAAAACACACGTACATAGTTTTAAACTTCCAAGTGCACGGTGATTGGCCAATCGCCACGTGTGTCGCAACATCGGACGGCTGAAATCGTGACAGGCGATGGAGAATGGCAACGCAACGACCGGCGCGTCGGCCATCATCACTACGCCTCCGACCCCCACCACCACTCCTCCAGACACCCCCGGTCGATGGAGAGAGTCCTCCGACTTTGTGGCAAGGTACAAGTTCCTATACGATCGCTTGCTGTCCCAGCCACCAGCGCTGCCAGCATCTGTACCTAGCGACGTGCTGTTGCGGCTCCAGGGCACTAACTTGAATTGGACCACGTTGAACACGTTTGCGCAGCGCGCGCTCTTGTGGGACGCGGGGTACGTCCGTATCGCCGGAGCGTCGTTTGCAAAGGTGTTGACGCCGTGTGGCCAAGGCGGCACGACTATCGACACTGGTGCGTCCATGGCATCGATTGCGTATCGATCGAGCGACTTGGGGGTCCCACTGACGTCGTGCGTGAATGCGGCGGGGGACCACTACTTCCGATTGAACGCGTCCTTGCCGAGCCAGCTTCGCACGCCGCTCAAGTGCGCCATCGAAGTGTTTGCAGCTACGGGCACCTCCAACTCGAGCTTGTGGTCCCAGGACACACTACCCAGCACTACCATTCCCGAGCTGTCGGCCCAGTTGCATCGCACTAGCAGTGCTACGATTGCAGCGATCCACGCATCTCCGTTCGCCGAGCCCGCGGCTGCCACGTGTCCAGCGTCCGGCGGGAGCGTGGTCGTGCCGTGTAGCCTCGTGGTACTTGGCACGGGATGGTGCCGCCCCGAAGGCAGTAAAGTGATGACATCGTGGCTCAAAGACCTGCAGGTGCTTGCAAGTCGCACTAAAGCCCCTACGGCCCAGCCCCTCGTGACGGCGCCAGCCACAAAAGCGATCACTTTCCCGCCGCTTCCACCCCCCAACGGGCGAGTTGGGTCCTTGTCGACGCTAAACCCATCGCGGGACACGGCGGTGATCGTCATCGGCGGGGCGTTCGGCGTCTTTGCGCTCTTCGTGGGCGTGTGCTTTATGCGATGGTTCCACCGCAAACTACAGTCCATGCTTGAAGGCAGCTACGTGCCGACAGCCACCCCTCGCCCTTCCGTCCACCATGCACAGCATCGACCCGTCTAACTAGTACTACTATTAATAGTACTAGTATTTCAATCCATCTCTACTATATCTCTATGTCATTCGCGTGCGCTTGACGCTGTCCTCGTGCTTGGTCAGCTGCGCGATGGCTTCTGCGTCTGACAAGTACTTGTTGGTCACTGGATCGATCAACGCCTACAACGACATATGATATATATCACTTTTACACACAAACTGATATATATATATATATCACTCATGTGGAGAGGCGGCATACCTTCAACGACAGCTTGGTCGTGTCGCGCTCGGCGAAAATGCACCAGCAATCCAGCGTCTGGCCCGCTTTGACAGTCAAATTCGCTCGTTTCACGGGCGTGTGCGCCATTTCTGTGACGTGGACGAACGCCTGCTTGGCTTTGTCCTGGGCCAGCGCTGTGCCATAGGCAAACTCGGGCACGACCACACATCCAAAGTCCATCACACTTTGCACCACCACTTTGTACCTGTCCGTACATATTCGTCAACATACTAACATGCCATGAAACTATATATATATATACCGCTGGTTGCGGCGATATACAAACGTGATTTCGTCCACGAGACGCTTGGCGACGGCCACGTCCCCTTCGGTCTTGCCGACAATCTCAACCAGCCCGCCTTCTTTGCAGTGGATTGAGCAGTTCGACTGCGCCTCGAGCTCCCGCACCGTGGATCCCCCCGAGCCAATCAGCACCCCGCGCATCGACGGGTCGTACGTCATGTAATGGGTGATCGCAGTGGCCTAAAACGATATCGCATATGGTTTTGGATTGAAAGATGACGACGAGGATGGAAGTTAAGTGTGTACGGTAGTGGTCGGCGCGTTGGCGCGAGGCACGACGCGCACCTTGGCCATCTCCGCCAGCACCTCGGACCTCGCGGCGGTCGCTCGCTCGATGCCTTCGCACAGAATCTCCACCGGCACCCCCGGGAGCTTAACATCGAGTTGCATGGCCGTGATGCCATCTGTGGACCCGGCGATCTTGAAGTCCATGTCTCCGTAATGGTCTTCCGTGCCAAGGATGTCTGTGAGAAGGCGGTACTCTAACAAATTATATATTTAAAAAAGGAGTGAACTTCACCTCATATTGAAATAATGTACTACCTTCGATGGGCGTGACGCCGTCGGTCAAGTCGCCGCCACTGACAAGGCTACCGACGGAGATACATATTATTATGGCTGAGATATAAAGAACGATTCATGTATGTTGTACCCGATAGATATCCCCGCGACGGGGGCTTTGAGCTGCACGCCCGCATCCAGCAGGGCTAACGTGACCCCACACACTGTGGCCATGGAACTCGACCCGTCCGAGCCCTGCGTCTCCGACGTCATGCGGATGGCATGCGGCAGCTGTGCCACCGACGGCAGCACGGGCAAGATCGCCTTCTCCGCCAACGCGCCATGGCTACCACATATAATTCAATACAATTATACTCATATCTCGACGACGTACCCAACCATGCGGCGATTGGGCGCGCCCAGCCGACCCGTTTCATTGACACAGTAGGGCGGAAACTCATACTGCAAGAACGCTCGCTTCGTCTCGTAGTTGTCGCCGTCTGCTAACGCTGACCGTACGCGCATCTACATACACCAGACGATTTAATATTTTTTTAAAATATGCCTTCTTTTTTATTAAAATAACTTCAATATCATATCAACATACCGCCAGGTCCAAGTTGCTCAATGTGACAGTACACAGGGCGGACGTATCCCCGCGACTAAACAGGGACGACCCGTGCGCCATCGGAAGCACGGACGTCTCCATGTCCAGGGTCCGGATGGCGGAGGTCGGTCGGCCGTCGAGCCGGACGCCATCCAGGGCGTTCGACCGAAGCGCCAGTTGGATCAGATCATGCGCCACCGAGTTGACCGCGGGGGTGTCTTTGGTGAACTCTGGGAACGCCTCCACGAGCCTCGACTTGACCACGTGGTAGCATTTGCCCTCAAGGGCTTGGCGATCCTTCTTGGAGTTGGGCGTCGACGCTAACGAGCCGAGCAAGGCGCGCACCTCTGGCAGCACCGCGAGGGCCGCGTCCGTGAGTCCGTCGGGCACCGCCGCGGGTTGGAACTCGCGCTTGGGCTTTTGAGGCAGCAAGAGTTGCGCGGCGATGAGCGGCTGGATGTGCCGATGCGCCAGCCGCAGCGCTTCCTGCACGGTCGCATCGGGGACTTCGAACCCCTCGGCTTCGATCATCATGGTGCGGTGCGCCGTGCCCGCGTACAGCAAGTCGAACGTCGCCGCCTTGGCCTGCTCGGCCGTAGGGTGCACGATCAGATCGCCGTCCACGAGCACCACGCGGACGCACCCGATGGGGCCATTCCACGGAATGTTGGAGGACACGAGCGCGGCCGACGTGCTGCCAGCCATGTGAGTGTTTGGTGAGTTTGTTTAGTAGTATGGTGAGGTTATTGTTGTGTAGCGACCTACCTGTTGACGGCGAGAACGACCGGGTCGTGGTCAACGTCGTAGGACTGGACGGTTGACAAAACTTGGGTTTCAAAGTTGTAGCCCTTGGGAAAGAGAGGTCGGACAATGCGATCCACGATGCGGCTCTTGAGCACTTCGGCGTCGGACCCCATCTCTCGCCGTTTGAACGTGCCAGGAATGATGCCTAGAAAATGGATTAGGGAACAGCACCGTGTTGATTGGGACGTACGCACCCGTGGCCGAGTACTTCTCGCGGTAGTCGACACTGAGAGGAAGAAAGTCAGGAGACGCGGTCGCGTCGACGGTCTTTTCACTCACGACGGTGGTCAATACCATGGAATCGCCCCACCGGGCCATCACGCTGCCGTCCGCCAACTTGGCGTATTTTCCAATGGAGTAGTCGATGTCGGCTTGTCTTTGGGTCAAGGACTCTTCGACCTTGGTCGCCTTTGTGGAAAGCGGCGGCGTGGATGCATCTTCGACAGCAGCTATGGCGTCCACTGCTGGAGGTGACGCAGCTGGCACATCTTTGTCCTTGCCAAACCAACTGAAGAATGGGCGGTGCTGCAAAGGGACAGCCATCCAGACAGGTTGTCGTAGTGCCACTTGATGCAGGGCCATGGCGTCATGGCGCATGGGACGATGGATATGTCCAAGTGCCGCAATGCGGCGGCCTGGCAGTCGAAGCATCCCTGTGTCGTACAACAAGCGCAATTGTGGTTGGACGTCTCGGCATTTTGCTTTTCATTGGATAAAATCTCAGGGAAAATACGGATACCAACCGGATAAATTGGGGCTTCAACTCGTGATATTATCCGTACATATCCGGATAATGCTACATTCGGCGACGGAAGGATGGACGTCGCCATGGACGAAGCTGCCAATGTCGATAGGACTGAACCGGCATCGTCCTTGGAAGATGTGGCCATGGATGTGATTCGGGTGCTCATGGACGAGCACAGCGGAAGCCACGCGTTGCAAGATGCCTTGGATGTGCTGCAGAGATTACCATTCATCGTTCGCCATGTGGTGGATGCATGGCGCACGTCGCCGTGCCCATCGCGAAATGGTGCGAAGATTCTGCTTCAAGTGGCACAAGACGAACTCTTCCAGGATGTGGCCGACTCGTTGGACGTGGCGCATGTGATCCCATTCCTCCGGGGGTCCGAGTTGCCCCATGGGACCAAAATCGCGCTTGTCACGGCGCTCGCGTGTCGCCAGCCAGTGCAGGAATGGTTCGACGAAGCGTATGGGATTCTTCAAGCCGATTTCCCCATGCATCCATCGACCCTCATGCAGATGACCACGCTAAGTCGATGCCTCGAAATGCACAAGCACCCCATGTCCACCACCCACGACACGCGACTCGGGCACCTCGTGCAGACAGCGGCATCATCATCATTGTCCACTTCCAGTGCAGCCGCATGGTCGCCTGCTATTCCCGCGTCCGCCTTGTCCGCTTCATTGGCCATCCTAGCCCGATGGGAGAAGCTCCATGCCGTGGGTACGTGGTTAATTCTCGTGGATTCCTGTGATTTGTATCGACTAGAACGAATCGTGGCTTGTAGTGTGGAGGTTGTGTGTGTCTAAACCATTCCAAATCCTGACCGCGAGCTCGGTCGTCTTCTTTAGCGACGTCATTTCGCTGTTGTGGGACGCCGCTGGCTCGTTGTCCCTCGTGCCCGACATCGCGTCCATCAGCCGCCGCATGGTCGTGGAGGTCGCGGCGGTCGCCGCCTTCTCGCCGCTCGCGTGCGCCCAGGCCATTCACGCTGCATGTGTCGCTCCTTCTCGACCCTCAAAGTCCACTCGGCTGAGTTTGCATCGCTGTCGTCCTGCCACGTGGATCCTCGATGTCGTGCGCGACTGCTTCCACCTAGCTCCTCCTCAGGAAGACAACGTGATGGCGTGGATGGGCCTTGTCGCAGATATCTCCATGCTCTTGTTCCCAACAGACCACACGTTGACAGCCGCTCGATCTCTGTGGGATGTGTGTTTGGTTGAATGCAGTAGGCGGTGCCACGTACTCCTGGCCCTGGCCTCCCACGTCGACTCTATGCCACCCTCGTCTCCACACTACACGCACTTACGCGCTTACGTTGTCGACACTTTTGCGTCCATCCTCAAACCACCATCTACTATCACCACCACCACCTCATTCAACCTCCCGAGTAGCCACGAGAAGGCCATGGAACGACGGCGGCGGCGGCAACTTGGCTGGACCATTCCAAACGATGCCATGGGTATCTTCATGGCGAGTATCACCAGCGTGCACATGTGGGCCGACGTGTTTGCCATTTGCGTGGCGGACGATTCATGTCAAAGCTACTGGGTGCACGCGCTGGCGTCGGAGCGATCGGCATTGAAGCAGCTGGTCACGGACGTGCTGCTGCTTTGGATCACATTGGGCACAACCCGCGGGTTCCATCTCGCCGTGTGCGTGTCGAGTGACTTGCAATCGATTGAAAGCGCAACCGCGCAGGACTTTAGCGACTTCCTCATCCAGTTCGACCGCCTCGAGCTGCTCGTGTCCTACTTGGGCGACCCAGTGGCGGCGCAGTCGCTGCCTCCCCGCCGCCGGGTATTCGTCCTCCACGTGGTGGACTTGTGCCTCGTGCACGCCGACCCGGACACGACCGCGCACTTGATGGCGGGCGTGGTCGTGATGGGGCGGACGTTGGCCGCGTCCCCGCTGATTGCGCACTCGAGCTCCGTCGTCACGACCTTTCTCGCGCACTTGGAGTCGCCCCACCACACTCTGGACGACACGTACCAGTTCTATGCCCATTGCAAAGGCCAAGACGACCAGTTTTGCGACAACATTTACTACAGCGTGGTGTTGGCCGAGGCGTGGAAACCCACGTTTTCACCAGAGTCTCGGCACCAATGGCACTTTTTACTGACGTGCTTGGCGTGGTGGGCGAACTGTACGACGTCGCGAGGTCGTACAACCAACATTCTGTGTCCATGGACGTTTGATCCAGTACCCGACGCATTGCTCGAGTACGTGACGCCGACACCGACTCGGCCGTTCTCGTCGCTGAGACTCGAAATGCTCGTGAGACGGTACCTTGAAGGCAGCGGGCAGCCGAACCTGGCGCACCTCTCGCAAGTGCTGGCCACGACCATGATCGAGCACGACACAATGCGCCATGACGTGGCAGCCGTGTGGCGACGGTTCTCGAAATGGATGGTCGTGAACGCATGTGTTCCTTCGCTGCAGACGGCGCTGCTTCAAGAGGGGGGGGTCCGCCGCGCCTTCTTTCTGCCGTCCGTGTGCCCGGACCTGAGTCTTTCCACCCTCTTCAACCATCCGCGCCTCTGCAGTCGCCTGGTGCACTTGGCCGCCACCGATCCAGCGACTCACGACGACCTCCGAGCGTTCTTGGATATTCCCAACAACCTCGTCTTCGCAGGGGTGGTGTCGATGATTCTGGACCTCGTCGCAGATCTTCAGGACCTGGACGCGTGGAAGGACCTGTGGCATCGACAACGTTCATGGCAGTTCGACCACGCCCCGAGTTTGCCGTTTGGCCACGTGTCATGTTTTGGGTTTGTCGTTGGCTCCTGCGATACTGTGTACACATTGACGCCTGTGACAGGAGGCGGGTGGACCAGGACGGTGCTACCCACGACAGCCCCACGATCTGAACCAACTCTGAGGTTTGACTTTGCCAGTTGGTTGCTCGTGATGGCTCACTTGACCGAAGACTCGACGCACCAACAGAGTGCACTGCACTTGGTCACCAGCGTGTACTTGCCCGTGCAATTTCGGGGCTGCCGACTCGACTTGCTCCGAGAGTTTGTGTTTGTGGTGGCCACCACTGACGCGCCCCTGCCACCCTGGCTCACGGCCACCCTATTCAGCATTCCGTTCCCATCATCCTTCTCCACTTGGTTACGGGAAACTCTCCAGCACTTAGTGAATCGCCTTGAAGCGTCCGCCCATGACAAAATAGACGTTCTGTCTGCAGCGCTGGTCAAGGCTTTCGAGAACGCCTCGCTACTGGAGCGAGCGACTGGCGCGATGATGCAGCAGGCCTGTGAACCGATTTGGGGCAGTTTATGGCACTCCCACGCTGTGTTTCGCTCGTCAGAGGTTGCGCCGTATGTGATAGCGCTGATGGCTGGACAGTATTGCCTGTCCCCAGACAAGCCCACCATATTGCTGCAACTGCAAGCCACTTTGTCGCACACGAAGGACTTTATGAGCAACATTGTAGAGATGTGTCCAAATGTGATTGAAAAGGTCGAGCGAAGCTGGATGTACTTGTACCCCACCGAGTGCCTCGACGTGCGACGCATGTTGGAACGTCTGCGGAACACCCCGCCCCAGTAGCGAAGTATATATATGTAACAAGGTTGTTTCAAATCCACACTTGGTTTCGATCATTAATTGGTTATACATGGTTACATTCATTTTCAACACAATAAAAAGCTCGCTCGGGCGGGGGGCGCATCCACATCTGGGGGGGGGTATGCAATGCACACACGCACCATCGTGCTGACAGCTTTAAATAAGGTTTTGGTAGCCGTTTTCGATCTTGACGGGGCTTGAACTCGTCACCTTTTTGGCCGCGACCAGCGCGATCATGCCAAGCCCAAACGACACCAACATGGTGAGCGCGGGGGTGACCTGCGACGCCGTGAGCAAGCCCGCCGACTGCAAGAACTCCTTGATCAAAATCGCGTGGTCGATCGCAAACTCTTCGCCAAAGAGGCTGTACACGCTGGGCTGCTGGCACAGAATGAATCCGCACAAGATGGACGCGGCTTGGCCGATGGTTTTGGAGAGGGCATTGTCAAACTTGGACGCGTGCGTGTAGCAGTTGAGCACCGCCTCCATGCAGTCGCACTTGAGCGTGAAGATCTTGTACAGGCACGCCACCGTTTGGTACGACGACGCGTAGTCGGTGTTCTGGAGGCGGAGGTCGGCAATGTCGCATCGCGAGTGGTCGAACAGCTGCGTCTGCAAGAACCCGGCGTACTGGTCCAAGCTGCAGTATTCAAACAACCCATCGGACGGGCACTTCTTGGCCGCTTCAATGTCGCCCGGTCCCAACGGCGTGTCCGTGACCTTGAAGTACCCGTCCTTGCGGATCGTGCTGCCAACCAGCCCGCGGTCGTATTCGCACGTCGTGAGGTGGTCTGTCACAGTCACTTTGCTCGGGAGGCCCGACGTGACGGTGAAGTATTTCAAGTCGCGGTACGACACGCGCTGGTAGTTGATGATGAAGTCCGGGTCGGACTCGACTGCCTTGGGCAACTTGTCGCTGGGACAAACGAGGCGCCCAGTGGTTGCCGATCGCTCCACGGGTTTGACGAACGGCACAGACACCGTCGACACCTTTCCGCCCTTGGTTGTTTCGTACGCCACGCACACGTCGTTGTGGAAGGCCGACGCGCGGGGATTGGAGTGGGCGCTGTTGCAGCATGCGCCGTCGGGAGCTGTTTCGTCGCAGTCGGCGGCGAGGATGAGGTGGCCGACGTTGGACTGCAAGAAGTGCAGGTACTGTGTCACTGCGTCGTCGCATGTGATGGTGTCCAAGAGCTTGTTGCCACTGACGGGTCTTGGGGAGCCAGTGCAGGCGGCGAGGTACTCGGGCGCAGAGATCAAGTAGTCGGCTCGCGTTCCGTCATCGACAGGATCAGAGCTGACTTGTTCGATCAGCACACGCTCTTCGGCCGACAACAGTTGGTAGTTGCTGCCGTATTGCTTGGGATAGCTTTCGTCATAATCGTCGGCGCCATCTTCGTAGTCGCCCCCTTGGCTGTCGTAGTTGTCGCTGCTGTACGAATCATCACCGCCGTACCCATTGTCGTACTCGCCATAACCCCCATACGTGTCATCTGGTTTAGGAGTTGTCACCGGCGGGATGTACGTATCGATTCCTGCGACAGTCACGGGCACCAAAATACGAGACCACTCGGCAAAGTGATCGGTGGGGAGGCAGCACGATTCGCCAATGTGGATGCGTTCGGCAATCGCGTCAAAGGTGGCGTCTTGGCCGCTCAAGTGCTTGCGCACGGTCTTGAGCTGGCTCGCGCCGATGGACAGCACTTCCCCGAGCAATGCCTGGAAGTCCTGGGTCGTCTGCAACGCTTCCGCGCCTGCGCACGATGTTACACACGACGTGTAGGCGGCGATGGTGCCTAAGTTGTCTTCGACGGTCGTCGCCGCGTACGCCGACGGCAGTGTCGTGCATTTCTTAGCAAGGCACTCTTGGTACCGAGTCAAAATTGTGGTCGCGTAGCTTGGGTCGATGATTTGGTACGCCGGAGCGAATGTCGTAGCCTTGTAGTTGGAGCTGGCCTTGCCGCCGTTGTAGTTGTTGGACGGCGGATTTTTGTATGGAGAAGCCGACGCGATGGTCGCAGCACCGGCAGCGACAGAAAGGAATCGATACATGACGAGACTGTTTGTTAGCTGTCACTGCACAACTCGAATCGGAAAGTAAGGGTGTCGGTGGAAGGATTGGGCGGCACGTGCAACGAAGGGGCGTGCACTTGGGATCGCTTCCGATTGGCTACGAACAATTCCCCTCCACGGGGATTGGCCACCAATGTTTGCCCGTTCGAAGCGACGTTTGAAACTCCCGCGCCAAGCACTGTGATTGGCTTCGAAACATTGTGCCCCTTCACGAGCCAATCAGATGTCGTGACGCAAATATCGCTTGGCGAAACCACTTGAAACCACGGAAAGGCCTGAATGACCCACAACTGTGGCACTTTCCATCATGTGGCCACATGCCCCAACCTTGTGGCAGATGTCCATCTCTCGACACTCACAACAGGGGCAACTTGCCCATCATTCAACCATCTTGGACACTGTGCCCAACGTTCGTGGTGAATATTCAACCTTTTCACCGTCATTGTTCACAATTCCTTAGCTCTATCTGTGCATAACGGTATACATATGTAACTATGTACTGAATTGAGCGGCACCAATGCAAACGTACACCTCGTCATCCGGCTAACCTTAGCGCCATGTTAAATTTTCAGTACTCATTCAAAGGTTCCGTTAAATCCGGATAAAAATCTCATTATCCGAACGACTCGTTGCCAATCGATTGACACGCAATAAAATAAGCCAATAGCATCGCTTCAATCCCATTCAAGCGCAACCATTGGTCAAATAAACCAAGATCTGCTCACCAGTCAAACACTTGCGGCAACGATCGACTTGGCGCTGGGATGTCATTTTCGTTCAGCACCGAATCCGAAACAGTATGCGTCAATTGCTCAGCACCCGTCTTGTGGAAATCCCCGAAGATGTCAAGTTCTCCTTGAGCGGTCGCAAGATCACCGTGACCGGCAAGCGCGGCACCATCTCCCGCGACTTCTCCCACGTGACGTTGGACTTGCGCCGCGTCAACAAGAAGACGCTCCGCGTCGACTTGTGGTTCGGCAACCGCAAGCAACTCGCGTGCGTGCGCACGGTGTGCTCGCACATCGAAAACATGATCACGGGTGTCCGCGTCGGCTTCCAATACAAGATGCGCTTCGTGTATGCCCATTTCCCCATCAACGTGACCTTCGAGAAGAACACGGTGGAAATCCGCAACTTTTTGGGTGAGAAGCGCGTGCGCCGCGTCACTTTGTCCGAAGGCGTGAGCTACGTGCGCTCGCCCGACGTCAAGGACCAGATCGAGCTCAGCGGCATCGACCTTGCCAAGGTGTCCCAGGACGCCGCCAACATCACCCAGTCGTGCTTGGTCAAGGAGAAGGATATCCGTAAGTTTTTGGATGGTATCTACGTGTCCGAAAAGGGCAACATCGAAATTGAAGAGTAAGCGATGTGCCTCTGCTGGTGCTGCTGATAACTTTGGATAAAATCGGTTGCGATTGTTCTCCGTTTCTGGGTTGACTGCCACTTGGCCACACCAGAATATGGTGCAGCCATTGGCGTCTTCTGTCCGGGCGGAATTTATGAAGCCACCGAGCCTCACGGGGTCGACTGGGTTGATTGAATTCCGTTGACATATTGTATACGTACCTGTATCGCATATAGTACTACGCAGGCACAACAAAGTAGGCAGTTGGGGGATGAACGGATTCCGCACACTGGCACGCACAAAGTCATTTCGTGTTTGTAAAACCTACAGCAGTGTAGTAGGTGCAGCGATACAGAGTATGCTGTGCATATATAATGTCGAGTCTGGTGCCATGAACGACTGACTGCTGGGCTGTACTGAATGAAGTATAGGGGAATACCAAAGTCTCATAACAATAGCCATGGTTTGGCATTCCTGCATATTGAACTGACATGTGACACTACCACCTGCAGATCTTGCTTGCTACTGTTCATCGTCGATACTGGTGGATTTTGCCTTGATGTGAACTCGAATCCCCTTGACCTTACGGTCGGGCTACGCTTGCATTGCTCGTCGAGCTCGGTGAGGTATACTAGTACTAGTACTACAAGGATAAAAGTCGTACGGTGCGACCTTCCTCCATTGGAGCGATGGAATAGCAAGCTCGAGATATTATGCGTTCTATGGTAACATTTCGGGGGTGCTTACTCAAGTCGTCCGGCATCGTCGTTGAGTTGTTTTAATCGGGCTTGGATGCGCGATTCGACTTCTTCTTCTGAGATGTTGACAAAGGACGGAATGAGAGACGGCAAGTCGATGCTGTCGATCACCGGGGAGACGAACGCGGCGTCGGAAGTCCCAGGCACGTCGTGGATGGCGTCGGGGCCGTACTTGGCAATGTACCGCTCGATGGCGGTGGCTTGGCGCCACTGGTCAAAGTACTTCAGACCAAAGAAGATGCCGGCCCCGACTGCAGACCCCGCGGCGGCGCCTTGAACAGCGCGGACGGATGAGCCCGTTAGCCCGAGAAGCCCTCCACCAGTGATGGTGCCGGGAACGACGTAGCTCGTCATGTCCCGCTGGCCGCGTCTCTTCGAGATGATCTGATGGAAGGTGACGTACGATGCAGAGGCCACGGCAAAGTTGGCGCCGACAGATGCAGCGTAGAAGACCACGCGTTCGCCTCGGAGTGCCGCAAGGGTAGCTCCCCAGCTGGCGCCGACGGCACCTACGCAGAAGAAAGTGTCACGGTCGTCAGGATAGGTGTGCGACTCATGTACCTCCAGAAGCGAAGCCTGTGAGCATGGACTGAATGATGCTGAACGAGTCGTCCAAGGGACTGCTTGCCGGCTGCGGAGTTGTGGGATCGGCGTCTGCCATCTTATTGTACGAAACAATCGAGCAATGCCAGTGGTAATAATAATTCATTTTTAACCCTATTTTCGATTAAGTACTCCATGGACTAATCCAGTTTTTTAAAACTGTATTTTCATTATTTTAATAAAGAAAATACAGTGTGAAAATGAATGAATTGGTTGAGTCCTTGTACTTTTTACATACATGTAGTTGATTCGCCAACAGATCGGTTTCTTTTAGCAAATAATTACTGGTGTAAGTACTACAGTACTGTACCCTATGGAGTTCCAACTCATGCAGGTCGCCAATACCAATCCTTGCATGCTCTTTGGCCAATCTGTAGTGCAGCAGTCATTAGCCAGTCCACGGAAGCCCCTTCGCCACCTCTTGATCCCCCCAACATCCGTCCGCCCCCCCCTCCCGCCTCGATCCACCAACACTCCCGAGCCCCGCCTCCTTGGTTTGCATGCTGGGTCGGTCGTCTATTGCTCAACTTCTGGCGCGTTGACTGTGAACGGGTAACGAACGATGATCCGCTCTAGAGTTGTGAATAATGTCATGTCCAAGCTATTGTGGAGTGCGTTGATGGTTCCCGATGGTAGTGTAGCAAGGACGACGCTAACAACGATATGAAAAATCAAACCTTTTACTACGTAATAAGTAGCTTTATAGCGACATCATCAATTTTCAATGTAACTTGTACTGGTGATCGCGCCGACCAAACCGATCCACAATCGATCTGATTGGTTAAATTTCATTGAGAAGGTTTTGATTGGTTAATAAATTTGCGCTCAACTGAAGTAGCCAATCAAATCGATTGAAATTCCAACGAGAAACCACAACACGAAATTATACCCAATTCAAAGCGATTTACAACTAAATTTGACGCCATGCAGGGTAGATTGCTCGATGTATCAGGGCTACTGATGGATGCATCGACCAAACCAGTGTATGATGGTGCACAAGACATTGTGGGTGTTGTACCTGTCTAAGGTGTCTGCTTTGCAATCGAACACAAATGGAAATCTATAATAATGACACTGTCAATATAAAGCCCAACCTTTGTTGTGATTATTGTATGAAATGCTAGGCCCAGCACGGCTGTTTATGACTGAGCACGTAGAGGAGGTCGTCGCCAGTCATGATTTCGGACGCGAGGGGGTTGAGGTAGACGTAGCCAAAGGGCACCGCGCGTTCGGTCTCGTGTCTTTCAATGCGCGCCTTGGCGGTCGACTGGGGCGACACGCCCGGCACGAGGTCCGGGGGGAGGCAGCGGTACACCCCCAACGTCAAGATGGCGTCGCTGAGTAAGAGGTACTCAAAGCAGTACGCGAACGACTTGCCCACAAAGTCCAGCGGCAGTTCGCACGTAAACAGCGAGCTGCGCTGAAGCCCCGACGTGGCAAAGTTGCGTTCGAACGCGGAAAACTTGGACTTGCCGGGGTACAGTTTGCTCTCGCGGAGGGGGGAGAACACGAGCTCCCGTACAATGTCCTTGATCATGGGATTGAAAAAGTGGTTGATGATCAGGTTGTCGCACAGTTCCGTCGAGTACGTCAGCCCCGAAGCGAACGACGGCGAGCACAAAAACTTGATCGTGTCGCTACATTCATTCCCGTACAACACACGCGTGACGAATGATGGTCAGGTGACGACGTACGACGTGGTGGACGGCGGCCGGCCACGATCAAACCACCCGCTTTGCTTGAGGTTGTGCGAGATAAAGTTGACGTTCGACCTACAGTTTCACCCGTGTCACACATATTTCTGTCAAATATGTCCTAAAATAGATACCGATTCACGAGCTTGGTCACGACCATGGGCGCGTTTCGAGGCCCCAACAGCGACGTGATGCTCTTGTGCACTGCAATAGACGTCTACAAGAGATATCCTCGTCCTATTCACTAAAAAGAGAAGGGGAGACGCACCGCATCCGCCAGCAACTGGTTGGACGCCGTTCCAAAGTCCTCTTCGCTGCACAACAGCACCACTTTGAACGCGATCTCAATACCCGCTCGCTTGAGCGACCCCAACCGCGTCGGCTCGCCTTTGACCAGAAACACATCCGAGAAGGGCCGGATGTGCGCAAACACTTCTTCTGACGGCAGTTCGGACGACATGAGCACGATCGGGTGATGATCTCTACGTCACATGTGATTCCACCACTGAGATCTCCAACATGTCCACATTGTCTATTGATAAACATAGGAAGAACGTACTTGACGGTGGGCGCCCGCAGTGGGGCGATGAAAAACTCTAAATTCTCAGGAAACACAGACCCCAACGACACGACCACGATCGGTTTGAGGGGAAAGTGCAGTTTGGGCACGTCGTCCACGACGAACTCGTCCATTTTCTTGCTCTTGTGCCGTTCCGACGTCTCTTGCAGCTTGGACGCGGCCCACATGATGGTGCGCGCCGTCCGCTTCTTTCGCGCCCCCAGCCCTACCAACCCCATAAATGACACATCACTCTCAGCATATCTGAATACCTCGCTTGATGTTTGTGGGGTTGGACAGGTGCTTGACCTTGTCCTTGGCGATCGCCGCCGCCGTGGGGGACGACACCGCCTTGTCCGGCGTCAGTTGCGCGGTTTGTTGCAGTGATGCCTTGGGCACCAGCGGGTCGTTCGCCCCGTTGGAGGTCGACGTGGACGCCGAGTGCGACGAGCCCCAGTTCGGATCTTTCGCCATGCCCAGCACCAGGTCTGCCTGCGTTCGGTCGCGCGCAATCACATACCTACGTACATATACCACGTTCGTACAACTCTACTAGTAATGATAGCTATTGTACCCGGTCTCGTTTCCGTGGCAAAGGTACGAATTGCCCGGGTTGAGGATGATCACGCTGCTCGAACTGTCGTCGTCGGCGTCATCTTCGGGCACGGGGACGCGGATGGCAATCAGAATCGCACTTTGGCACTGCGTGTGCACCATCACGGCCACTTCGGCAAACGTGAGGCCGCTCACGACCTACAACCACGAGTCAAATGGTTCAACCCACGTGATGTATATCCGGACGGACGTGAGACGGGGGCAATGTGACAGAGTACAGTTCATGCGACGCGCCATGGAGGAACCGCGACTCCCACGTGTGGTCCACCTTGACGTCGCTAAGTACAAATAAACACATGCATATTGAACAATACGAGAATCAAATATGTTCAACGGAAATATTAATAATATATATATCCAGAATGATGCGAGAGTATGATATAGACATGGACCTCAACGCTGCCGTGAGGTTGAACATGAGGGTGGAAAAGCCAGGGCAAAAGCAGTTTTGCGCCAAGAGCGAGTGCATGACTTCGCTGATGCACAGCACGTTTGTGATTCCTGACGCCTCGAGCAGATGGCGGTTGGTCGAGAGATGGATCTGCACGAAGATGGACGCGGCGGGGGACACCTGGCGCACTTCGATAGCGCGCATGATGGTGCGGTGGTCAGACACGTTGACGTCTTCGTGGCCAGTCTTGCGCGTGAGCACAAAGATGGCGGCAGCCGTATCGCAGGCGGCGCGGGTGGCGGCGTCCGCGTCCAGAACCGAGCCCTGGATGTACACCGCCCGCTTGGCAAAGAACGGATCCATGAGCAGCGCCACCTGACCAAAGTAAGAAGTATTCAATGGTAGTATAGCTACAATAAATAAATACAAGCAAGCAATTGACGATAGACAACAATGTACCATGGACGAAGGCGGGGCTTCGTCGCACATGGCAACGACGCGAATGTCGACGAGGTCGTGGTCGTCGTGGAAGATCTAGTCGATGCATGGTGACCACTCAATCCATCAAAAGAGAAGCAATATATGCGACGTACTTCCCAAAAGCACTGCTCGATGCGCTGCGGCGTCAAGTCCCCGCAGATGACAATGTGCTTTGAGTGGTGCGACGGGTGGTATGTGTCGTGCTCGTAGGACGAGTACAGCGAGTTGATGTCAAACAGTTTGGACAGTTCGTACGGGATGATGATGAGCAAGAACACGAGCAGCGTGCCGACGATGATCTTGGAGACGGGGTTCTCCGCGGGGGGGTAGTCGACGTACACAAACGTCAAGATGGACTTGAAGAGCGAGTTGAAGAACGTCCAGTCGCCGTCGTTGGTCACGTCCGCGCTGAACGAGGTTTCCGTGATCTAGACAAATGAACATGACGAAGAAGAAGAGGAGGAGAATCATTTCACCTGGATGACGCCGGCCGCGACAAAGATGACCGACAAGAACTTGAAGTACGCCATCAACCCAAACAACATGACGGGGGACATGAACGACCGCCCGCGGTGCAACACGGCACGGATTTCCATCGAGCATTTGAGGAATCGGATGGGGTAGATCAGACGCAAGTACCCGCCACCGTGCCAGAACGAACTATCGCGACGACAGGTCATGAAGATGATGAAAGGGATACGAGGGACGTACTGCGTGGGCACAAACATGGCCGCAGGATACACGGGCAGGATCACGAGGCAGTTGATGAACGTGTTCCAGCACAACATCGACTTGAACGATTCCGCGAGCAAAATGCCTCGGGACATGAGATCGGTCAAGAAAAAAAGCGCGCAACTCAGTTCCACAGTCCACACGTCGGCAGGGATCTACATGGAAAAGACATGTGACGACATAGAGAAGGATGTATGTATGTACCCCAGGACCGGGGGAGTACGAGTTGACGACGTAGCAGATGGCGAAGACCACCGACACGACAGCTTCCAGGATGTCCAAGACAAGTCCAAGGACTCCATTATCCAACCACCTACGATCGTGAAGTCTCCATGTTCGTGAAGGCAATTGATTCCATACATACCGACTGATGCGAACCCGGTAGTGCTCTTCGCTCGACAACCACTTCATCTTGCGCTCAAATTTATTCACGCTCACATGCCGTTCTACGGAAGGTCCGTTCATCACATAGCACATGTTGTGATGGATCTGTCGACGTACCACGCGGAATAACGTCCTCGCGGCCATGCGCTGCGTCACGCATCTTCCCAGCTTCCATCGCAAGCTATTCATGCACATATGATTGACGTCAACTCGGCATCCTCTCGCGGTGCATGCATGTACCGTGACTTTGTTGCGCAACATGGCGTCCTTTTTGCTCGTGCCGCCCCACCTTCAACTGCAGTGGATTTGGATCGATCTTGGAAACCCTACATTTGATTGGATAAAACGTTACCCAATCAAACACGATTGTTTTAAAAGCAGAAGAATTATCCGGCGAGCTTTATAAATACTCCGGATGAATTCGGAGTCAAGTGTTAATAGTAAATTAAATAATTAAATAAAAGAATCTAATTTAAATACTTTTTCCGAATATACATTATCACCAATCAAGTCGCGAATAGATCGGTTTGATTAGCATTTTTAGCATGCATCGACTGCGGAACAGCGCCGCCACAACTTCTGCGGCATTAGGCGTGCTCGTCACCTCCAGACAAGCCCGATGCGACTCTACGGTAAACGCAAAGCCAGTCACACGAGAGCCGGCGCCAACACAAGCATCACCGCCGCCACCATCATCGTGGGGTCTGCTGCAACCCTTCCAAAGTTTCTGGGGCTGGACGACGGCGTCGTTGTCGACGGGGGACAGGAGCGACGCCGCGCATTTCGCAGCGTTCGCTTCCAACCCCGATGCAAGCGGACTCATGTCATGGCCAAGTCTGCAGAAAGGACTCGAAGGACGCGCGAAGGACGAAACTACCTTGGTGGCGCTAGCAGCGGCCGCTCGAGCTGCCGCTGCCGCCAACGACAAGGCTGCGATAGCCACCTTGCCCCAGCGTTTCACAGAAACCGCTTATGGTCCTGGCATCACGCCAGAGATGCGCAACAAGCACGTGGAGCGCTATGGATGCGTCAAGTTCACCCGCCAAGCCATGGAAGTCATCTCGAACCTCTCTCGGCATCGCGGGGTCGTCGAACTCGGCGCCGGCCACGGCCAATGGGCGGCGCATCTCCGCGATGCCTACCACATCGACGTCCTGGCCTACGACAACATGGCCACTCTTCCGCTAAGCGGTCGCATCGGTGCCCCGGGTGTCCTCGCCGGCAACGAGTCCGTGCTGATGACCCACCGCCACCTTCGCGGCCGGGTGTTGTTGCTCGTGTTCCCCGACCCCGGTCCCATGGCGCTGAATTGCGTGACGAGGTACATGCAAAGCAGCGACGACAACGACACACTGGTGTACGTGGGCGAAGGGCGCGGCGGGGCCAACGGCGACGGCCGCTTCTTCGACCTCGTGGAAAGTCCTGTGTGGAAGTTGGAGACCACGTTAGCCCTGGAACCATTCGGCACCAAAGGATTCGAGCGCCTGTTTGTGTTTCGCAGACGAAAATAATCACGTTTAAGCAAATTATACATGGGATCATCCAGCTTAACATGGGAAGATCGTACGACGACGTGTATGACGAATGGCAAGCCGCACCCTTGCTTGGCCAACATGACTTGCATATGCGCGACGGTCTTTGGAATCGGCGACAGTCCCGCGCATTGAGGCAGAAGCACCAATTATCACGGGATAGTCGGACAGCAGAATGATCGACATGTGCAGACATGCATCTTTCAAAGGTTGCCATGGACACCGGTGATGTTGTGACGACGTAGGCCGACAAGGTGCACGAGCAAGACAAGCACCTCAACGACGTTGAACTGCCTTTGCGTGAAGATCCATCCGTTGCTCGCGTCTATCCCAGCTCGACGGGACGCAACACGCCCAACTTCGGGCCCAGCATGCAGAGGCAGTCGATGGAGACTAGCACAGTCACCACGACGACCCACCACGTCACCGAATGCACGAGGGGCACATGGACTGCTTGTCCACTTGCGTTCGTGTTGGCGTTATTTCTGCGATTTCAACACTCCATACTCCGGAGTACATTTTGATTGGCTGAAGCAATAAATACGACACTTTGGTTGGCGGATGAACCCTGTTGGATTATCCGACTCGCAAGACACTGCGGCGATGTCGTTCCAGACATTGTTGGCGACGGCCCTGAGCGAAGACGAGGAAGATGTACCTAGCAGCGGATCCATGTACGAAGATGGCTCGGAGTCAGAAGAGGCTTATGAAGATGAAGAAGTGGAAGACAAGCGAGCTTTCTCCCAGAAGCGCAAAGCGTCCACGGAAGACCTGGACATGGAGAACGAGGACCACTCAGACCTTGAGCGTCAAGTACGCCCTGCAATCCTGTTTTCGTCGCCCGTGCTAAATGACATGTCCTTGTAGCTCTGGGGAAAGAAGCGTGGAATTCCCCGACGTCGCGGTCGGCGGCGGCGCGTCACGAACCCCGTGCCTCCAGAGTACGCCGAGCTGATGGGGGAGGCGAACGCCGCGTACATTTCTGGCGACCACGCAAAAGCTATCGCGATGCTCAAGGATTTCGTCAAGAAAGCGCCCACCGTGCCTGACCCGTACCATACATTGGGCGTGATCTACGAGAAACTCCAGGATCGCGCCAAAGCCATCCAATTCTTCTTGATCGCCTGCTCGTTGACTCCCACGGTCGGCTGTGCCCATTTTCCCCATGTCAATGCATCGAACTACTCACTTGTGAAAACAGGACGCGGGTCTGTGGCGCCGCGTGGGTCGGATGGCCAAGGACGAATGCAATTCCGACCAAGCGTTGTACTGCTACAAAATGTACACATCGTGATACTGTCATCATGACATACCACACTTGATCACGTCACAATGACATGTCACACGTGGTTCTACAGGGCGACGCAAGCCGACCCCAAGGACGTGGACACGCTCTACACGTACGCCGACATGTGCAAGGAGGGCGGCGACCACCGGCGCGCCGCGGAAGCGTTGAAGAAAGTGGCCAACTTGGTATGTCGATTGGATGGAACGTTCTCGGAATGTTCTTCTTCTTCGGTAGACCCCCACGGACCTCTCGGTGTGGCTCCAAGTGGCCGAGTGCTACCACGCCAACAGCCAGGACGACGACGCGATCGACGCGCTGCTCACGTGCATTCAAAACGCTGTCACACACCCCGACGACGCCTCTCAATTCGGTGTTGTCGAGTGACTCACACTATCGTTCCAGTGACTCACAATACACCACTCGTGTAGAATTGCACGCGGTCAACATGGTGTCAGACTTGTACATCACGTTGAAGCGGTACCAAGCCGCGATCCACGCCATCGAAGCCATGCACGAGCGGAGCCACCCGAACACGCCGCTGGACGAGGACAGTCTGCCGCTGGACATTGCCGTCAAGTTCGGCATCTGCCACCTCCACCTCGGCCACCTCGCCACGGCGCAGCCCATGTTTGATGCACTGTACGTCGAGTTGGTGTACCTCTGACAAATGATATACAGTGTCATGTGTTAACCTGTCATATTTGATATTGCCTATATCAGGTTCCACCACGAAGTGGACGTGTACGGCGACCTGTACATTGACGTGGCGGAAGCGTTTATCGAGGCCGGTCAAGTCCATGATCGCACCGCCATCGACATATTGCAAAACGTGTTGCTGTGCCCGACGTTTGCCAACGACGTACGTGGCACGCCCTCGTGCATGTATGTTGACACCCGCAGTAGAAAGTATATGCGATGATGGCGCGCGCATACCATCGCCAGGGGGTACTGGACACGGCGCTGCAGTTTTACGACCAAGCGCTCACGTACCAATCAGGCGGTGCCGACGGCAGCCGCCCCGACCCAGAGGTAACACAACGAATTGTACGACCACGCCACGCATCATATCCTCGTGTGCAATCATCAGTTGGTATGGCAAGCCATGTGCATTTGCCGCGACACGGGCGCGACCGCGCGGGGACTGGGGTTCTTTGGGTTTGTCCACGACGCCGTGCTGCTGCCACCGATCCGACCGTACTGGGCGGCGGCCCCCACAACGACGACCAGTTCGAAAGCGGACGACGACCAGGACCAGGATGTCCCCACCGACGACGACGACGACGACGACGATGACGACGAAGGAGGAGAAGAAGAAGACAGCACAGCCGTGGACGAAATTGGGTTTTCCGAACACGCGATGGAGAATGGAATTCGCCTCAAACTGTTTTTATTGTACGGTCGAATGCAGTGGCAGAGCGGTACGCCCCTGAATATCTAAATATCATATATATTCCTGATATTATTGTATATTATATATATCCCTGATATTATTGTATATTATATTCATATATAGATATTCCTGATATTATTGTATATTATATTCATATATAGATATTCCTGATATTATTGTATATTATATTCATATATAGATATATTCCTGATATTATTGTATATTATATATATATTCCTGATATTATTGTATATTATATATATATTCCTGATATTATTGTATATTATATATATATATATATTCCTGATATGATTGTACATTATATATATACATATTCCTGATATTATTGTATATTATTGTATATTATATATATATATATCCCTGATGTTATTGTGTATTATATTCGACATTCCAGGTGAACCAAACACAATGGTCAAGATTGCGTTGCCCCTCGTGCTGCTGTCGTTGCAGCAAACGATGCGACTGCTGGGCCGCAAGTCGCTTCTCCGACGGATGCATGTAATTCTACCATCTGCGACAACGTAATATATTAATTTATATTCCAACGACATTTCATAGAAATATTACGACAGCAAGTCGCTCGATGCGCGCGACTTGGACCGGTTCAACATTACGCATTCGCATGTGCTGACTGCGATGAAGGAATCGTATCTGGTCAACCCGACCGACCCCACGACGCGGAACTCGCTGGTCAGCGTCGTCATGCGGGTGACGGAGCAGGTGCTCGTGGTCCACGCGCTCTCCCCCGACGAGTACGTGGGTATGGTGCGTGACGTGGCAAAAGCCCTGTGCGACGTTGGCAAACACATTTGCGCCGTGGAGCTGCTCATCGATGTCAACTGCAGCAATAAAATCGCCGACTCGCAATTGAGGTACCGTGTGGTGCTCCGATAGATAGATACTAGTATTCGAATGATTATGTTTGAAGTATTATATATATTATCAAAACGTGCGTTTTAGATTCAATGATGTACCACGCTCGAAAGTGTTTGTCCATGATTTGATTCTATTGGGGCGGTTCTTGGGTTCATTCGATATGAGTGAGCTTTTTTAAAATAATTATATTTGTATTAATAGTATGCTTGGATGTATCACATTGATGTAACTAATATATATATATTGATGCAATGGTATTATCTTGTAATATTAGATTTGAGCTCCGGTTCTTGGCGCTGACGATTTCGCTGACGCACAAGGAGAATCGCATGGCGTATGAGTGTGTGCGCCTCAACATTCTCGAAGAGCCGATGAACGTCGGGTACTGGAACCTCTTTGGCCACGTAATCAACCAGACGGGCGTGTTTTCGTGGCACCAGAAGTTCCTCGTAAGAAATATTTGGAATATATATATATATATAATATTATGGATTCGTGGAGTAGGCCAAGATTTTGCGGCAGTACCCCAAGTGCTACCCTGCGATGGTCCTTGCGGGGCTCCATTCGTCGGCCAGCGATTCGGCGCAGTTGGCCGTGGGCGAACTCACACTCGCGCACTTGCAGCGCCCAGAAGACCCCCTCGCGCTCTTTTGCATTGGGCTCAGCTACCTTAACATGTCCATGTTCCGAACGGTAGTGGACCGCCAAATGACCGTCGCCAAGGCGTTTGCGTTCTTCCAATTGTACCAACAGACGCGTTTCAAACAGTTGGAAGCGAACGCCGTCGGATTGACGTCCGACTTGGGCCAGGTCGAGAGCTGGTACAACATTGGGCGCGCCTACCACCAACTGGTACGAAGAATGTTGGTTTAGTGGAGGTGTTGGTCTTGTTGAGTGTTGGTCTTGTTGAGTGTTGGTTTTGGGCAATGTGAATGTAAAGTCTCGTGGATTTATGTAGGAACTGAACCATTTGGCGATTGCCATGTACGAGCGCGTGTTGCGGTATTACGAAGGCAAGGACGTCGCGCCAGAGTTCCAGCTGTGCCGAGAAACCGCGTACAATTTGTCGTTGATTTACAAGCAAAGCGGCGCCACGGACCTTGCCAGCTACCTCCTGCACACGTACTTGACGGTCGAATAAACTAGTCGAGTTGATGCAAATTGAACGTCAAATACTACGCACAATTTGGTTGGGGGGCAATCAATACGCCATGATGAGTTCACGAATGACTAACTGGTGTTCTACACGAACGAACGAACGGACGGACGACGAGCTCAAGGTTCTACAGGAACAAACTTCTTGAACTAGGGTACATGGTGAATGATCAACCTGTAGAACAATCACCTTAGTATTGGCGCTGTAGTGTCTTATGCAAGAGTTACAGGCTACTGAGTAGCGCACGTTGTACCGCAAACTTGTGGTGCTTGGGATGATACCTCAATACACTAGGGTAACTTCGTAAAACCGATACCTCCTAAAACCGATACCTCCAGGAACGAACGGACGACGGGTTCAAGCTTGGCCTTGCGTTCTATATAAACGAAACTTGAACTCGTCGTCCGTTCGTTCGGGTAGGTATCGGTTTGCTCGGCCAGTCGTGTGATATCATGAGTGTATTATTCGTAGTTTGATAAGTTAAGTTTACAGCAAGGCCAAGACAAACTCGAGCGGGAGGCGGTGGTACACGACTAGTATGTCGGTGCTGGCTGCTGCTTCCAGACGCATCAACTTGACCACATACGCCTTGGCGGCGGGGGGGCAGTAGACCTTGACGAGGGCAAACGTGCCGGCTCGTAACCGCTGACCCCTGGCAGCCTGGGGATACGTGATCTGGGTCAGCGTCCGGTGCACGTCGGCTTCTTTCACGGGACCGACCACGTCCACCTCGGCCGAGTTGTCTGGCATTGAAATGGACGTGCGGCACAAGTGCGCCGATGGGCCGAGAGACCTCGCCATGAGGTCAAATCTCAGTTCTACTTGGTTCTGGATTGTCATGTTGAGGGACGCAGTGACCAGGTGCGCCAGAGTCGGCCGGGCCGCGAGCTCGATGCCTTGTTGGAACGACAGCTGGGACGGCATCCCCAGCACCGCCGCGCAGTGCATGACTGCGAGCAGGTCTGGCTCCCTCCACGTGTGCACCGCCAGTGTGTCGTGGTACGCGTCGAAGAGCGACGCTTGAACGAGGGCAGTGCTGTCCCAGAGCTCTCGAAGCGTGAGGTAGTACAGCTTGCCTTGGATGGATGTGAGGGCGTGGTGGCGAAACGCCTTCGAGGGGGGGGTAGAGGGGATGACAGGCGATGCGAATGATGAGGCTGGTGGGGCGGACAACACAGAGGCGGTGGCGTCGGAGGTCCTTGGGATGGCAGAGGACACGAGTCGGTTGTGCACGTCGATTTCCAAAGTGCGAAGGAGGGGCTGCAGCAGCACTTGATTGGCGTCGACTAGATGCGCCAGCGCCAGTCCCTTGGCTTCATGGGGCGTGTACGCGTAAAAGTGCGGACACAGCGTCGAGACCTCATCGACACTAAAGCAAGCCGACCACTCGACTTCGTCCACGACGGACAGCGCCAGAACCTCAAGGGACCACGCGCCGACAAACCCGAGTTGGTACAGTTCGTTCACCACGACGCTCACGTAATTCCCACTGATGGTGGCATTGCCCCTATACAAACATACTTTTTCCCCTTGTTCCATTGGGGCGCTACCCCCCCCACTCGCCCCATGCTCTTCCACATTCCGTCCAGAAGAAGGCGACCGCTCCACCAAGACAAACGTGCCGTTCTTAAACCCCACGGCCAAGTGATCGCACAGGACGTTGACAAGATCGGTCATTTGACAAGGCGTCATGGGCGTCGTCGTGTTGAACGAGCCATGACGTGGCAGCAGGCGCTGCAGGTCATCGACGAAGAACGACACGATGTCCTCTTGGGCCGACGCGCTTTCGTACGCGACCACGTGAAATGCAAACGGATCGGCGCTGTGCACCACATGCAGCTGCAGCGCATGGCCATCGATGATGCGCCCGCCATGGAACGCCACATGCGGTGGCACCACTCGGTCCGAGACGCCGTGGGCGTAATTGAGATCCAGCAACTTGGAAATCAACGGCACTTGGGTGCTGGTCAATGTAGCGGATGTTGACCCCGCCCTACCGAAACGATTCATTTCGTGTTACGCTGGCGAAGTGATTCTGTACGTACGATGAAGAAGACGTCGACGTCGCGTGGACGCTCGTGGCTTCGGTGAGCATGGCTTGTCGATGGAGCGCCTCCTTCTTCCACGCCAACGCTTCCATTTGCACTTGTTTCATGGCATTCTATTGCACATCACTACGTCTTCCAAGAGTTTTACAGTGATTACTCGTACCTCCATGTCCAACAGCCGTTGTGTGGTCGCGTCCAGCTTGGTTTGCAGCGTTCCCTTGCCCATGGACGAGATCACCCCCTTGACTTTGCTGCTCACGGCTCGACGGCGGTGATCGGAAATCGCCTGGCGGGACATGGCAGTGAGCTGCGTGATCATGGCTTCCCGCTCCTGCCGCTCCTGGGCCAGCGCGCTTTCTGCTTCGGTCAGTTTGGACACACACACTCGAAGGGATACATCCACGTCAAACACCTACGAATTCATGAAAAGAACTGGATTTATACGCAATCAAGACCGCGTACCCGTTCGCCCAGAACTTTGTTGGCCACGCGCTCCAGCTCGAGCTTGGCTTGCAATGTGTCGATCTTGGCCTTGTCGTTCGTTCGTGCCACGTCCAACTGGTCGTTCAGCGTCGCGATCTCGTTCTTGGCGAGCATTAAATGACGTTCCAGCTTTTGCATGCGTTCTCGCGACGCCACGTCATTTTGAGGGGGTTTGGCGGGTGACGAGGCCTTGTCCACCACTTGCGGGGCGTCGGTGGCACTGTCTACAGTGGACGGACTTCCATCCGACGACGACGACGTAGCAGCCTGGGAGGAGGTTTTGGCCAATTCTGCCTCCATTTGCTTGACACGAGCACGGAGCACACGCATCTCATGGTACTTTTGCTGCATCTTGTCGTGGTACAGGTGGCGCTGCATGGCGGACTGCCTTGCTCGCGGAGACTGCATCCCCATAGACTGCTTTTGTAGCTCAAAGTACACATCGCTGGCCAAAGGTGGCTTTGCATCGTCCACTCGTATACTGGTTGCAGCTCCACCAAGCACATCACCTGCCTCGGGGCCATTAGATCTCGGTCGCGTCGCTTGGTTGGAGCTGTGCCTACGATCCATCATATCGCCTTCACCTCGACTTTCTGGCTTGATGGCATCGTAGATCTCTGGCAAAATGACCGTGTATGTGTCTGCTGGATGCGACTTGTCGACCACCCTAGACGGCCGCCGAGGTGATTTAAAGTCTTTCTTGCTCTGCAGAATAGGGCGCATGACAGAGTCCGCATCTAGGGCAGGTGGCCGAGCCTGAGAAGACGGCACGCCGACGGCCGGACGGAGCGCGTGGAACTTGGCTCGCGGCGTGTCCGACATTTCCTCAAGTTGAAACCTGCCGCGACCTCTCGGCTAGATGTCGGATTGGATGAAATCCAATCTGAAACAACGCAGTATGATTGGTTTACGCCCTTTCACAACCCATACGGTATCTTAATCTTCACACTATTATAAGAGTAATTGTAAATGACATTCAAGGTCGTCACCACAATTCATGGATGTATCGAACGCTGCGAGTCTTGAAGGTAGCGCGTGGCGTCAACCAGCGACTTGGCTACATCGGTGGACATGTCCACATGTAAGTACTGTACTCGTCCAGATATGCTCTGACAGAATGATCACATGTCCCCCCCCCCACCATCACAATCGTGACCAATGCAAACTCAAAACTACAAGTATGTAATTGCAAATCTCTATTTCATCCATGTACTACTACTACTACTGTTTACGCAGACCATAGTTCCTGGATGTATCGGTGGTTGTGCTGCAAGTCTTGGACGTAGCGCGTGGCGTCAACCACCGACTTGGCTCCGTGCGTCTGGACCAGCTCCACAAATGCCTTGTGCACGTCCGTGCCCATGAGCGTCGCGCCGCACACGTACACGTACCCCCCCGCAGCCAGCACCTTCCACAACGCCGCGCCTTGTTGGCGAATCAAGTGCTGCACATACACCTTTTGCGCCGAGTCGCGCGAGAAGGCCACGTGGAGGTCGGAGAGCGTGCCACTTGCTTGGTACGTTTCCAACTCTTGTTGGTACAAGTAGTCTTCGGATTGCCGGCGACAGCCAAAGAACAGCCACGTGGCCCCGACAGTTTCTCCGGCTTGTTTTTGGGCGTGACGCTCTTGGAGAAAGGCGCGCATGGGGGCGATGCCCGTGCCCGGTCCGACGAGGATCACGGGGGTTTCAGGAGAGGGCGGCAGTTTGAACGTCGACTTGCGGATGGTCATGCGGATGCTGGGCCACGTTCGCACTTGTTTCTTGCCTTGCTCACCGTACGGATTGGCCACCTTTGGCTTGTCTAGGACTGCCGCGTCGGGGAGCGCCAGCTTGGCCAAGTAGTTGGACGTCACGCCTTTGAACTGGCGGCCTTCTGGTAGGTCCGACGTCGCGATCACTCCCAGCGTCACGTGGATCCGGGTGGGATGGACGACCGACGACGACGAGATCGTGTAGTACCGCGGCTGCAGCGACGGTAAGATGTGGATAAACGCCACCAGTGGGATCTGCAGCGACGGAAATGCTTCGATCACGTCGCCAAACGTCCGGTGCGCGTCCACGACCCACGTCTGGTACTCGGCCTTGCCGTCCGCCGACGCCAGCCGGAGCAGCCGGTCTTGGTCCACGGACGACGTCGCGTAATGGGCCAGCGCCGTCAGCGCTCCTTTGCGCGGCGCCGCGTTCAGGTCCAAGTACTGGCTCAGAATGGTGCGGATGGTCGCGGGGGTGGGGAATGGCAGCTTGGTCGCCTTGTCCAGAGCTTTGAGCTCCACGACGCCGTCTTCGTCAAAGCGGAGGGCGGTGGCCACGCGGGTGACGAGGGCGGGGTCGTTTTCCGGCAAAATCGCCAGGTTGTCTGCCGTCGCGTACGTCACGCCGGCGTGTTTGATGTCAAACTCCAAGTGCAACGTCGATCCAGACGCTGTGGATTGACGCAATTCGCGCGTATCGACGAGCGTGGCGAACGCATACTCCTGAAAGGGGCTTGAAGTGGAGCGGGTATTCGAGGCGACGGATACGACATCAAACTCAAAGACGGGCGGCGATGTCTTGGCGGAAAAAACAGGTGGCTGCGAGACGGCGGCGGGTAGGGCAAACTGACCAGATATTGCAGCCCATAGGTCTTGTCGCCAGTCGTCAAAGTCGTTTTCGATGCATGCCTCGTCGTTGCCTTCGCCATGCCGATACACGCGGTGCCCCCCGAGCTGCTCCATACGCGAGTTCACAGCTCGACCCATGGCGTTGTACCTTGCATACGTCTTGTTTCCCAGGCCAAACACGGTGAACTTGACGTGCTGCATGACATTGGCCGGCAGAGACGGGTTTGTAAGGTACTTGTGGAATTTAACGGCGCTGTCGGTCGGCCCGCCCTCGCCGAACGTCGCGACCACGAAGATGACGCAGGAAAGCGTTGGCAGTGTGGAAGCATTGAACTTGGCCAGGTCCACGGCACGAACAGTGAACGCCGTGCCTTGACTGGACGCCACCAGTGACTTGGCAAATCCTTCAGCCGTGCCACTTTGAGAGCCATATAGCACGGTTACAGTTGGTTTGCCGTTTGTCTTTGCAGACGATGACGCTTGCTGAATCAGGTTGGACAACTTGTTGCCCATGATGTGATTTGGTGTGTGACGGATTCGATCGATACTGCACAAACACAAACAGCTTGACAATGCAAACTGGAGTGAACTAAGCAGGCAAATTTGAGTGAACTAAGCAGGCAAACTGGAGTGAACTAATCTGACTGTACAGTACTGTACTGTACTCTACCGAACCCAAAACCTACTGTACATGATGTTATGGTGCACGTCAACCATTACCTTCCAACTGGCCAATTCAGGTACCGGGATAGGAGGTTTAACTATAAACCATTTTTGCATTGTGGGTTAGCGTGGCAGACCAGTGATGTGCCGAAATATCCAGGGAGATGCGGGAACAGGATACTGTACCGCGTATCGGCAAGGTCTTGCGTAATACACTGATCTGCTTTTATCCGAATCCGGATAGACATAGCATACAATTGTCAGTATGTTTTATCGAGGCCAGCGATACCGTATGTTTATCTAGTTATAAAGGTTATTAATATGCAGAATATCCTACCATATTAAAATGACACAATTTGTATAATGTATGGCAGGTATAATCTATCGTGAAGGCAAACCTCTGATAGTTTTGATCAACTTCTACAGGAGTCCGACTGGATGTCCGACTCGTATTACAGTCAGTACAAACACATCAAAACGTTACTATGAAGTATTTACAGCATGGTCCTTGATTCCTTTAAATCATGGTGTACCATTGTCGAGGGGATACATTCAACTTTATTCAAGCTGTCACGTGAGTTGGATGGGCAGGTTGCAGTAGCAGACAGATGAGTACAGTGCGCGCCACATGGATAGGACACCCTGGTTGTAGTAGCGGATGGCAGTTGTGCTGATTTGCAGCCCAAGCGAGGAGGAAGTCAATTGACAGCCATGGCGAGATCAATTAAGTGAAGATGCAGACAATTACAAAGCGTACTGATCAAATTATGACACTAAACAGCTATTTGGGGTGCGACATCAGGATAGGACACCCAAGAAGTTTACAACGAAATATGTCCTGGAAGCACAAAGTTTTGTATTTAATATTTAGTCTTGCCTCCTTTAGCTTGGATCACACGCACACAGCGCTTTGGCATCGACTTGACGAGGTCCTGCAAGTAGTTTTGCGAAATTTCCCCCCACTCGCGCTTGATGGCAACCTTCAGGTCGTCCACGGACACAAACTGCTTACCATTAAGATAAACTTGGCGAGCCAGAACACCCCAAACATTTTCAATGGGGTTTAAATCCGGCGAGAGCGCAGGATGGTCAAAAATGACCACATCTTGCTAGTCCAGAAACTCCATGACCGGCTTGGCACGATGAATACTGGCGTTGTCTTGCATAAATACAAAACGTCCGCCATACATTTCATGGCCAAATGGAAACAAAAAGTTTGACAACGTGTCGATATACTTGTCACCTGTTTGCGAGCCTTCCAGAAACGCAATCTCCGACTTTCCGTGACAGGAAAATGCTGCCCAAACCATGCAACTGCCGCCGCCGCTGTGCCGGGTGAAAAATTGGTCCTTCTCGTGGCGAAGGTCATGCCAATAGAATTGGAAGCCATCGGGGCCATCCAGATTGAACTTTTTCTCGTCGGACCACACCACATTATCCCATTCTGGTGGTTTCGTGAGATGGCCTTCGGCGTACTTGAGCCGCGCGTCCTTGTGCCGCTGAAGGAGCTTGGGTGCATGCTGGCGCTTCGTGTACTTCAAGAACACGGTTTGGTGTAGGATTCTTTGGTAAGTCCTCAGCGAGATATCCAATGGTACGTGCGCTTTGAGCTGCCTGGCAGAGCATCCGGTCGTCGAGGCGTGTTTGACCAGTTGGCGGCGTGCACGTTCCGTCACTTTTGTGGCCTTTGGGGTGATGTAGTTGGTCCCGTACGTGTCGGGCGACCGAAGGAAACTTGCAACGACATTCCTGGAACGGCCCAGGGTGGCGGCAATGCGCTTGACCGACCACTGGGCCTTCCAAAACGCCAAAGCACTGCCTTGTTCGTACTCAGTAAGTTGCGCGGTTCTGCCCATGGTTGTTGGGCTTGGAAACTCAAGGCAACGCTTGTCAAAGGGTTCTTTATTGACGCTTACTCCTTGTACGTGCAAGGATTGCCTTGAACCAGCTCAGGGTGGGTTTGAAAGTCAGGTGTCCTATCCGGTTGTCGCCCCTCAAATTCAGTTTTCGCGGCATAACTCAGCTTGGTTTGAATATTTTGACCTGAATCAAGCGCCAAACAAACGGACCAATCAAATGCGTAATTTTGGTATATTTTGTTTCGCTGGACGTGCATTTAATCTCATGGGTCCTTTGAAAAACCAGGGTGTCCTATCCATGTGGCGCGCACTGTAGTTGAGGGGAGAACCGGAAGTGAATTAATTCTGACGACAGAGGAGAAACTGGCTCTAGATGTGCCAGTTCCTCCAACAGCCAATCAAATCTTAGATTATGATTGGCCACGACATCCTGTGATGTTTCGTGACGAATATGCGCTGTCTTCTACTCTGAGGAAAAGCCTCTAGAAGGCACAAAAACCTCCTACACAGCTAGCAGACGCTGCTACCTGACTGACAGGGCAGTGGGGATGTTCA